AACTATATATAAATGCATCTTATCAGGAAGCGGCATTTTAAGATGAAATAGCTACTGACAAATTCCGTTCGAAACAACATGTTAATTAAGTCATTTTAGTGTAGGTACACTACTAAATTAAGTAGCACGTATCATGAGATTTTCTCTTATTTTAATAATTAATCTATATAAATAAAAATGAATTGCCGTTCGTTAGTCTCGCTAAAACTCGAGAACGGCTGGACCGATTTGGCTAATTTTGGTCTTGAAATGTTCGTGGAAGTGCAGGGAAGGTTTAAAAGGTGAGAAAAATATTTTTTAGGCGGTACGAAGTTTGCCGGGTCAGCTAGTTACGAATAAAAAACTAATAAATATTATTTCAGTAATGGAAACAACTAGTAATTACCACATAAATATCAGTATCAAATTAGTAACTAAAAAATAAATAATATCGATATCGAGGTCGGGTTACGTTGCTCGTACCTAGCGGCGGCGTACGGAGGGGTGTCGGCACCGCGGCCGCATCCTACAGCCAAACGGTAAACACTTTGCTGTAATCTCGAGATGAGAAAACTTTCAGTTCTCTTAATTCAGAAACTTATTCAACAACCTAACAACCTTAGAGCGGACCGCCCGGCGGACACAAGACAAACAAACTCACCATTTAATCTTACACTTTGTACTACATTAAAATAAAAATCCGATTTTCTTAACTAACCTTTATGTACCAGCTCTTGAAACTAATGTAACAGTCGCTTTGTGTATTCGTTAAACATAACAAACATTTCAGCGCAATTATCTTTCATGGCTTAAGAATTTTCTGGAACATTATTTATCCGTGGTATTGAAATACATCTCTGGGTCATTTAGTTTACTGTTACAACTTATACCTGCGATATGCAATTTAATCCACAAATATGGATTGTAAAGGATGAACATAAAACAATATTGTATGTGCGTACCTACATAGGTACATACTACGTTCTTCAATAGGTAATCTTATATTTTTGTTTACTCTCATAAAAGTATTTACCACAGTTATCGTTACACAACTAATAACACTCTTTTGCGTGAACTAGATAATAGAGCAGATACATAAAAGAGTCAGGTGCAATTTAATCACAAAAGAGAAACAGTTAGCGGCTATTTACGAGAAAAGTGATAAGAAATAGCCCACACACTCCGGGCCTCATAACAGAACCAAAGATCGTACACAATACAGCCTTTTACTTAGCTAACTTACTCGAGTTATTTTCTTTCTTGATTTTCCTAAAAAATAATAATTGAAAAGAAAACATCGATACTTCCACTTAAAGGTAAATCAATTTATTTTGTATTTGTTTAATTTTATACTAAAATAGTCGAAATTGTATAATCTAAGTACTTAACTAGTGACGTATACGTCTACATTTGGATATCGATATGCTGAGATCAATTTAATCAGTCAATTGACAGGAGAAGTGTCATTCTCAAGTGGAGCATGCTTGCGTTAAGCAAACAGACATTAAAGGATTAAACGTAACATGTGTAGTACCTACATTATACGTCTACTACATCACTGTAAACAAACGTATGTATCTCGCTCACCTCAGTTTAAGCTAGCATTACCCGCCGACCGTCCGTCTCCGCCATATCGGATTTTTACACGTAAAAATGTATAAATAAAAAACATATTCACGCCACGCGATTTGTATACTGTGTTTATTTTCGCCTACTTGAGACAAGTAGGTAGCGCTTTGTACACAAAGCACCGCTAATTAGTTGCAGCGCTACACATCGACACAACTGTCATTTACACAGTGTACATGTGTGCGTAATTTCATATAACTGTATATAAAAATATTCGTCCACCACGTTCACATTGGTATTTTCATTCTTGTGTCGGTATACGTATTTTTATAATTTAATGCATAGGTAAGGTTAAAACTATTTACAATCATTGATATGACCCGACATTTTCACTGTCACTCATTATCGTAGTGCTCGTGGTCGATTGGTTAATGAGCACGCTTTTATCGTCTTTCAAGGATCAATGATGTGGGTTCTATTCCAGCTAAAAGTTAATTTTATTTTACCTTGTTATTTTTCTTATTTTTTTTTTTTGTTTTTTGTCATAAAATATAAATATCAGGCTATAAAAGAAGCAAATGAGTTGGTAAATAAAACAATACTATTTTTTATTACAATTAATTTATTTATTATACAAATATGTTTTTATATTCAATATTTATATCTAATAATTAATTATATACCACATGTTAAGTTTAAAGTTCTTTAAATCATAATTAATAGATATGACAATAAACCTCATAGTCGAATCGGGAAATATCATGCGGTACAGCGGTAATACGATGGCAGCAACATTTTTTATTAAGTAGGTAATAAACAAATATACAACATTCTTGTTTTGTAATTTAATAATATAATGTATTATTAAATTACAGTTTTACAGTAATAAACAAGTAAAACATGTAAAAAATTACACTGTCAACATAATATTTCTTGAAATGGGCGACTTTTTGTCGTTTGAACTTCCATTAATTATCTATTTTACGACGGTTGTTATAAGGTTCAATATTCAGTGGGCTGTATGATAGTAAAAAGAATGTGACGAATGCTATGGAACGATTTTAACTTTCATGACCTTTAGAATCAGGGAAACTTTAAATTAATTGAAGATGGGCGTAAATATAATATGTCAATCAAGTTCGAAAGCAGTTAAATAAATTTGTTAATGAAAAATTAAAGTGAAGTGAATAAACATGTTGAATAGAAAGAAATTATGACAATTTCTAACCACAAAACAATAACATCACTTCACCGTATGTTCTAGACAGCATTTTAATATTCTTAAAAAAATTAAACATTATTTTATGTTAATTTTAATAAAGGCAGAGTTTGACAGGCTCAATAATTGATTCCGAAATCAATACAATCACTGATCCTACAAGGCAGAAGGTTGCAATTCGTATACCTTTCTCCATCTTTTCTTCACAATATTTTACGCCCATCCTTATCCGACTTGAAAGTCTTTTCGTCGCTCAATATGATTACACTGTTCGCCCAATCAAAATTAATAAAGTCCTTAGCAAATTCTTAGCGCTTTTGCTGGTGAACCACAGATAACAATATTTTCTTCTCTGGCTTCCTGCACCTTAAACCAGAATGCAGGTGTCTCCGTACAGTTTGTATTAAAACATTCAGTGCTGTCGCTGTAGTGCGGGTTGGCAGGAACGGATCAGCCATGTGCCTGGCTACGATGTCGTAGTGCCGAGCCGATGAATTTGCCTTTGGTTTAGGCCCACGTCGACGATGTTTAACGTCACCGGTCTCCGCATATCTGTGCACCCATAACTGCATGGATCTCCTCTGTTGATACCAAACAAATAAGTATTTAAAATACCAGGAAATACTTTACAGGAATTAAAGTTACTTAAAAATAATAATAAATATAAGTAAACACAATGTTAGAATAATAATTTATAATTAAGTAGTGGCGTAAGGAATAAAAATCCCTAACCAGATATGTTTTAAAGAAACACTCCTAACAAAAACAAGTCAAGTTACAATACAATTAATAATAAATTATTAATATATCTTTATAATATTGAACTTCATAATAAGTTGCAATAATTTTTTATTCTAGTGCAAAAATTGATAGGTGTGTCGAGTTACAAAATGAAATAAATATTATTTAGAATATCAACGTAGTATCTTATTTACTCACCGATATCATTAAACGCCTTGCTATTTCAGTTATTGTTAGTTATGTTTTGCTCATGCAAAACAATGGTTTCAGCCTTTTTAAATGTTGATAGGTGTTGGAACATCTTGTAAAAATAAAAATAACTTTGCACACGAATATAAGTAGTGTAGCAATAAACTATGAAATCCTCATAAATTGACAACTAAGAACGCAATTATTTTGTAAGTCGGGTGATTTGAAAAAACATGTTTTAAATAGTCGGTAGTTACTTCATAAGCGTGTAAAATAAAATGACTCGAGATTTCTATGGTCGCCACAAACATTGCAAATATACTCAGGTATCGAACCATTAAGAAATCACAGTTAATTACTTTTTTACTGTTTTTATCTTATTTAAGTTGGTTGAAATGCATGAAGCAAATGAGATTATTCTAAATAATAAATAACTAGAACTAAAATATAAATAAAAGATATTATAGGTATAAATAAATCTAAAGTATTTACTATTAAAATTAACATAAGATTTAGAACAATAGGAAAGGAAAAAAAAAAGATTTAATTGTTTCTAATTTCAAATTTCAAATATTTGATAAATTAATTCTAAAACAACATGTGAATGTTGGAATCGATCCGCGGCACTTTACTTGACAATTGGAGGCGATAACCATTGCGCCAAGCGCGCTGTAGATGAGATCATCGAAATATTTTATATCATTCAGTAACATAAAATTACAATGAGAAAGCACTATATTTATATGGGTATTGTATAGCTCGATCGTTCATTATTTTTGATTTCGATTTATTCAAAGTTTGTTATGAGTAATTTTATCTTTACCCTCGTTTTTATTTAAACTTATTTACTAAATTATTGCGTATACCGACACAAAAATGATTTTTAAATACCAAGATGTGTGTGATAGACGAATGTTTCTATACATATCTATTGATATGAAATTACCCACACATGTATATTGTGTAAATGATAGTTGTGTCGATGTGTAGCGCCGCTAACTAATTAGCGGTGCTTTGTGTACCTAAGATTAGGGCCATGAAAACATTTATTAAGAAAAAAGCGATTGTTGTAATAATAAACAGGTGGGTTCGTTTTCATATCTATTTTCAGATAGAGATTAAATAGACACAATACATTTCATGACGTTTGAATTTAAATTACAAATCAATCAAATAAATATACGTAGGCTAGACACGTCTGTACGCCAGTCACATAAGTAACCAAAATATGTGTGAATAGTATTTGGTCATGAAGTAGTAATTAAGGAACAAGGCCACTTGTGATAATCGTGATATTTTGTAGATGAGTCCGACCAACAGAAGCCCACTGTGCGAGCCGACCGACCTACACCCAGGCGTCACCATCACAGATATGGACACTGTGCACGAAGAAAATGACAACGACAGGTATGTAAACTGTTCATTTATTTAATAAACTTTTAATGAGAGTAGTGCCATAAATAAGTTTGATAGTCAAAGTATTAGTCAAAATTCACAAGTGTGTTTTAAGAATTTAACTGAATGTAATATGTGTAAGTAAGATATCTTTTGTATCAAAATCCAAATATTTGTTAGTTTTCTTTTACTTTTCTACACTAAACAACTTGTTTTAAAATTCAATTGAACCGTTAGTAATTAAACTTCGAAGCACTTAATTCAAAAATATGACCCCAATCGTATTACACCTACAAACTCGTGTCTATTGACGTGTGTCAGCCAGTATTCCATTGTGCGAGCAACCATTCTTTTTTTAAAAAGCGCGGGGAAATGGATACGTCCGCGTCGGTTGGCTGGACAAGCCTTGGTCGTCATAAACAAAGGGTAGATACTAAGCATTTAATTAAAGTTTCTTTTAAACCGCATTTTCCTTTGTCTCATGACTCTGTTTTATCTGTTATCTAAATTTTATACTGGACCTGCTGCATGTTGTTTAGGCCAAGACTGCGTTAGATGTTTAAGTCGTGCGGCCGACTAGATACATTTTAAGTACTTAGAACAATATTTGTAGAGCAACTTAAGGATGCTGCTACATTCTAATTAAAAAAGTTTAGTTCCTTCAGTAGTAATTTCATGGTTCTTTATTGAAACTGTAACACAATACAGGTATTTTGTGGATTCAGAACATTTGAAATGGATATCACAGGTAAGCATGAGAATATAAAAATCTAGATGTGTTATTCTTTTCAAATATCAATATTTTGTGCATACGGACGTTATTCAAAATAGGTTCAGTGAGGATACAACGAAGCTTAGGAAGACATTTCCGGCGAACGGATGCACATTTTGGAGATTTTGCGCTCAGAACCCTCCAGTCGAAATAGTTCAATACAAGTGCAGTTCAGACGTTTGTTTAAATATTCATGTTACAGTATGTTCGATTTTAAACGGTCATTTATTATTTTCAGCGCATCGTACTTCATCCGAGAGCGCAAAATAAAATGCATTAATAAAATAAAAAAAATATGCAACACAGATAATTCTTTTAAACGAACCGTTTTCATCTTTAAATCTGTCAAACAAAAACGTTCAATGAAAACTGGGACAATTAAAACCGGCTTAATTTCCATGCATTCAACAAAGTTTCTCATAATCTTTTTCCCATGAAAACATGATCATTTTGGTACACAAACGCTGTCAATGCGGCCGACATTTTTTGTGTGCTGCGATTTTTGCCGTCATATTTTCAAACACACTGTATTTGAGCGAGAAGTTTTGAAACGCATACACAAAGAGGGATTTCGGTGCAGTCGCAAAGAGCTTCGAAAATATTTATGACGTTTGATCGACTGCTTTGTATCGCGATACTACCGCCTCCTACAGTACTGCGCGGCAAACGATCCTAGAGGACCGACTGCTGTGTACACAAACAATATTCAACACTAATCCTAAATGCAAGTAGTATTGAAATATGTTTTGCAGTTTATTTATACAAGTTTCGATTGTAGCGTCTCTTTTCTATTATCAATCTGACTAATGTTCAGCGTTTTAGAATGATCAAGATCCTACAAACTACGGATTACATGCTCCCTTAAAACTATACCCGTCTTCTTTGTACAAATATCTACTTACCCTTTATGTGTTAAATGTTATAAATATTTTCATGATGATATACGTTACGTCAATACCTATACTAGTAAAATTAAATGTTGCATTGTATTCGCAGCAAACAATACTTTTTATAAAAGACTCAAAAATACAACTATAGAACTTAATATTTTAATTAATTGAATAATGTTTAAATGGATAAATGTTAGTTCTTGCTATCGTATCCACATTCTAAATTTTTTTGAAGCCATGCTCTGTAAATTGGTAATATTTATTATTTTCGTACATTTTATATTGACCTAGTTTTACTACTTAAAAGGTTATCGAAAATGAACACTTGATTTTCACAGCATATATACGAATAATAGGATAGATGACTAATTTTTATTTTAATGCCCAGTTGGTAGATTATTTAAAAACATTAGACACGTATTTTTTATTTTCTTACAGAAATGAATAGCTTCGAAGGTATATTGATTTGGAATATCGCATGAAGTCACTTTTGAGTACGATTTATACCTACTCTATAATGACATAGCTACCACCCACTCCTAAACTTTGATTCATTATATCCAAGTATTGTATTCTTATACGACAAAATAAAAAAATACGTGTCTAATATATTTTCATTGCCTAACTGACGGACTAATTAGATTTTTAATTTTCATACCCAGTCATCATCCGTATTGTGTGAAAATCCAACTACCGTATTTACACAATTTTCCGGGTCGATTATAGGTTAAGTTAATACAAATGTTATTTGTATTAACCTGATACTTATGCCTATGTTTTATGCCACAGAACATATAAAGTATGCGCTGTTAGGTAATAATACATAGTAAAGCTCATACATGACATCTGAGTATACTTGGAGAGTGACCCTAGCCTATCTTTAGTCTTTAGTCTTTAGTCTGTCTCGGAGAACCTAACGGGTAACCGGGGCTCCGGCTCGACGTGCAGGAGAAGGAACGGGGTGGTTTTTAGTCAGTAAGAGTCTGACACTCCCTCCCGCCTCACCCAGGCGGGAGCAGTCATTCGATGATTTTCACCCCTTAAAAAAACCCTATCTTTAGTCTCATCCACGTGGTTGTAATTAGCCGCAAACTGCAAAACTCAATTCACTTCATATGGCCCTAATTATTTGTTTAAGTAGCAAAATATGATATTTTTTATTATCATGAAAATAGGTACTTACTACTCACTCCAAAGATTCACAACGCTAAGCAATGGTGGCTACACAATGTGTTCTGGGTTTGATTCTCGCAAAAGATGGGCAATTTATCTGAATGTGCAACGTGTTTGTGTTTCATGTGTGACACAGAAAACAGTCTTAACCGAGATATAAAGTTTAAATAAATAAAATGTCTCAATCAAATCATTTGTGTTTCAAGCGATGAGTCATCATATTCAGACCTGGGACGCCTCCGAGAGCGGACCAGAGCGATGCTGGGCACCCCAGCAGAGCCGCTGGTACAGCACTCACATTCACAACCAAACAGCAGAAGAATGTCATCAGATATCGAAGCCAAACTCGCTGCTAACTTGAACACAAGGTATTTAAAACAAACATATTACTTGTCAAACAGAGTCCACGAGTGTATGAAGTGTAAGAACGAACAAACGTGTGACCTGATGGTAAGCAATCGGCTCCGCTTATAGACAACAGCAGAAGTACTTACTAGTGCGTTGATAGATGAAATTTAGAGATTGTCAATTAAGAATTTGGGATTGGAAATGGAGGGAGGATTTTTAACGGAATCATCATTTTACTTTAGAGTAGTATCACAGAAACTGTTACTTTACTTAAATTGTATGCGTTTCTGCGTGGTTAATATTGTATTGAGGAATATTGGGGTCAATAATTGCTATTCAGGTTTAAAGGTTTATTAAATCGGAAAATACTACTGAATGTATCGATTTAAATATGAATGAACAAACTGAAATACACCACGGAACACCGACAGCACATTTGACGTACCTAACCTATACCAGGTTTGATACCCGCAAGGACCAACTCTTTGTGTGAGCCTCAAATTATTCTCCAGGGTCTGGCTGTAATGTATGCATGTCAGATTTTTTCTATGATTAATAAAGAAGAAATCCAATTGCAGCTAAAGAAAGACCATTGACCATTAATTCTACAATTAATAGCTGTATCTAACTATAACAAAATCCCTAAAACATAAGATCATTTCAGACGACCATCGGCTATAATCGCAGCGTTTCGTCGTCCGTCACAAGCGTTGGCATTGTGTGCGGCTACACAACGCAGGTTTCTGTCTGAACTGTCGCCGCAATCACGCACGTCTGTCGCCTCCACCTCCCATGACAACCCGCCCTCAGCTGCCGAGATATTGGGCCAGTGAGTATTGTGTTTTATACTAAATAACTGTTAAATGATTTATTATGACTAGAAAAAAAAAGAATAACTATCACAGCATATTTAAAAAAAAACCTAGGTACATGCAACAACGAAGTTTCAATTTATGAAGTTTTTGGTAACTGTAAAATGTTTCCTATTCCTTTTAATTGAATTTATAGTCTTATCATAGGGTTTTGTTCAATAATATAATTCTAAATAACTCATCATAGGGCAGGAATATAATTTACAATAACGACTTTTATGTCTACAGAAAACTTTTCCGAATTGAAAACTTTACACGACACCTGTATCATCTTGAATACCTACATTTGCAATAAGAAATATAAATCAAAAAGCCAGAAAATCCTTGAGTAAATATTCGTAAGGCTGGAACACACAGAGTACGATAAATCAGAGTGAGCCGGCAGCGGCACATGCCCACGACACGACACACGCGCATTGCACCGCAAGATCCAAATACTTGACATGGGCCTTCATACCGCAAACTTACACTATTTCAACCATTACCAGAAACGTACAGAAATATCATAATTTAGTTAACATTTCATCTTATTACATTCGAGACTCTTTAAATCACGTTCCGTAAAATAAATTCATAAAAAAATCAGTTACATCAGTATCATTAAAATATAGGTCAATTATGTTGTCCAAAATCAAAAGATCATAGAGATTCCGTGGTGATGCTAAAAATATCGAATTCATAGCAACACCGAATGTACTTAGTTTAAAAAGTGTAGGTATGTACTTAGTCTTAACTATTTTTTATAAAATCTAAGATGGCTATTAAAAACTAATATCCCACTATGAATTATTATATCTAATCACCTTTTACGGCATTCGCAGTAAAAAACTTTTTATCGATATTTATGAATCAATAATGTTCTATGAAGTAGGGTAACGGCTTGTAAACTTCCAAGAATTTCTCCCGTAAAATATCATTCAGAAAGGTTTGTTTTCACGATCTATGTGTTTGTGTATTATATAGGTATATCTGTCCGTTTATTGTATCGAGTCCTTTGACAAAGGTCCTTTTAAATCTGTTCAGTTGTTGAAAGTACTTACACAAAAAATTGTATTTAAAAACTATGTAATGGAAAGACTGGAATAGTTTTAGGGAATTCTAGGTAATTTGTGATTGTTTTCTCAATAAATATACGTATGGTCATTGGTCAATGAGATGAAAAACTGCAAAAAATCAGCTAAGTAAAGGTTAATTTGAAGTACACTGAAATCGTATTTGCTTCTACATAAAAATGACCGTTACTTCTATCTATTCCGTGTTTTTTTACAAAAGCTTTACAAACCCTTCACAATACAAAAAAAAAACATTAAACCAGTACCAATCAATAACCGTTATAATTAACAAAGCAACTAAATCTACGTAACAAAATCTTGTAGTAAAACATGTATCCAACTTCTTCATAACCTAAAATACGTAATGATGTCACCATTTTAGTTATATAGTAGAGCAGCCTATTTAGAGGTAAATATTATTCAGTTGGATAGCGTCATGTAGTCCACAGACAATGAAAAGCCTCCGTCGCGTCAAAACCATTGAAAAGCACCCTTTATTTGTTAATAGATAGACATGTTCACAATGGCACTGTGAACATTGAAAGCAAACATCAACTATACGTATGTAATTAGATTGTGAAAATGTTGAATGGAACTTGCTGTGGCGTTTGATACAGTGGGACACTACTGTTGTTCCTGCTTTTCGTAATGTGTTAGTTGAAAAGCTAAGCATGAAAATGTTTTTTTACTTTCATAAATTACGAGAACTCTGTAAAGACTTCATGTATACGGTAGATAATCTGTATATAATCATCCTTTTTATTTTCGTACTTTTGTTGGTTGTAAATATTAGGTGAACTATGTAACGAATTTTGACTCATTCTGTTTTCTATAAAAGCTAACATATAATTGTAAAAAGCAATACGTTCCTTAAAATGCGTCAATGGTAGTAAAATTCAATATAATTACTTACAGAATAAAAATGATTAATTATCGTTTTAGTGAGGCTCTCAGTAAAGCGCTTTCGGCTTTATACGCAAAGCTGCTGGTGGTACTGGGCTTGGCTTTCCCCATCACTGAAGTCATCGCCGGCGGAGTACCTGATGGCTACTATCAGGTCAGACAATTATGATATCTACGTAAAAGTACATCGAATTGAGATTTCTATAAATAGAAACTTATATTCTATCTTAGCAACCGCCTCGTTACTATGTCACGTCACATTTATACCGTATTTTTGATGATAACGTTAAACTAAAGTGGGGCAATCGCTCTATTAACTATATCATTTTTGTATCAATGATAATGAATATTTTTGTTTCTTTTTCAGGGATTCTATTTATATCTCTACCTAGTATCGCTAATATTCGTAGTGTTCCAATACGTAAACATAATGCGTCAAAAGGCTGTCAACCTAATCATCCACGACTACGGTAAGAGCTTACAATTCCTTTTCAACAAACACAATGGCTTCGTAAACAATAAGATCCACCAACATGCTTAAGTAATTAACCACATTTGCTTAACAAAATGAGACATTAAAATCACATTTGTTTGCATAATTACTCCGGCAAAGAATATTACCTTCCTTAGTTTTCATTCCACTAACGTTTTCAGCCATTCGTATAAATGTGGCGGAAAATTTAAATCTACGTATGTTGTCTAACGACGAACTATATATATACAATTAATTTTTATAGAGGACACTCTGAAAGAGGATAGAAATGGGAAAACTACACCTGGAGAAAAACCAAAAATAATAAAAGAGAACATTTCTCGCTACGGCAGTTTTTATCTGAGGCTTGGCGGAATTGGTAAATTGAAAGCATTTATGCAATTTTTATTTTGACTTTTAAACTTTCAATTTAACTTAACCTGACTCTTTGCCTTTTATTTTTTAGCGTTCGGCATTGGTTCAATGGTGTACAGCGGTTTAGAATTGGGTGAATATTTCGAAATGACAGATAAGTGCCGCTCCATCCTGTCAGTGATTACACCGGCTTTACGAATGGCCCTAACTCTGGCACAAATGCAGTTCATGTTCCTGACTAACAAAGACATAGAATCAGGCACGTTCAAACTCATACAGAGATTTGGTTTTATGCATATGGTGGCAACGAATCTATGCGAATGGTTGTACGTGCTGGTAGAAGAAACAAAGCATGAAATACATCATTTAGAGCATACGATACTGGCTCCAGTTAATGGTACGCATCATGTTGCTGATGCCATTCCATGCCGGAGGTCAAATATCATGGGAGCACTCCTCCAAAATGCTGCACCGTTCTTATTTCCTTGTACGATTGAGTACTCCTTGATTTGTGCCGTCATATTGTATGAAATGTGGAAAGAGGTAGTTATTACTACATATATTATCCTACCAATACTCAAAAAAATCTCCTGATCTGTTAGTAATATACAAACATAATTACAGGTCAAATGCACTCCAGAAGACTTTGAGAAAAAATTCAATGCTCCTAAAAGTAAATCTCGAAACAATTCAGTGACGCCTGAGAAAATTCTGCAGCAGTTTGGTAAAGTTTCACACAATTTGGTCATAAGTTAGACAAATAAAAACTTAGATTACCCAAAACAGAATTAAAGTGCCTCAGATTTAGCTTCTCTGACGCTTCCCCCTAAAAAAATATCTTTTTGATCACTATTCTCCATAACCATCAAATTGACTTTGTTTTCTTTTTCAGCTGGTATGTTAGGAGTGAGTTCGCCACATGGCAGTCGCACTGCCCTTCACCACTTCTCCGTCGACTGCTCGCATGCCCACCGTGGTCTCTTCGCTGGAATCTTAATCATCGTCTTCACTATAATTTCCCTCATCATGTTCTTTGTTTTGGCTCACAATCAAGAATTTATCACTGTAACTATTTACACTATCAATAATATACTTAACCGATTTTTTTATTTGTTCTTCAACTTTAGTGTTTTCTTTGCAGGACGCCATTTTCGAAGTAAACGTCTGCGAGTTGATTTTATACTCGTTATCTTTGATAGCTTGCGTAACAGCTATGATACAAATGAGAGCATTAGCTTATAAAAGGAAATCTAAAGGTTTGTTTCTAGATTAATATTATTTCCATATATTTATTTAAACTTTCTCTAAAATTACATTTTTAAATACTACAGTATAAAAATAATATTTAAAAATATAAAAATAGGAGCCGACCAGTAGTGGGAGCATGGTCCAAGCTACCGGTGGTTAGGGCTCCAGAGACAGAAACCTCCTCACAATGCGCGCCGTTTCAAGGAGAACTGCCTTCTGTATCAGGCCCTTGACCCAACTGCCTAACGCTAGCCTCCTAAGGTGGTTGTCGAGGCTATTAGGGATTAACCCATTGGCCGACACGACTATCGGCACAATGATAGCCGAATCTACATTCCACATGTCGACAACCTCGTGAGCCAAATCAAGATATTTGATTTGTTTATCTTTTTCAGCTTTCACGAGGTTCTCATCATGAGGAATAGTGATATCGATTATCATCGTGCGGCGCACTTGTCGGTCTATCACCACTATATCAGGTTTGTTGGCTATAATAGTCCTGTCAGTGATGATAGACCGGTCCCAGTACAACGTGATATGGTCATTTTCCAGAACTGGGTCGGGCACATACTTGTAGTACGGTACCTCAGACTCAACAAGTCGATAGTGCAAAGCAAGTTGCTGATGGATAATCTTGGCTACTTGATTATGCCTATGCAAATATTCACTGTTAGCCAAACGACCACAACCAGAAATAATATGTCTAATGGATTCACCAGGACTATGACATGCCCGACATATGTCAACCGTCCCATCCTTAATTATATATTTCCGGTAGTTATTCGTAAGGATAACTTCGTCCATAATTGCACAGACAAATCCTTCAGTTTCTCCAAAGAGATTACTGAATCGTAGCCAAGATACGGACGCTAGAAAATCTACACTGGGCCCATGAAGGGCCCGGAAGAAGCGTCCGTGGAGCTCCTTGCTATGCCATACCTCCTTGCGATCATTGACGCTCAGTACCACAGGTTTGCGCCAGTTCTCTTTTGCCAAGGATAGCGGAGTGAATCCATTGTCCATCGCTGCTACTTCTCGATGCATACCCTCGTTGACTTTCAGGAAATATTCCCTGAGGCTGCACACCTCACGGTTGTGAAGGGTCTTAGCATTTAATAGGCCTCGACCACCACACTTCCGCGGGATGTACAACCTCATGACCGACGAACGAGGGTGATGCATGCGATTTGCAGTCAGCAGGGTCCGGACTCGTCTATCCAGGGTGTCAAGTTCAGTCTGTGTCCACTTGAGTATACCAAAAGAATACATTAGGACTGGCATGACCCAACCGTTAAAGGCTCGCACCTTGTTTCCGCCTGATAAGGAACTTTTTAGTACCTTATTCAGGCGGCCAAAGAAGCACTCCTGTAGCGATTGCTTCATGTCCGGTCCATTAATGCCTAATCCTTCTGACATACCCAGGTACTTGTATGTATCGTTTGCGGAGAGTGATCTCAGTTTTGTGAAATCTGAGAGTTCTAGTCCCTCAGATTCCACAATCCCTCCTCGCTTTACATGCATGACCGCACACTTGTCTACTCCAAACTCCATTCTGATGGAACTACTAAATTTTTCAGTTATATTCAGTAGTTCCATCAGTTGTTTCTTGTTTGGAGCAAACAACTTGAGGTCATCCATGTAAAGTAAGTGGGATATAACTAGACCCCTTCTCCGCAAAGGATAGCCTAGCCCTGAATCCTCCAGTAGAGTACTTAGAGGATTCAAGGCCAAGCAGAACCATAGTGGGCTCAGGCTGTCACCCTGGAATATTCCTCGTACTATCCTTACAGGTTCTTCAGATTAATATTATTATTATTTATCATTTTATAGCATGTTTTGTCTTGTCAAAATTAAACTACTAATTTCCTAACTGGATATTAATATTGTATTCTGTTTTCTTCTTAGCTCTTTTGGGCCTGGATCCATTTTTATTGATTTTGGCCCAGTCTGGAATGTTTGTGTACTGCATGTTCAGCCTAATTGGAAGTCATCACACTCAGGACTTGAAGAACAGTGTTGGTCTAACTGGATTCTTCTCAGAATTCTTATCACTCAACCAGGTGAGTTTATTAATATCTGCTTATTGTTCTTTATATTTAGGTTACATGGTACGGTATTTATTAGGTTTTTTTTGTATGTATGTGATTTAAACTACTTTTAATAACTTGGAATGAGTGATATTTTTATTGATAACGCGCATATTTTCTGAATTATACGTTCTTACAGATGTCCACAAGCAACTCCCTAAAAACACCTTTATTGATTCCGTAAACATTTCTAGCACGTCAACTCAAAACAGTAGTCCATTCAGAGCACATTTGCTCTACTAAGCCAGTTTGCTTTTTCCAGACTATTCTGCAAACTTTATTCATAATTGACGCTTGGTGGCGTCGCAGCACTACGTCGGAACAGCGGAGAAATAAACCGGGACGACAGCTCGTCACCTTCCTGCTGGTCGCCAACATGGCGATGTGGGCCATCAATACACTGGAGAAGGTATGCTTTGTGTAATTGTGAGATGATAATGCGTTTGTGAAGTTTGATTATTGTACAAGTTTTGTAATAGGTAGTAAAGAGAATATTTGTAACTTTATGGTGATACAATTTGTCTGTTTTTCTTTATTAAAGGCAGTTGCGATTAAGCAGATACGTACTCAGTATATTTTAAAATTCAATTAACTTTATTTTTTAATGGTCTCTGCTAAAACTAAAAATATTTATTTTTAGTTTTCTTTTACTTAAATGTTAGTTTGTTTTAGTTTATTTTAAGTTCTATTTTTATATATCATCTCATTAAATAATTTCAACTTAAATCGAGGATAAATATAAAATTTATGCCATATTCTCCAAATTCCAGAGCCGTGCAGAATTCCGCCCAGCACATCTGACTTTCTACGGACCATGGGCATGGACCATCATCACCCACGTGTCTATGCCATTGGCCATCTTCTACCGGTTCCATTCCACCATCTGCCTCTTCGAGATCTGGAAGAATTGCTTCAAGAATAAACCTATATACTTAAACGTTTAGTTATATTATTGTTTATAAAGCGATAAGAAAGAATATAATATAATTATAATGATCTATAAAAGTGAATTAATATATTTCGTACCTGATTGTAGTTGTTTTATTTTAATCCTAAAATAGATAGGTTGCAGAGCGCATATAAAATGTAATTCTATTTATCTGTTATGTTATAAGCCCCAAACAAAAGGGTGTGACTGAATTAATTAATGCCAAAATAATATTTAATTTTATACTTCTTACCGAGTCTTTATCAGATTCAATGTTCAGATCAGTTCACTGACCTTAATGAACCTTTTTGTTGAAATCTACCTAAGAATGAAGTATTCTTCGTTACACTCTAGCCACACCTTTACGTGTAGTTTCAGTACGAAATTACCAAAAACTATGTTTTTTACCAATAAGTCTTCCGACTAAGGATGATGATGATAAGGGGAATTGGTGAAAAACTTTTGCCCAATCAAATACAGGGCCATTGCACGATTGTCCTCTCGATATACAAAATAAAAGGGCAACGAAATATTCACTAAAATTTCTTTGTTGACAAGTCAGCTGACACATGGTGCATCACTATCATAATACGTTAGATTGAAACTATTTGTAAATTCAATTCTTAAACTGAGCTTTAGATAAGGACACCAAAACATAACCGAGACATTTATCTTATTCATACTCATGTGGAAGAGTGCACGTAATAAGAGATCACTTATTGTTTTAACAAAGTTTTAGGAGCATAGTACGTGTCAGTATTAAGAAAGTCTAAACCTTTTTAAATATGTTCTCCAAGCCGCCTAACAAGCGTGCATAATTTAGCAAACCCATAAAAATAAAGGAGATCTATAGATATTCCAGCAGCTACTGCATTTTTGGCAGTCGTATGCATTCGGAGAACATCGATTTCCGAAATTAAAGATAATCAACAATGTCTTTTCTTTACTAAGTTTGGGATTAGTACTGAGTTTGAAAAATATCAGGCTAAAAATTCTATAACCTGTCCTTTGTTACATCTTGATAACACTAGGTTATAGTCATGAAACAAATACAAAGGCCATAGAAGATTTTTGGGCATTTAACTTGCCGTAACTTTTATCTCAAAGTAGATTCTAGGTATAAACACAAAACATAACATCACGCCTTTATCCCCGAAGGGGTAGGCAGAGGTGCACACACCCTCTTTTCACTATTAAATGTTATGAGTCCTATGTAATAGGAGGTGAGCCTATTGCCATATACCGGGTACATTTCCAGACGCCATGCTACTACTGAGTTTTTTTTTAAAAACCCAGTAATACTTTGCCCGACTCGGGAATCGAACCCGAGACCACTTGCCCGGCAGTCGCACTTGCGACCACACGGCCAACGAGGCAGTTTAGGTATAAACATAGTGTATTAAATAATGATTCTCATTACAGACACTATGAATACGTAACAAAATAACCTGTAATCAATATTAAATCTTGTTGACACATTGAAATGCCCAATAACCACAAATGGTGTAATTAACACCGTCCGTCCTTTGTCACAAACCAATATCTGTAAACAAAACTTGTAATTTATTTACCTCAGCTCTTGTTACAAACTAATTATTTTTTAAATGACCCACTTACAATAACTTAGGATTTGAATAGAAAATCTATCTAAACTGTAACACAATAAGAAGCAATTTGCATAAAATGCAAACTTAAAATATCCGAAAATAAAATCCTTATTTGTTTGGTTTTCTCAGTTGCATGTGCATCTTTTGAGGAGAAGGCTCTGCTTAAAATCTCTTTTAAGATTGATGTGGAAAGAATACAGTTGAATTCCCGTCAAACGGATTACGTTCCTTCGAGAATTAAAAAGGTATTCTAAAATCTTGAGGAAAGATCACGAAAAAATTTACAATATTACTAGCGAAAAAATATGAAAAAACAAACTCTAACATAAGTCGCCGTTAAAACATGTTTGCCTTCACGTAAGTCCAGACATTAAACTGTAGCGTCACGTCTTCGGCGCAAGAGTTGCTTAAACCCACGTCAAGATAAGGGAGGCTATCTTTAGATAGTTGCGATCTTTTTCATACTTCCCAGTCACCATGTTGAACTGTGAGAGACGTCAACTCGTATTATGGATAACGTCATCGTAGAAGATGTTGTGTGGTATGTACAAGAATTAATTTAGTTTTAATAAATATCTTACATAATAATTATGCTACAGTGATAAGATAAGATCTCTTTTCCAGTCTGTTTGACTTTCTTTTTGAGTTTGTTTTAGTTTTTTGGTTTAAACAATGTTTGTCCTTTGTTCAATTATTTGCTGCTTTGTGTTGCATGAGATACGGGAGTTTTTTGAGTGTAACCAAAGACTACTACCTCATTTTCGATTGAAATTTAAAATAGATCGATACTGCTAAATAACTTCAGTATTTAGTATGGGCACTTGCTTTTTTATTTTTAGTGAATAATTAGATATAAAATTATTGTATTGTTTGACCGCCTCGGTGGCCGAGTCGTCGCAAGTGCGACTGCCGGGCAAGGGGTCTCGGGTTCGATTCCCGGGTCGGGCAATGTGCCCGGTATATGGCAATAGGCTCACCCCCTATTACATTGTATAGTGGCATTAAGTGCCGTAATGTGCATCTCTGCCTACCCCTTCGGGACTAAAAGGCGTGATGTTATGTATGTTATTGTATTGTCAGTATCATCGAGATGATTTAAGTGCGATTTGCAAAAAACAGAATTGATAGAAAAATGAGCGTATTGATAAAAATATTTAACTACGAATCCAACAAAATAACGTTCATATTTCTCTTAAACAGATTGGTAAATACAAATAATAAACAAACGAGCATCATAAAGACCATTCACTGCTACAATCCTAAAAAAGAAACAGTATTAATTTATCGTCGACTAATCTCTGTACACTTACTCTGAGACTAATGACCTAGTTCCAATCTCTCTAAGATAGCCATGGATAAGAAAACAATGTAAATTATCTGCACTGGTCCGAAATTAAGACTCACCTTAAATATTTACTTAATACCGTCATTTAAACACGGTTTGGACAGGCCAAATGTTTGGGCAAAGATTACTAGTACATAAACATAAAAATCACGTGTTAGTACTCAGAAATGTTTACTTTATAATATTTGTTTTCTTTCAAATTCTTCAGTCATGATTGTAGTCGAAATCTTATAAACATCAGCACTTAAACTGGTTACAGTAGACTTTCATTAATTTGACGAATTATTACTATCTACATAGAAGAGAAGAAGGAGACGGATATGTTTCAGTTTCACTTCTCTCGTGTTGGTTCGACTAACTGCGATGACAATAATTGTTAATACCAAGTTTGCCCGATTAAAAGCACTATTACCAATTTACAAAAAGACGTATGTAAATCAAAATTCAAGACACTAAACTTATTTCATACATTATAAGCACCAATAAACATAACTTTGATGAAAAATAATTAAAAATTCACACAAGTTTAAACCTAGGTATATTTGTTTACAAAAATATAAAGATAAAGACATTTATTTGCGTAAAACATGGTATAGTTACAATAGATCATCATATTTTGCTTAATAAATAAAGCAAGCAGATTTTAACTTATACATTATTTTAACTAAATTATTCGTGTAGTATAGATAGGTTCTATATTATTTATCTTCAAAAAATTCATTAATGCTGTAAAAGTCATTTTCATTCAACCATACATTACATATAATGTAATTTTAACACACATAGATAGGCAGCTTATAAGTGCTGTAACACACTTCCACTTCAAGGTTTGGATTTGTTTGGCAGTACACGTCTATTATATGATGAAGATAATGATACATTTATTAATAAATCTCTAGGACACCTGATCGACGTGACTCGAGGACATGTTACGAGCATGCGTCCCATAACTACCACCCCATCAGACAGACCAGCACTACTCTGGAACGAAAACTTCGACATAACAGGTCCGTATATACTTTACGTCCGTACAATGTCGTTATCGCCTGGTAGTTTAAGAAGCCTGCTTCCTATGCATGAGAGTACGGGTTCGGAACCTACCAATGGGAAGTTCTAAGATTATCTAGACACCACTGACACGGTAATAATATATGATACTATTACCGTGCTTCTTACAAACGGTGAAGTAAAACATCGTGAGGAAATCTAGGCTTATAATTTCTGTGGTGGTAACATAGAATAATACAGTTCATTGTGGACCCTATCGGGCACAGCAAGGAAAATATATAATTTTAATACAAAAAAAAACATTACATAAACAATATTAGAGCATTTAGATATAATCTATACGAACAAAAAAGAAAAAAAAACAAAAAGACCAATTATTATTATTAATTAACAAATTATACATAATATTAAAATTACAGTCCAGTTAACAAATTAATATTAAGAATTATTGTTTAGAAATTATACTGTCATCAAAAAAGTCTTTAAGAGTGTAATAGCATTTATCTATTAAATATTTTTTTAGTCTCGATACAAATATATTGGTTTTTTCTACCTCTACAATTTCCCTTGGCAGTTTATTGTATATCTTTATAGACATTACCAGAGGGCCAGAATGGTAAATTTTTAGTCTAGATGTGGGTAGGTTCAATCTGTTTTTGTGGCGTAATGAGTAGTTGGTTTGCTTCTGATCGCGGGAAGTGTAAAAAGGCCTTTGGTCAGCAGTGGCCACTCATAAGCTGTTAATGATTGATGATGATACATTTTCTAGGTAATAATTTAACTTTCCGAGCGTCTGTATAACGTTTCCGTATTGAACGTTCGTCATATATTAAATAACTTTCAAAACTAAATGCATTCGTACTGTTGATTTACTGGAAATTTAGCACAAATTACATACTAGAAAACTTAACTCATAGTTTGTTTTCTGAGCTTAGCATATCCCAATTAACATCGTCATCTTCAAAATATTGATGAACGAAAATATAATTAAATGGAGACAGCGACAGAACCAAAAAAATTACTTCAAAACAGAGTCTAAAAAATCAAAGCCAGACATTTTTACAAAATTAATCTAGCTTAGCTTAATAAATATGACATGAACAGAAATCGTATAAAAAGCGGCCATGTAAGGCGTTTGAGATGGAAAACTAATTAATCGCTTAGGACGAGCTGAAAGCCGGGCAGTATTGCATCTGCATATATACGTCTGGCTCGTTAGGAACCCCGTCTGAAAGTGACACCGTCGACGCTAATTACCCATGAGGACAACATCTTACCGACCAACAGATAAATATTTAGAGCTACTTCTTTATTTATATTTTATTTAAACGGCATTTTTTTGTCTGGATAGATTTTATTCATTATATTTTTAAATGAAGATTGAAAGATGAACTTTTTGCTTGATAGCACGGATGTCCTAAACTTAATTTTGTGTGTGTCTATTACAAAAGGAAATATGTTTATCCAATTTGTAGTCATTCAACAAGTATTCAAGACAGAGAGGTGTCATAATATTTTTAAAAGAACCTCTTATTTGCGTAGTTACTAGGTATATATTTTATTTTATTGGCTTATACAGTTTTAAAATACAGTTTTTTCTTTGAATCCTTCTATGGCGCTTTTCATTTGAGTAGAACGAGAACACCACATATTGCCGACTTTCTCATTTCGAGCATGACGTCATCGATATGTCATGTGTTTTTTATTATTCTCCGATCTCTTGCGAAGTGAGAGGTTCTGGTAGAGGGAGGTCAAGCTATAATGTTGTCCTTGTCATTTTATGCATGACGTCACTGATGTGTTCTATATTTTAATTTTTGTTTGCAAAATCCCGTTAAACATAGTGCATCACCTCAATCTACGGACCAAATTAAAATTAACTATGGTAACTTCAGATTATTCCTGAATTTTCTTTGAAAAAGTCCGTGCCTTTATGAATCACATATATATAGTACACTTAATTAAACTTCGGCCCATTAATTCCTAAATCAAATACTACATTTAATTAAACACATTTTATGCTCATTCCAATTTAATTATACCTAGAATTGTGTTATTAGGAAATTAGAAACAGAATCAAAGTTGCATTCCTGCTCATATACCGGGCTCCTTGCAACTTCATACTTTCAAACTAGGTCATGTTATAATAACGTACACATGAATACTGTTGTACCTGTACATTCTAGAACCTTTCTGTCTTTAATAAACCGGAGTAACATTATATCGGAGAGAAAATGTTACTGCCATGTTGATTAACTCTCAGTCGAATATCTGGGGATAAGGATCGATTTATGTGACATTAGTTGTATACAGTTTCTGTCCAAAATGTATTGATTTGACACAGATTTTGAATTGAGATAGGTTATTCGCACGTTATTTCCGATTGAATATGAAAATCATTGTATATGATTGAGTATTAAAGTATTAAGTGTAGGAGAGCCATGCCTCGGCACGAATGGGCTGACTCGACCGGAATGGTTCCACGGCCTTACAGAATACCGACGTGAAACAACGCTTGCGTTGTGTTTCGTCGTGTGAGTGAGGTTACGGAACGACCAATAACCTTAAACCCACCCCACCCTTCCCCAATCCCTGAATCCCCAATAATCCTCAAATTCCTAATCCCAAAAGGCCAGTAACGCGGTAACTTACCTCTGGTGTTCCAGGTCTCTATGGACGATGCCGATTGCTTACCATCAGGTGATCCGTCTGCTCGTTTATCGGCTTATACCATAAAACAATATTTCGTTCAAAAATGCCTTCTTGGTGTAATTGAAATAAATGATTTTAACTTTGACTTTGACATTATTGGGTCCATGATAGCTATGAAGAAACTGTATTGCAATGAAATTGTTATATGCTCCTCTTATAAGTTTCCACTTCTGTTTCTCTCTGTCTCTCAACAGGACACAGAAGGACTTATCAGCGTAACCAGAGCCATTTAATGTTAAGTAAATATTCGACACCCAGTCCGTAGCAATTGTTTTACGACCAAAATCGTTACTGAGGAATAGTTTAATCATAAAATGTCTCTGAGTAAGGCAGTTAAGCTTTCAAATGCACCAAAAGACTGCACCTACAACTGAGAAATCCCTAATCCTTAGTACTACGAGTAAATGACATGGAACTAAAACCTTTTTGAGTGTTATCTGAGCTGTTAACAAAACAAAACATGTGTTAACGATGACGTATACACTTTATACGATGACACAATTCAATTGTGATGACGCTGGACGTATTTCCAATTTTAATGACGTTATCTCTATAAGAATTTGTCACGATATTTGTATCAAACTACCTATAGATACTAGAAATATGAGTCGCTAGATATATGAAGCTATATGAAAGAAAACGTGTCCACCACAGCCACTTAGCATACTCGCTAATTATCGTTTGTCTTACTTATAACTTACTAATGTAGGCGTGTATCTATATGCTACATATTATACAGTTCTATTTATAATGCACGAATTGTACATAGTGATTTTTGGTCAACATTATTTATTGTAGAAGCTGGTAATCAAACATCTACCAAACTCCAAAGGATTGCCTGCTGAACAAAATTGCTTAAAAATTTCATCAAAACTGTTTCAGTCGTTTTGGAGTTAACTTTTGTAATCAAAGACTGCGTGGCTCAAAAGTTATATGAAAATGAGACATTTTGTACTTATATACTGAGTATTTTAAAGTATGTCTACATTAAAGAAATTAAGAACCAACGTAAATGCTATGTATTAAATAATATTCATATTTAGGTATTACCGATCTCAAGCGTCAGCGATTGGCAACCTTGTCCTATTTTCGATACCCTACATACAGGGTACCTACGTCACCGGGCGAATACAAGGCCTACGCCATTTCTCTTTACCTATAGTTACGTTACAGGCTATTTATTTACGGACATTATCTTTTCTGTTTCGATATTTCTTGTCTTTTTTACATCAATAGAGAAACATTGTTTTATAAATTGATTCAGTAACATTTTAATTTTGTTGCAGCAATAGCTAATAAATAATTATTTTTGTTGAGGGCTTCATATCTGGTGATGTTTAATGGATTTATAAATAGCAAATTAATCAAGCAATAGATATTGAGTACCTAACCCATTTCTTCATATAGTATCTCATTCTGTCAAAGTGTCCATAGTGCGGCAATTGTTACTGCTAGTTGGCGCTGTCATCGTATATCGGCGACGGCGAGCACAAAGCTTTATAGTTCAGGTTATAGGCAGCCGAGCTTATTGTTATGAAGCGTTGCGATTGTTAGTTGCATCTCCATGTATTGATCGCCTCGCCATAGACACCTGTAGGAATCGTTATGAAATTACCTACTTGTAACCAGGTCAGCGCTGTACCCGTTATACATCAGAGGTCCCGACAGTTTACATTCAAATGAAACGTAATATTGATCCAATCTCAGTTGTTCAACATCCAAAACTAAGCTACAAAATAAACTGTTATCTTTAAAATTCAGATTTCGGTAGCTATTCTGCATTTAAAATAATCTTCAAACTATTTGTTCAACAAATTATTTCATAACGCCTCGCAATTTACTTTAAGAATGACTCATGCTTGTCTACCGGAAAATTCTTCAAAAATACCGAAATGTTTCGTTAAAAAGTGTGACTCCTCGTCACAAGCTAGTCAAATAAGTTCTGTAAATGAAATATAATAAAGAAATATTTATATTTTAATACAAGTACAACCCTGTCGCAGTTACAAACTAATTACTAACACACACGGTTGCGAGATGTCGTTGCGTTTTGTATCATCCTAAACAGTTGGTGATACACACTACTAGACACAACATCTTCGACGACAAGGCTCGTGAAAAACATAATTTAAAAGTGATATTCAATTCTAAAAGTGATTAAAAGGATTTGATGACGAAAAATAAAGATAAATCTAATCAAAATGCATCGAGGGATTGGCGACGGACGTCGGAACCCCTCATCGAGGTGCCTGAAGATGAAAGGTGAGGGGTGGAGGTTCATTAAAACCCACTATTAGTAGATAAGCGCTTGCTCAAACAAAACAACTTAGTATAACGATAAATCGACACCGCTTTATGTAACACTTTTAATGTTGTTATGTACGGAATTTGTTCCGTGTTTATATTTAAGCTGTCGTGTTACTGAAGGGATTTTTGTGAGTGATATAAAGAAGTGTGATGTCGGAAAAGCTAAACAATGTTAATTGTATACGTTAACGGCGTACCTTCTTGTATTATTTAACTATGCTATCGATGTACGATGAGCGTACAGCTAAGAGTTAGCTGTCACGCTCCTTTACATATTTGTAACTTTATGTAACCCTGTTTACATAGTAAATGCACTTTAAGTATATCGCTGTTACATGGGCAATGACATGTGCGATGTTATCTCATTGTTTAACTTTATATTACTAAGAACCTGAATTTATAAATTCATAAATCACTTGCTACGAGTTGTTTTTATGTATAACGTTAACGAGTAAGTTTCTGTTCAAAGATCCAGTATTTTTATAATAACTATCGTGAGACATACTAAATTAACTAAAATCGCGGGTTACTTATGTAAGTAACCTGCGATTTTAGTTAATCCAGTATTTTCTTCTTACTAAACCTAATGATGATGTAAGTTTTGGATTTGTTAATGAAAACCAGTTGACCCGGGTCAACTCGAAGTATTTATTTCGGTCAAAATAAATTTGTCTGTCAATGAAGCTAGGTCGATATATCTTCAAACTGCGACCTAACTCCAAGGGACGGAAAACATATGCAGTGAAGGAGCAGGAATGGGGTGGTTTTAGTGAGTCTGACACTCCCTCTCGTCTCACCCGAGTAGGAGAAACCATTGGATGATTTTCCCCCCTCAAAAAAGGCATGGAAAGTAATGTTCTCCTAATTTGAGACCTATCTATAACCCCCAAGCCACCTACCCAGCATAGGTAGGAAGACTTGGAGCCTTTACTCAGCAATGTCAGTCTCGGTCTTCCGGCTGATGATAAGTTATTGAAAAAATATCAGTCACGTGAGTTTACTGAGACATTTTCAGTGATCACTGGTTCATTAGTGTAAATACTTTAAATTAGAATGTAGTTCCTTACTGGAAGGGTATATTTTCCGGCCAATTATATTTTATGATTTTTATTCTATGATGTTTGTCTGCATAACAGATAACAGATTTTTACATCTAAAAAAATTAAATAAGTTCCCGTATAGATGATTTTACATACGTCACATTGTGGAGGTACCTACACAGTTTGCCAGAATAGATAGTCCCTTACGTTAATTTAATAAGTAGCAGATTATATTGTTAGCGCTCTTCTCGCCTGTGGCACAGGATATTCTTCCTAGTACAAGCAATCAAACTTAGTGAGATATCTGATTTTAAATTAAGATGTTTATCTGTACTGTGACTAATTTATTATAATGAATAAAGGTTTATTATTTATAGTAAGCGCCATAATTTGTTTGGTTTCAGAGAACACCCACCACACTCGCTGCCTCGGTTGAGTGTGGTGATGCCAGCCAGTTCCAACTCCAGCATGGAACACATACCTCCCCCACCCAAACCAAGAAGAAAACAGCTCTCACATGGCGAGTAAGTATATATCTTTCATATTTACTTGTATAATCTTCAGTAAGCATCTTTGACAATATTAATATCATGAATACAAAGTTGGACAAACAGAATTTTACTTACTTACAGAATTAAGTTAATTTAATTAGACACAGCTTACGTTCAATTAGGTACCATTCTATAAGTAAAAAATACTTTAGTTAAAAATCCAATCAACAATGGCGTTTCTTAATGCAGTCTTTCCTATCACAATGGTGAACCTAAAATAGATTTGCAAAGCATTAAGGTCATCACACTCCTAGCAAGCACGGCTTCAACCCAGCAATGTCATTGTCATTTAAATACGAAATTTAAATCGTATATCGTATGACATATTTCATAATGTCGGTATAAAAATACTGTAAGAGCGCCGATCGCGCACCGACGGCGCGCTTACAAACTTTTTATATGGTTTCCAAATCAAAAGACGAGATGCCGGAGCCGTGCTTGTTAAGTATTAACCTTTAAACTACAAGTACTAGTGCTCAACCTATCATCAAAGAATTTAATGAGAAGCTACCACATCATCATCACAATCTAGATCAATACCGGCACCTCGGCGGCGGTAACCAAATTTGTTAATTTCAAAATAGACAAAGGCTTCGTTATCAACAGCAAAATGGCCCTCACAAATCCCCTAAAATAACGTTAAATTCGAGCAAGTATGCAATTAATTAGCTAATACGGGGCACTATTCACTAAAATACCTAATCCGATAACCTACATAAGGGCCTGCGCAGACGAGAGACTTTAGAATTTAGAAAAATCAACCTGCGATACTGAAAAAATATTACTGACGAATCAACACAACTGTATGATGACTTAATCCTCTTTGAAAGTTATTCGAGACATTTTTTTAAAGGTTTTTAGTCACCAACAAGTTGGTTGAACGTCTCTCGTTTGTACTGCCCTTAACAATAATAGCATTCCCGTTAATATCCCGCAACGGTTTTCATTAATTTTGTTAGAAGCGTATTAATTTCCAGTCGTTTCGTGTTTTAGATTATTTCACGTTAATTGATTCGATATATCATATTGTTCCAGCGAATCGATGACCGTCGTCCTGTCAGCATTTTATGCTAAATTGCTAATAGTATTAGGAATAGCGTTACCTGTAACGAGCACCATACAAAATGAAGTTTATACTAATGTTATATCTGATGTAAGTATGTTCCTCTATTCATTAATTTATATTTCAGGTAAGAATTATAAAATAAAGTTCAATAAAAATGTCATGGTGGCCCATAGGTTTAAGACGTTCGCGTCTCATACATGAGGTTGCGGGTTCGAAACCTATCAGCGGCAAGAACCCATGTGACTTTTTCCGAGTTATATGTACTTCCTAAGACTAAGATTATTTAGACACCACTGACAAACGGTAAAAACATAGTGAGTGAACCTAGGTTTATAATTTCTAATTATAAGTTTGAAATCGCCAACTCGCATTGAGCAAGCATGGTAATTAAAACTCAAACCGTCAGCAGTGGCCACTTATAGATGTGATAATATTCTTTAAGTTTTTTATCATCCTTCGACTATGATTATGCGACCACTGCAATGCAATACAGTACTTATTAATATTACTTATTTACTTAGTAAAATACTGACTGCCCGGTATATGGCAATAGGCTCACCCCCTATTACATGGGACTCATAACATAAATAGTGAAAAGTGGGTGTTACATTGTACAGTGGCATAATGTGCACCTCTGCCTACCCCTTCGCGGATAAAAGGCGTGATGTTATGTTATGTATGTAAAATACTGATATTGCACGATGAAACACTTATTAGATTTCTTCATGGTTTTTCTACTTTGAACGACTAGATTCTCTGTTCTTCATAATCTCAGTAATATATTTTCAAGTAAAATAAAAGTGATTCTCTGCTTCCAACCACAAGCACTTTGCATAACCCTTGCTAAAGTAACATTTACGCCCCGCCTAATAAACTTACAGAACGAACTCAATGCTCAAAAACATGACAAAAATATTATCAAGTATTTTGGTTACACTAAATGACTCTTCTCAGTACAGGAAGAAACAACTTTGTGAGGAAATATTTAGACTCAGTTTTACATACTAGATGAGAGTATTGAGAGTTTATTCATTTGTTATGTTAATTTTTAACACAAACTCTAATTGAAATATCATTACATTGTTATTACACTAATTAGGAACGTAAAAACAATCTAACAAGTGCCATAATCACCCACAACAGGAAAACTGTAGTAGAGGCAAATAACAAAAATAATAAGAAATAATTGTACCAAAACCCGAAATTCGATCTATCCCTACATGATTGTAGCAACCCCGTAGCGTATCCGTAGCTATCCCGTAGCATTGCTACGAGCTACGGGCTACGAAACTTTACGGGACAAAATAAACTACGTATTATAAGTGTGTATAAGTTATAAAGGATGTTTCTAATTATATTTTGTTGTATTTCAGGTGTTTACAATGTATTTATATATAGTCAGTATGCTCTTCTTAGGGTATACTTTTTATCATCTTCGAATTGCTAAAAGGGATAAGGATGGTAAGTTTTAAATAGTTTCTTGTGTTCATCTCTTAATATGAGATAATTTTGTAACGACAGTGTTTAAAACTTCAATTTGATTAAATAAAAAATAAATATTATGTGATTATAATAACGGTTACTATCTGAATCCGATTTGTAATCACAAATGCAATGATATAAGCAATAAGCACCTGATTATGAATTCAATTTAAAAATGTTATTTAATTATTTATTACCAAACATTAGTACTTTATTAAATAATATTACGTCAATCACAAAAACAATCTTCAGTAGATTTAAAACCGTCATTTTCTTAGATATGTAAGTAATAACAGAATATTATAATTTTTTCAGAGAACGTGAAACGAACCCGTTATGGTAGTTTCTACCTGCACATGGGCGTGGCAGGGTTTGGAGTAGGTTCCATCATCTACTCCTGTCTGCAGTTTGGAGGTTATTTCGACCTCTCTGGCGACTGCCGGCTCGCTATAGTCGCCATGAAACCAGCCCTTAGGATATTGTACTTAGTCGCCCAAACAGTCTTTATATTTTCTTATACTGATGTGAGTATTATGTTTTAAGGGTATTAATATTTTAATCTTTCTAAAAACAAATATACGTTCGTCTTTTGTATGATTTCAATTGGTCAGTCTCTGGGCTGATTGATCCGCGTTTAGGTACACGACGCGACGGGTTAAACGAAAGTATAAAATAGTCCCAACTTAATTTTAGAAGTGTTTACTTGTTTCTTTTTTAAGCCTCCTTTTGTAATTGTGTATACTTACAATAGATGACGTAGGCAAAAAATCTAGTGCACAATACAAGGATATCCGTCATCAATCCGTTTATCATGAAAATTATGCCATCCAAAATTATAGTGTACCAATTCTATCTACATGAATTAGTACCGTTCATCCGTTAAATACGTGTGATGATAAGCCAGAAGTCCAATCATCATATGTCTGCTCACCTTGACCGCCACAGGCGTCAGATCAACTACTGCTAAGTAAAAAATCACGAAGGTACTATTGTACATCTCCTCACATTTTGTGGACTGCTAATAAGCAAATAGTTTTCATTACGTGCGCTTACACCCCTACTTAACATGATTTAAACATTCATAAATGCATATCTGAAAATATACAATGCTTTTGCAGTACTTCTATTGTGTTTAACACCTAAAAATAGTTAGATCAACAAAGTAATGTGTCTATATTGATAACAATATGAATTAGAGCTCACAATAGGTTCAGATTTCAATTTATAGTGAAACTATAAGCTAAATGACGTCTTAAGTCTAATGTTCCTGCAAAGGTAAAGGTTAGGGAGTGTGCACCTACTTACGCCCACACTTCATACGGACAATCGTAATTGTGGGCGAATATTTTTCTCCCCTTGGAAAAATCCAAGATGCTTCTACGAAGAGAACTTTCCAGAAAAACACGGCAACATGTCGCTCAATCTGAGTATCACATTCCATTATACACAATCATGTTGTTTACATCTTTCGGATGTTCGATGTGAGTAAGACATAATTACCTATTACGTATGTTTAACGAATGTCTGAATGGGGATGATGACAGGGTATGAAAATTAAAAATATAATTATTCCGTAAGTTAGGTAATTAAAAAATATAAGACACGTATTTTTTTATTTTGTCGTATAATAAAAAAAATACTTAGATAAAACGAATCAAAGTTTAGGAGTGGGGGCTAAAACGTCATTTCTTAGTATATAATGTACTGAGCAGTGACGTCACGCGACATTTCAAATCAATATATCTTCGAAACTATACGTTTCCGTAATTTAAATATATTTACATATTTTCTCTCTATTTTGAAAGTTAATTTTAACAAGAGATTGAGACATTACAAAGTATGGTAATAAGTAGAGTATTAAAACGATTGGAGTTTCAGGGATGAACTAGATATTCAAGATTTTATTAATATTTATATAGCAAGGTAAAAGTTTAGTTGTGAGCTACGGGAAATGTTTTGTGGCTTGAGACTTGAGGGAGGTTAAGTTCATTTTACAGTCTTCATTATACTAATCACTTGCTAATTGGTGCTCAACCGCATCGTGGCTTCTCAGTTGAGCAAAGTTTTACAAAATCATTGGAATTTTGAAGTGATCACGTTTACTTTGATAATTTTCAGTTGGGTTACTAACTTAACCCGAAATATATCTGAAAATTTAATGAACCTTTCGCACAGTGTTCAACTGTAAGTTACCACTATTCATATCTTAGGGCCTACTAGCTTTTACCCGCAGCTTCGCTCGCGTCACAAAAGGATAAAAAGTAGCCTATGTGGCATATACCAATACACACAGCGCCATCTATACCAATACTTTTGTTTTTCCACGGGAATATCAATTTTTCCGGGTTAAAAAGTACCCTATTATTTAATCCGGACTTCTAACTTTACGTCTGCAAAAATTCAATGCAATCGGTTGAGTAGTTACGGCGTGAAGGTGGAACAAACAAACAAACAAACTCACTTTCTTATTTATAATATTAGTAAAGATTTTCTTTGTGTGTTTATAAGTCTTTTTTTTCAGATCTTGGACCCAATGAGAGGTGTAGTCCTCGACAGATTTGGGCTCATGCACTTAATAGCAACAAATGTATGTGAATGGTTGAACGTAGTCGTTCAGGAAACACGAGATGATATCTTAGTAATGGCCTATGACCGGCCAGCATTTATCCGATATGCTAATGTAACTGGTGCTTCGAAAATATTTGTAAGAGAACCTACAGAAAATAACACTTACATTCAAGAACAAATAAACAATGTAACCAGTGAGAACTTTATTTCAAATATGACCTTGAATGTATCAAATGTTGTCACGGAGAATATCAGCAACGTATGGACCTGCAATGTATCGGACATGATCACCCCTCTAATCAGGAGTGTCAACCCATATCTCAGGCCATGTGGTGTAGAATACAGTCTGTTGTGTTCCATCATCATAGTTGTCATCTGGAATGACATTTGCACAGTTCCAGGATCCGTAAGTTCTTTTTATTTCAATAAATGATTCAGAGTATTGCATAGGAACTAAAACTTGCACTATTGAACATACATACATAAATAACATCACGCCTTTTATCCCTGAAGGGGTAGGAGGTGTACATTATGCCACTGTACAATATAACACCCACTTTTCACTATTTATGTTATGAGTCCCATGTAATACGGGTGAGCCAATTGTCATATATCGGGCACAGTTCCAGTCTCCGTGCTACTAGTGAGAATTTTTTAAAAACCCAGTAAAACTTGCCCGACCTGGGAATCGAATCCGAGACCCCGTGCCCAGCAGTCGCACTTGCGACCACTCGGTCAACGAGGCAGTCATATATTGAACATATCTTGCCATAAAAATACTCATATTAGATTACTTAGAGAATTAATTACCTTCTCAGTTTACATCGTCGACCTACTTTTCAACCGCACATGTCTAATTGGTTCCGAGAATCTGCATCAGAGCAAGAACATTAATTAGGTCAATGAATTACTTATTGATCACGTTTCCAGAAACCGATAAAAGAGCCTGCACCAACCGCGACTGCCAAAGACCGGCAATGCTGTGCTCGAGCCAAATCAAATAACCATTTCTCTGTTGACTGTGGGAGTGCACATAAAGGTCTGTTCATGGGAGTAGCAGTTTTGGCGGGGACTATTGTCAGTCTGATGCTATTCAACGGATTGTTCCAGAAACAGGAACATATGAATTTAGCTTTACTACAGGTAAACTTAATAGCATGCCAGTATTGTGAACAATTGGTTAATTTGAATGTGTTTCTTTTTTTTTAATTATTTTTCTCTTTTACTAGATAAACATCTGGGAATCGATACTATTCCTGCTCATGACTATTGGTTCAGGGGCATGTATTCAAAGGATGCGAACTTTGCCACTTAAGCGTGCTGTCTCCGCACTGCCATTGGAACACGCCCTACTTCTGGTCACACAGTGTGGAGTTTATTTATACTACTTGTTTCAAATTATTGGGGCTGGATTCTTTATACAGCAATATTCTTCAGAAAATCAAGCAACCAGGTAACTGATATATAAACTTAAACTGTCAAACACCAAGCGGTCACCGGTGACCGCAACCTATTGTTCTTTAATTGTGTCTATAAATACGGTACTCGACGAGTTAAAGTAGTATATATCTACTAAATATCTACTTAAAATACGAAATCAAAAAAAATCTTAATATCACTTAGCCTGACCTGAGTCCCGAACTAATTCTTTATAGTTTCAACTCGTAAAACGTGTTATGATTTACAATAAGCTGAATCATAACAGCTTCTTGCTGCACTTTATATCATCAACATCTTTTTCAGGATAATATCTCCTCTATGTGCCGTTATTCAAAGCTCCTGTCAGACACTACTGGTGCTAGACGCTTGGTCTCGTCGCTGTGCAGGAACGGGCAGGCAACGACCGGGTCGTCAACTAGTGACGTTCCTCCTCGTCGGAAATTTCGCTCTTTGGCTAATAAATCGAGTGAAAAATGCAAGAGCGGAGTTTCATCCCTTACAGGTAAAGCAATCTATTAAGTCTATGCGTATCATAATGGAATATAAAAACCCTTACAGATAGGTATTAAATTAGTAGCTATCTTGAATTTTAGTCTGGCCCATTAAACTGTCAAACACGCGAGGACACCGGTGACCGCAACCTATTGTTCTTTAATTGTGTCTATAATGACGGTACTCAAAGAGTTAAATAACGTTTTAAAATACAAGTCGCTAATTTGGTCCCATTCCTTATTTTACAGATGGAGTTCTATGGAGTTTGGGCTTGGACTCTCATAACACACGTGTCAGTTCCACTTCTCGTGTGTTACCGGTTTCAAGCTACAGTGTGTTTCTATGAAATTTGGAAAAACTCCTACAAACGAACAAGACAAGCCAACAACATGGATGTCGATGAAATAGAACTAAAGAACCATCACAACGCCTAGTTTTTAAAAGCCAACACATTATAGATACGTAATAAATTAACCGACTGAAACTGTATTAACTTAGTTTCTTTTTACTAGAGGTATAATAACACATACATACCACCTACCTATAGAGACCACCACTTTTTTTATGGAATAGTAGGCAAACGATCTGACGGATCACCTGATGGTAAGCGATCAGCGCCGCCCATGGACACCCGCAACACCAGAGGAGTCCCACTTGATTAACATTTTAATTTTACCTGCTGTCCAACTGCTCAAGCATGACTATGTGCTAACAAAATACAAAATAGTGAATTTTACATTGAATGTGAGTAAAAATTAATGCCTACGCCTTCGAATATTAACAAGCGTAATGTTATGAACGGTTGGTGCAGTGGCTGGGTGTGTGGGTGACCAGCTGCTGTGCAAGATTTCGTGGGTTCGATTCCCACGTCGCTGTCGCTCGGGCAAAAAGTGCTTATATATTTTTTCTTATTAAAATGACCATTATTAGATCGGAGTAGGTATGCTATATCAGTGTTAGAGCATATACTTGTGCACTAAGTATAATAGATTAATAGATACATCTTGCGTAGTTTAGTCTAGTTAGGCTGGATAGTTGCCACAATGATCAAAACCAATACTGATAAATACTAGATACCATAACATGAACTGAAAATATATCTAAATGGCCTACTACTACTTACTTACAAAGAAATATCTAGCTATAATTTTATAGCTATTATATTATAAAATTCATCATAAATATATATATTTAACTCGTCGAGTACCGGTTTTATAGACACAATTAAAGAACAATAGGTCGCGGTCACCGGTGACCGCTTGGTGTTTGACAGTTTAATCAGCCTCAAGCGAAGTCACACTGGATTCTTCTTCTGATTCTTAACGTAACCTTCCCAGACCTAACCATAATTTTATTTATTTATTTATATTTAAACATTAAAGTTATCATCACAAGCACACCTAATACAATAAATGCAGTTACACATTATAAGTAAACTTAAAAACATTAACTATTACACATAATTCCTTTAAGAACATCATAGAATCATGTCAACACGACTTTAGTTTTGGATATACGAATCCTCTGGAAAATAAAAAAGTTTTTAAAGAAATCAAGACCAAATCAACGGAGCATCTTTGGAGATTAGTTAATAACCGTAAAATAATTTTGACAAAGTAAAACAAAACAACATAGGTAAGCACATAGAACATTAATTAAACTCACAGGCTATATATAATACATTTACACAAAACTGGCCCTAATAAGCGTACCTAAATAATTTTAGTAATAACAAATATATTTTTAAAATTTATGTAGGTAGGTACTATCAACATAAATTATAAAAATAGAATCAAATAAACTACAAATCCTTGGAACTTAGTCATTATTAACAACAGGCTCATATGATACTTTTGTGAACTCGTAAAGAAGAATATTATCCGTACTGTCCGCTATTGCATTCAATATGCGCAACGCTCGCGTTATTGGTGCCTGCCATGTGCAGAAGCAAGAGATTCGTGCGTGCGCACGGTACCACCAGCAGCCGCGGCCGCCGCCCACACCGCACGTACTCGTCCGGTACACACAGCCGTAATTCCTCCAGTAGGGCAGGGTGGTGCGTTAGACCTCGCAACACCTTAAATAAACAAGTAGCTAGATCTACTTCACGCCTCACCACCAATTTGTATCCTAGCATACCCAGTACAAACAACGTTGGATATGGTAATGGGTATCCGGGATATATACCGTACGATTTTGAATACACGAATCTGGCAAACTTATTTTGGATACGTTCTGTCATGAACTTATATCTGTCCTCATGTGGACTCCAGATACCAGAGTTATACTCAATAGATGTGACTTCCTATATACATGTGATGTTTATGTAAATCGTAATCAAAATTACAAATATGTTGATATTAGTGTAACTGTAACCAATAGTAACCATAGACTTACGAAACATCTGGTCCAAAAGCCCAACACCTAATATACAAAACTCCGTCATCTTGGTTCGAAAAAAGTAAAATAGACATAACCTCGGGCGTTTGTCATACCTGTCAAATTTGTGTACAACATTTCCTCATTTTAGATTTTAAAAAGAAAGGTATTTCAATAAAAATATGGCTTCTGTAATGGATGTGGATGAAGAAGAAGTAGAGATGGCTTCGTCGAGTAGCGGTAAAGGTGACAAAAAAAGATTTGAAGTCAAAAAGGTAACTATAAATTTACGCTAACTCATTGTAACGGTGCGCTATACCTTCTTTGTTGTTGTATTTGTTCCTGACCGATTTTATATATTATATTTCAGTGGAATGCGGTTGCTTTATGGGCTTGGGGTAAGAAAGATCCTTAAAATATTGATCCAGCAGATGAGTTCTTATATGCATTAACTTATACATTCGTATGTATCTATTCCAGACATTGTGGTCGATAACTGCGCGATTTGCCGCAACCATATAATGGATCTGTGCATAGAATGCCAAGCTAACCAGGCTTCAGCAACCAGTGAGGAGTGCACAGTAGCTTGGGGTGTTTGTAATGTAAGTATGAAAGAATCTTACTTGAAATACTTGCAAATTGAACCAGTTTCTCACCAATAAACTTTTCTGTATTTCAGCATGCTTTTCACTTCCATTGCATCTCACGTTGGCTCAAAACAAGGCAAGTCTGCCCTCTAGACAACAGAGAGTGGGAATTCCAGAAGTAAGTACAATTCTTATAAGAGTATGTAGCTCAAAATATTAGGTGAAGTAAATTTTATACTTTAATGAAAAAAATCATGTGTAGGTATTCTCATAATTCCAACATAACATCAACTGCTATAATCATTACTGTTTCGGCTTTATTGGTATATTAGCCCTCATTTCCGCAAATTGTAGCTCATAACAGAAATATATTTTAAGTCCATACTCCATATACTTACATTTGTCATAATTAACGAAGATTCATAACAAAAATTATTTGTTGTTTCAGGTATGGACACTAAAGCAGAATATCTACAGCGGCCATCCCTTCAAGAAGCCTCAGCTATATATTGAGAATGGGCATACCAATGTCAATATTGCATTAAGTTGATAATAAAATAACTCAAAAGTATTAAATTTTTCGTTATTCATTATTACGCGATTATTAATTGTAAATTGTGATTATGGAACTTGTAATGAAAAATAAATAACCCATAAAAATAGAATCCTGTCTTCCATGAAATGTTTATTTTTTAGGGAGATGATGGATTTTTTCCTTGGAAAGGGTGATATGATATGCTAACATAGTGTAGCATAAAATCAAACAAAATATTAGAAAGAAACTTGAGGCAATTTATTGTGATAATTACTGAAATGAAAAATATTTCATGTTTGTCAACAATATGCAACTGTTTTTGTCTAAATTACAGATTTCTTACATACACTATTCCCAATGAGGAATATCACAATAGCTAGTAATAAACCAGCAATTCACAAATTGCTGCAATGTCCATTCCAGCCACATAACTAAGTTGTGTGCATCATTTCTCTAATACAGCCAATACTTTTAAAATAAAGTACACAAATTATTCTAGGTCCAATTTTTTTATAAATGACCACTAAGAGGTAGGTACCTTCATTTTAACTAAACCAAAATTGACCTAATAAAGCTTAAATATTTTAAATATCTTTATTTAGAGTAAAAAACGATCTTACATTTGAATGCTCATGAATAAACAACGAATAGTTGTTTTGCAATGCAATCTTGTATGTAAATAAGACAATGTAATTCATTACAAATGATACTCCCTTGTTAGCTAAACATTAACTATTTGGAGGTAACTATTTCATATTCAGTCTGCCACAACTAAAGTAGCATTGGAGCGCACAAGAACTAAATAGTCTTCCACTCTTAAATTTTTTATAAATACAGTTTCTGTGAACAGACGCTATTTTTAATTTTTTTAACATACCCACACTCTTAAGTAGTCACAATTAGTTATGTATTTCAAATACTTCAATTTTTAATAGTTAATTTTACTGTTATATACAAACTATGTCCCTACAACTGCTGAACAGCTTTATACAAGCGTAACGCACCTGTCTCTGCTACATTTCATTCCCATACCTACAATAAAAATCAACATGAAACTGTACATATTAACAATGTTCACATTTGCTGTGAATATTTATCAGTATTAGAACCAAGTTGGATTCTCAATTAAACATTTAGCATAATTTTCATTGTGTCAAGTGAAGTAACCATTCTCAGGCCAATATTCATAATCTCCCTGCTGTATCTATTGCATAACCACTAACTTTCGACTCGATGATTTTGGAATTTATTGAATCCAGTCTCGAAACTACGCCCTTGTTCAAATTGAAGATTTACATACACTACATTTATTACTAATAATAACTATTACTCTTCAAATAGAGAATTTATTTCACTATGCTCATCGAAATATCCATACCATATTCAATATACACATTTCATTAAGACGTTGTTACAAGAACAATAAATTATTATACAATGCAATGAGATCTACCTGCAGCAAGTCAACAATGTCAACATATAAATTAAAATGGTAAGAATCATGCTCCTAATTATTCATTTCCAATAACATATTATTTTCTTACCACATGGCAGTATAATCTGCCAGGACTTATTTCACCTTCAAATAAGTCGTATCTGACTTTGAATAAACAAAACCCAATGTTTTTGTACATACATTAACAGAATAACATTAGTTTATATTATAAAATTCTATACTAGATCAACTTATTTGATAATCGTGAAACCGCCTGACATGTAAGGGAGATAATGCAATAAAATTGCGCTAATGAAATCAATATAAGTTTCAAATGTCTCTTTTAATAAATATCTCATGGAATCAAGAAATAAAAATTAGATGCATATCACACATTACTCAAATGTCAGAACTTCACGTCACCAAAATAAATACTAGATAAAATAATCCTAATCAGTGTCAATTAAACTATTAATTGAATAATAACGGTGGAAAATAACCATAAGGTAGTTGCGGCTGTCAGTCTGCTGAAATAGCAGTTGGCAAGTCGATGGTACGACTCTCATTGCCAAATATTAATCTTAAGCGTTTCATTGGAGGCAGAGGACGGATGGGGCTATGCTTGCGATGACGCTCCTTCGACCGACGTCGCTTCTTTAGGCGTCTTGCCGTCTCGGGGTCAACGCCCTCTAGCCGTAATACTTCATACTCAGTTGCCTCCGTAGGATTACCACAATCCATTACCTCTTCTACAACAGGGCTTCTTTTCACCCGCAACGTGAGTTTAAGACCTCGCCGTGGAGGAGTACATGGACATTCACTACTTTTATTTGAATTATCTACCAGCCATGGTGGTCCAGAGTCTGTTTCTTTTTTAACTTCTTCAGTCCTACTTGTAACTTCTATTTTTGGATTCTTGTTCTGCTTGCTCTCTTTAGATTCACTTGGATTCACATTTTCTCTAAAATCATATATTTCACTTTTCACACAAGCATTGTCACTTACACATTTATTAGCATGTATTTGTTCTTGAACATTGGAATCGCTTACAGAATGACCAACATTTCCTTCACTGGTAATACCCAAATCTGTTCTGTGCAAAAGAGATTCGTTTTTATCACAATCATTCTCTATTTTTTCTATATGTGGGTCTGTAATATCAACAGAATCGATATTTTCTTTTTGACTATCATTTGATGGTTCTGTTTTGATATTAAGTTTGTTTGTTTCTAAACCATTCATCTCTGTTTCATCTTTTGGTGTAGTAAGATTCCTATCAGATTTACCTTCAGAGCTTTGTTTTGATGTGTTTTTAGGTTTAGGACAAGTAGATTGTGAACAAGTGTCAAGTAAGCGTTTGTGACTTCGTAAAACTATGCCAGAATGTGAATCGCGACTACTGCGTGAACTAGTAGTGCTACAGCAGCGAGATGGAGGAGCCCTTCGTTTGACACTAGTGGTAGACACCACAGTCATGCCATTGGTGGCTCGGTTGCTATCAGTGCGTCGCCGTAATCTTTCACCTCGACTTGAAGCTGAAGATTCTCTACTGCCCTGTGCCTCTTTGCTAACATTGCCTTCTATAACATCAGCAATACAACCTTGAGCTATTAAAAGTTCAGCATCATACTTTGTTAAACCTTTTTGCTTCATTTCCTTCATACTAAGTGGAGAAACTATATCAGAATTTTGCCTGCTAGATATTCGAGATTTTTCTGGGTTTTTGCCGTTAACATTTTTTTGTGACTGTTTTGCTTTTGTTCTGTTTATTCTATTATCAGTTTCTCTAAATCTATATCTGGTGGCTTGCTCATCATTGTGTGCATTTTGTACAGAGAATGCACCTTTACCCCGTCTTTCACAAGTCTCACATTCACAGTAACAATTGCCATTTCCAAAAAAGTCCTCTCCATAAAAACAAGTTATTTCTTCACCAACCTCAATATCTCTCAACACACGAACAAATGCCTTCCCACGATCAGTAGCCTCAAAAGTACAAGTAGGTCTACAGTCATGATTAATGTATGCTGCAGGGCCAAGCCACAGCTGTGCACAATTTTTTCTACAACTATACATTACAGAAAAGTCATTTTTTCCGGGATGAAGTAATTGTTTTTCTTCTTCTTCTGTCATCTCAGCAATACAGCCAACAAGAAAATCAATTCTTTCATGCTTGAAGAATTTTTTGGTTGTAGAAATTTTTGCACCCACTCGACCTTCCAAAGAGTACCTATAACAGGGCTCTATAACAAAGCCTGCTTTTTTATCAAATACTCGCAAATAACGATAAATCTGAAATAAAAGATTTCAATAATTAATGTTCAAAGTTGCACAATGATAACAAAATAAGGCACATGTTTACACAAATAACAATTATTACATAAACTTCACATGTTATAGTAAGTTGTTAGTAAATATATTGCTGTAAATTTAAATGATAAGTATTTGGGCTAACAAATTTTGTAATCATATCTCAGTTGAATTGAATCACTTATACAAAGTGATAGTCACTGATTCAGCTATATTTACACTTCAATAAAAAGTTCACTAGAATAAATACTAACATGTTCTCTTAGCTTGCTCTGTTGGTGTTTATTTTTGCTAAAATGTCTTGGCATCCATTCACCATTAGCTAATCTAGAGTATGCCTTATTATAATCTTGTGTTTGGATAAATTCCTTAATAATACTCTTCAGCTCTTCTTTATTTGTTTTTAATGGTCTATAACGAATATTCATTTTATGTGTGGTGATGCCAAGATATGGATCCACTATAAGAGCTGTAGCTAAGTCATCGTACTCTGACAGCTCACGGGGAGTCATGCCCATTGGTTGCATCTTGTGGAGCACTTGCCTCCCTGGGTACGTCGCTGATCCAACAACCATCCTGAATACCTGAATAACAAAGGACGCGAATGTTGTAGTTACACACATAAATTTTGCATCTTAATAAGAATGGTAACGATTGAAAACCTTGTAAAATATTGAACTGCAATTAAAAATCTAGCATATCTTCAACAGTAAAAAGTCCTATTCGAATAACCATACAATCTCTCAATTTCTAAATTATTGTAAAAGGACAAACATGGCGGCCGAACACGAAAACCAAAAACCGACACGTCAAAATGTTGACACTGTTTTTTATTCTTTAGAATAACTCAAATAGTTAAAAAATACAAATTATTACGGAACAACTATTCAGCTATTGTTAACACTTACTTAAATCATTGAATGTATGTGAAATTCATGATTATTTTTAAATAACAACTTCACTATCTAGAAGCACTTCCAGACGCTAACTGCTAGGTTATTTACATATATCATACTTAGCTAAATGTTTATTTTTATGTTCTAATAAATTACTTCATAATTAATAAACAGTTATCAAAACTGAAGCAAACTGATCATATTCAAATTAATCTCCAAGGAAAGCTGAAAAACAACCATGTTTTCGTGCACTCCATTCATTAATAGTGTTGTGAACGCAGTTAAATAAATTATCGATGAAGCACAAAACTTACGTTTTTTATTATATCGATAGCTTTAGTAATTACTCTTACAGTTTGAAAAAATATTTAAATCGTGATTGAAATAAATTCAAATTTAAGCGTATTATAAATTTTATAAAAACTATCAATAAACCATACAAACTTGACCTTTTTTTATTTTCTTAGATAACAAAAGTCAAAGTTTAATAGTTTTTTATTAGCCAGTAGCCTTATATTATTTTACATAAATATAAAAGTATATTGAACATTCCTTCAACCGCTTTTATATTCCATAATTCAAAATTCTAAACCATGATATTTATTTTAAAAGTTTTAATAATATAATAACTAAAGAAATTTAGTTTATGTAAATAGTTGTTTTTGTTTTTTCTTATAATTAATTTTAATCTTTAGTTGTATATAGGTATTTAATTTAGTAATATTTAGTTTTAATTTTTTAGTTTTAATTTAGTAATATTTAGTTTTAATTTTTTTTTTTTAAGTAATAGTTAGTTTTTAATTTAAGTTTTTTATTTGAATAAATGAATTTCCTAACTACAAAGAAATTTTGTTACGATAACTTATGCCTGTTGAACGAACATCTTCTATTGAGTAAAAGAAGCTACATAGAACAAATCAATATTTTTTAAGCCAAGTATAAAAATTACTTACATCTATTTAGTAACTTTTTAAAATGTCGTTATCTATTTTTTTTTCTTTCCTATTATGTCGATATTTTAAAATGACTCTCTAGTAATGTCAAATGTTAAGTAATGTCAAAACGAAACGAAACATACTCTGTGAGGTGATTTGATGAAATATCATTCGTTCACCTGTCCTTTGTGATTTCGTTAAATTTTGTTATCCTCTCCTAAAATATTGATCGACCTGTTTAAAAATTACTGTGTATTTCCAGTATAATTCCAAGGTAAAGTATTACATTACTACATTATGTTTTGTGATAACTGTTTGAGACGCTATTTTTATAATATCAGGGTCGAAAAATGGCGTCCAAATTTCGCCGTGGTGTTTATAAATTTTTTGGTTTTGTTTTAGATGCCTAACATAAAACTGCAGTCTTCGGATAGCGAAATCTTTACTGTTGATGTTGAGATCGCAAAATGCTCAGTAACAATCAAAACTATGCTGGAAGATTTAGGGATGGAAGATGACGAAGAGGAGGTAGTACCATTACCCAACGTGAATTCCGCTATACTAAAGAAAGTTATTCAGTGGGCAACTTACCATAAAGACGATCCACCACTACCAGAAGATGATGAGAATAAAGAAAAGCGAACAGACGACATATCATCTTGGGATGCTGACTTTTTAAAAGTTGATCAAGGCACTCTGTTTGAATTAATTTTAGCTGCCAACTACTTAGATATAAAAGGCTTACTCGACGTTACTTGCAAAACTGTAGCCAATATGATTAAAGGTAAAACTCCAGAAGAAATTCGCAAAACATTCAATATAAAAAATGATTTTACCGCAGCTGAGGAAGATCAAGTTCGCAAGGAGAATGAATGGTGCGAGGAGAAGTAAATTAACAGCCTTAGTATTATAATTTCATTCTTTAGATTTAATTGGTATATAAAAGTATGTTGTAATTACTGTAAGTTAATCACTATTTAATTTTCATTGCAACTAAGTAAAAAATTTCAGGTCTACACAAACGCTAAATTTAAGTGAAATAGAAAAACTGTATTAGCCACAATGTATTCTAACCTGCTTGATAAATTTATTACTAGGAAGTTATTCCAATTGTAACCTGTAACAATTGATTTTATTTGTACAGAATAAATTTCCTGAAATATCTGCTTTTTTATTATAATTTTTAGACCCTATTGTGATCAATGTTTTAGAATAATTAGAGCCTTTGATAATTAATGTCCTAAGCTTTGTTTTATTACATCTAGAAATTTCTCTAAATAAACATCTTATAGCGAATTTGTTATTGGTTGTGGAGCATGCATGAGCCGAGTTCAGGCATGCTCCAAATGTTCACAAATGAGCCACTCATTTGAAGAACAGCTAAAGTGAATACATGGCTTTATTTACTGTAAAATTTTTCAGCAAGTTGCAACAGACTCGAAAATTTTAAGCAAATATAATATTGACCTAACTTAGTGAAGACTGACCCAACTACTAAATATCAAACTGAAATTATACTCTCACTCTGCTTTGCTTTCAGTCAGCCTGGTAAGAGCCTGCAGGAAATATGTGTTATAGTTTCAGAATATACACCTCTGTATACTGTAAATGTCGTAGGGTACATAGAAAAAGATACACACGAATGTGCTCACCTATCTAGGTATTTATTGACTTTCCTTTGTACCGTTTGTACGACAATGACCCGACATTATTGATTATATTATTACTAACGCCACCTAGCGTAGGTTTTAAGTGATTGTGGAAATCTAGATGATCGTACCGTATCAGCCTGATTCTAGAGACATTTTAACATTTTTCTATAAAATAAAATTTCTAGAAAAAAAATTAGGACCAATGGTCCTAATTTTTTTTCATTCTAAGATATAAGTATGCAAACATAATATTGACATCATTATCAGTACCAATACCTAGTCAATTAGGAACAGTAAAAATTAATACTTACCTAATACCTAGTAAATTGGTATACCAACATTATGTATTATTTTATCAATTTAAATAAAAACAAAGATTAATCAGTAAATATCTATTCTATAATCTCATCTAAAATATTCTTATTGAATTACATTATCGAGGAGTGTAAAATGTTACAAGTATTATGTTAGTGTACTATTTAATGGTAGGTACCTACTAATGGATAAGAGGGTAGATTCTATACTATACTACGATACGTGTCTTCTACAGAGGTAAACCTGTCGAGGGCAAATAAATTGTCGACACAACAAAGAATAGGACTGTTAAACCGCCCGAGATATGATCCGCAAGATGCAGCTCCGATCAGAACTCCAGCAATGAAACTCATACCAATCAATATAATTAAAATCGCTCGGCCCTTATCCTGACGTACGAAAATCTCTTTACAGAGACACACGAAGTCATATACAGACCTGAAAAAATAGATAACGACCTTCATTCATTATCATTCAATCATATCATATCAAAAGTCCACTGCTGAACATTAGCCTCTCCTCCAATCACTTCCAGGCCGGCCGGTTGGAAGCTACTTATAAGGGCATCTTGCGACCTTTGTAATGTTGTCTGTTCACCCTGTGTGTGGTGATGGTTCTCGAGTGAATGCCTTGTATCAGGGTACCGGTAAATGCACTAGCTGCAGCTGCACAGGGCGTCTTGCCAGTTTGATTTGATATGCAGGTTAAACCTACACCAATCGCTACCTACAGGCTACAGGGACAAGAACCGGAAAATAAATAGTAGGTACCTGCTTAATAGCAGCACAATACATTAGGTACCAAGTTACCAACCTACAGCATCTAGTGTTATCGCACAGCAGTTTGTCGGTTTCGTCCAACAGCCTTGATAATTGCTGTTGCGCTAGAGTTATTACTGGGCATTTTTTGTGGAGGATATTAGCGATTTCTCCCTCAGGATCTAAGTCACAACTACATCTTGGTGAATCATTACAATCATTACTGTCAATTCTTCCATCACTTCGCAGATCACTTCGTGGTGACACATCTGCTGCTTCAAAGTTAGTGTTTTCTCCATCATAATCATTCGAGCCCCGCCTATTCTTTTTGAACGTTTTCCTAGAATACTTATAAAAGTTCTGCACTTGATAATTGTCTGTAGACATGAAATCAAAATCAGTAAATGGAATTTTGTTTATTCTTAGTTTGACTTCAGACTTTGATTGGTAAAGCTGTTAAAGTATTTTTGAGCGATTTCAAAAATATTAACAAAGAGTAAATAATAACCGTCTAATATTTAATTGTCATTCTCGAGTGTGCCTATCAAAGAGTATAGTAAGTATACTTATTATACTCTTTGCTTGAGTGGTAAGTATTCTAGACTTTTATATACAAAAAAGGTGTATCGCAAAATCATCTTAACTTTTGCCTGCTAGTACACACGCAGCAGCATGTAGGTCAAACAGTATAATAAGTGATGAAGTGTAGGTAGGTACCTAACTACCACAAGTAGCAGGTACATAATACAAGAAAGTTTTAGGATACACAATATTACCGGCCTTAACTATAATTAATTGTCCTCTTGTTCGGAAGTCTCTCCGATTACAACCGATAGGTTCTTATAATTAGCTACCGTAAAACGGGGTGAATAGACACAAGAATGGGGTAAAATAAATATTAGAACATTTTCTCAATATTTATGCACCCCTCGAATTCACACGGGTTGAAAAACTCCCGCATTTGACTCCGTGACAAGTCCAAACCGAATTAAAAAACCGACTTCAAAAAACCAAAAACTAATAACAAACAAAAAGTCAAGACTAAAAAGCAAAAAATAACTATTATTAGTACTGAATAGTACTGATAGGTTACCTACCCACTGATAGATAAGAAGTCGGTGCCATATAAAAAATTTTAAGGTATTTATTCATTCAGTTTCATTAGTCATTCAAACTATAAAAAAATGCATCAGACTGTAATTCCTGTTTAGTATGCGTTTGCTAATATGAGTTGTTAAATTAAAGTAGGTACCTTTTTACCTATTCCGTTCGACTATCTGCACTCCGTTTAATTACTAGATAATGGCTGGTTAATCAGATATTGCTTTGTTACAATCAGCCACAAAGGCGTGCAGTTACGATTTACCTACTTAGGTGACCCCACGAATGCCAACTGCGCATAATACTTATATACTATAAAAATCAAAGAAAAAAGTAATAACAATCGTTTATTTGTATAATTATTCTACAAACTAATTTGTTAAAAATCACGATGAGCCCACCTGGCTAATGAATATTGCCCCTTTGCCCACATCACCTGATTTACATTATTATTATTTATTATTTGGATTAAAATCACAATCGTATAAAAATATAATTGTAACAAGGATAAATGCACAGAATAATATAAACCTATATAGAATTACATATTAAGTCAACATACTCAACTTTACATTTTATTCTTTCTCACGTCAAAGTCACAAGTTAAAATTAGGGTCCAATAGCGAAAATTAAGAGCCATAGCTTGAACAATTTTCGCCATTTCTTTAGCAGTTTCGGATCAGTTCTTGTTGAACTATTATTATCTACTCTACCTACAAACCGTTTCGCCACTGTTAATGTTCCTTTAACCTAACTGGAGCAACTCCTTAAAAAGCATCGAAATCTGTTTAACATTGACAATGCTGACACCGACTTAGTCAGTAAGTCCTCAAACATTTTTAATATAATTTTTGTTTGTTTATCAGGTGCTGGAATGTACGAGCAACACTCTTTATAATCCTAACTACCTATCTAGGTAACAGTTCATAAATAACTTATAAAAATATATTGTAATTTCACTAAGGCACTGAACTGCTGAGGGTTAGTCTCCGAAAGACTGGTGCATCCACTTCTTTGAGTATTCGTAGACTACGAAAAGAGCGGCTGTCGCTGGTATTGTTCGTACTAGGGTAGGTTTAAGTCCGTTGTATAGCGCCAGAGCACCTGAAAATACAGAGGAACATTTTAAGCATTAATAAACACATACAGAAGAGTTGTATTCATACCTATAAGTTGCATTCAACTATGGGTAATATAGCCGAATGCGAGTGGTGGTACTATGGGCCTGTGTTTAGCAAATATCTTAGTTGATTAATGGTAATCATTTATTTATTTTGGGTATGATGATAGACACCAATATTTAGTAAGGTAAAAAACATGATGTTAATTTATTTTTTACTAGCTTTTACCCGCGGCTTCGCTCGCGTCACAAAAGGATAAAAAGCCAATGTGACATATACCAATACACACAGCGCTATCTATACCAATACTTCTGTTTTCCCTCGGGAATATCAAATTTTTCCGCGATAAAAAGTACCCTATTATTTAATCCAGACTTCTAACTATACATCTGCAAAAATTCAAAGCAATCGGTTTTGTAGTTACGGCGTTAAAGTGGAACAAACAAACAAACTCTCTTTCCGATTTATAATATAAGTAAGGAAGTAAGGATTGTGAACTTAAATTGGTTAGGCAGACTGCCAACAAAAATTCAGCATCTCAGTTATATTAAAAGTCGCTTACAAAACTTTTCAGCAGTATCATTGTTTGTTAATGCGCTTTCTGTCACATGTTACATTACAGTTTTTATTAGACCCTTTTCTGGGACATGACAAAGTTGTGATTTTATCAACATATTGACGTAACAGATAGGCTCGACTGTAACCGGATGTTCCCGATTAAAGGGTCATTGGTCTTTATCTCTCGTGAAATGATTTTTAATTGTTATGAAACTCAAATCAATCCATCTTTCTTATCAACCTTTGAGACAGGATTACTATAGGGCCGCCTGAAAACCCAACGCCAAGAAGTAATACCTATTACCTACTTACTTTAATATTTAAATGTGATACGCATTTCTTATCAGTTCATGTTTTAAGGCCCACATTATTATCTAAGTGTGGAGCCCATTCCCATTCACCGAACCCATATTATTTGACTCCGTGCTAATATTGAGTAGTTTTCGAATATCGAAAACCCAATAATACTTTGCCCAACCCGGGAAGAGACCCAAGAAGACCCTTTACTAGGCAGTTGGGGGTCAGATTACCTATAATCTGGAATAACATAATCTACTTTTTATCCCACGAATGAGTAAAGCTACTGGCACAACCTAGTGTAACAACGTGCAATGAATTACATTTCTTATCTCTTCCTACGCTGACGAGGTCAAAGTGAATGACGAGATACAACATTAATTATTGCGCGTCTAGCGTTATCTCAACGGTTATCGGTCGCCTTAATCTTAGAGTGTTTTCGTTTTAAATGTAAAAGAACTAATTGTTCTACTTTTGCTTATTTAAATGATGCCTACATTGTAAATCAAGACGCATACTTACAAACATTTTTTTAAACTTTATCGTTAAAAAATTTAATTTTATTTGATCCTGAACTACCTACCTACAATGTTCATAAAATGTAACAAGAGCGATGGCGAACATAAGGTTTCGGGTTGGATTTTCTCAATAAATTTTATCCACATACAATTGGGAATTGTTTGAGTATTTTGGTTAGTCTTTTATTTATCCACAAACACATTTTTTTAGGTAAACATATTATTCTCCAAAGACAACATCAGAATATACGCAGTAGTTTCGTTCATATGTCACGAATAAGTACAGCAAATATTTGTACAACAAAAGATATCGAAGACAAGCAAATCTTTGTAAATAAACTAGAGATAGTGTAACTACGTACCTTCTTTCTGTACAATTTCATATCCGACGGTCAAAAACTTTTGACTTTTGTTCGATATTTGTATTCTTGACTTGATAACATCTGAGGGGAATATTACAGTCCACAGGACGAGTCCGCCCACTGCTCCGGCTATCATTGTTTTTACGAATCCTATGTCATCTTTACTCTGGCCTGGTTTCTTTAGTAACTCTCTTGTGCCTGTAATATTTAAGGCATAATTTTATAGTATTTATTTATAACACAGTATTTTTATGGCGAAATTATCAAAGATGGTTCAGGCAGGTATCACAGATGTGGCGAATCAATAGTTACTAATCTATTATTAACGATTCCTGTATGGATGTTGCTTAACTTCTTGGGCGGCACCCAAGATATATGAGACACAATAGAAAATACATTGTGTCTCGCGTGGATCTACATTCCGGCTATACCACTGGTTAAACAAAATCAAAATAAAATAATTAATATGTGATACTCCAATCTGGCTGTTGGATATGACTGGCTTAGGTGAAGCTTACAAAATGAATATACCTTCATATCCTCCAAAGAAGAAGAAGTAGCCTGGCATCTCTCTCATAATAGTCGGCACGAGGCCTCGGAAGAGACCCTGAATGCCATACTGTTTGAATATCTGCTGTGTAAGCTGTAACGGCGATATCTTCACCTGCCGAGGAAATTTCAAACAAACATTACTTTGCTATAATAATATAATCATTTTGAAGGTTGCAATCAAAATTAGCACAAATAAGATAAAGTACTGATAAGATGCTCACACATGAACATTAGATTAAACAACAATCAAATAAGTTTATGATTTATTACATGACTTTGATTTAGGAAATTAAGTTATGTTAGTATGCATGTAACATTTTAAGTTTAAAAATGTATGTAAGTAAAGATTTTTACAACAGTTTCATCACAAAATCACCTGTATAGTTTAAGATGAAACGTAGAGTAAAAAAATTATAACAATACTTATTTGAAATAGAAACCACAACATATGTATTAATTCAGAGAGCTAGGACAAATAAAATACCCAAAAGAATCATCGTACAACTGTTTGTGAAGACTGCACATTGACTTCCCGCAGTGCTTGCAGCTGGCACTTGATTAATTCAGTGGGGCATAGTGTGAATGAAGAAAAGAAGGCTGCTAGGAAACCAGCTGATGCATTACCCAGGGCCGACAACTCCTCCACTTTCTAAAACCAATAATATTTATAAAATTTAAACTTGAAAGTATATATGATAACCTCATTAATTTATTTGATGAATTGATAAGAACAGTTAAATAACATACATATTAACATTTCATAATTATGGAGTCACCTTTGCAACCTAAAAAATTTATACAACATAACATCACGCTTTTTATCCCTGAAGGGGTAGAGGCAGAGGTGTACATTACGGCAATTAATGCCACTGTACAATGTAACACCCACTTTTCACTATTTATGTTAATATAAGTTCCATGTTGGTGAGCTTTTTGCCATATACAGGGCACAATTCCCGACACTGTGAGTTTTGTTTTTAAAAAACCCAATAATAATTTGCCCAACCCAGGAAACGAACCCGAGACCCCTTACCGGACAGTCAAACTTGTGGACACTCGGCCAACAAGGAAGTCTATAATACACAATAATGAGAAACTATAAATCATGTTGAAGTCCACAAATATTGTTTTCTATAAAGACATGTTATGTGGTGTTATTGAGAAATTCAAATTGGATACCAAAACAAACAAAGGGACTCGTCACAGTATTTAAAAAAAAACTCATAAAATATGATTTGGACCGCAGTTTTCAAAAATCAATGTAATTTAACATACCTCAACTCCACTCAGCCGACAAACAAACTTTTGGCAATAACCATAAGCAGCAAATAGTACTGAGTTCTCTGCTACATTAGCCATTATAGCAGGAGTAGTGCCTGCGTACAGTCCTCGGAACACTCCATCATTACGTAGTGTCTGTTTTAGACAATCATACATTCCTTTATAAAGGTGTGGAAATGTCTGCATCTTTACTTTAACTGTGTCAAGTGGTTGTCCCACATAGACTACAGCTACCCCACCTAACAAATAAAATAATAAATAAATAAAATTGGTTTCAAAATAGGAAGTTTTTTGTTATATATTTTTTATTCTGCTTACCTAAAGAACCAGCTGTGAAATCAATAATTCCATTTTTTAAGTTCCCTGTAGAACCTGATGAATGAGCCATGATGATATTTTTCTATATCTGTCATAAAACAATGAATTTGTTATTGGAAAATTTAACTTGTATTACATCATCCAATGAGTTTTATTACTACCATTTTGTATATTTCAATTTCTAGTATAATATCATGTATGACAGAATATCTCACATTTACATAATTATAATACTTCTTTTGCCTTAGAATCAATCTTGAATCGTTAACAATGGTTAGTTAGCGACTGTCTAATATCAAAACATTGGAGTAGGATTACAAACCTTACTTAGTTAGCGACTGTCTAATATCAAAACATTAGAGTAGGATTACAAACCTTACTAAGGTTAATCTAACAAATATTGGGAATAATATTAACGATACTGGTAGAAATACATTTATTTAACTAACTGTACCTAATGATAAAAACTGATGATAACACAAATTTATTAATTTATTTTGTTAAATTCAGATAAAATTATTGAAGTTAACTAAGACTTACAACTATTCCTCTTTGTTTACTATGGCGTACAATTAAGGGGTTAATTTAACTTTACAGAAATATTATTGCGAACGAATTTATGCTTTCCCGGTTCTCTCCAGTAATACACGTGCGAATGACAGAAACTGACTGACAAGACAAGTGAAGTGACACTTCGGAATCGGAAACCCGGTTCGGTTGACAATGACAATGTTCCATTTCAAGAAGAAAAATGTTCTATGTTGACATTTTTTTATTGAAGTCCAGTTTTGGCATAGCGCAGGATCCAGTATATAGAGACCACATAGAGACACCTAATTTTTGTCTATTTTATTTTATCATAATCAGTGTTGCCAATGTATTATGCTAAAAAGAACAACATTGTGATTTTCTCGGTTGCCAAAGAGGAAAAAAAAACATTGTGATATTTTCCGATATAGTTTTGGACACAATGAAGCAGGTATACTGCTTATTTTGAATATCATTTAATTGAATATAACTTTTCTACTGCCAACTGCCATCCTCTGTGTTGCCAATGATTTTACTATTTTTTTGGTCCAATAAAGTGGTAACACGTTCATTTTCGATTGCCCCACACCCGGGCTAATTTAAAAAACTCAATTTTGCCGAAAGCAAGTGTGCTGTGTGCGCGAGGACAAACTGGACAAACACAGATTATCTAGCTCTATGTTATCTAGCACCAACCTAGGTTCCAATACTTTTATTGTATGATGCAACGATACGACAGAATGAGGTCAAATTAAGCACAAAATCAGCACTCTGATACCTTCTGGTACATACTTTTCGTATTTTCCGAGCCACGGCCACGGGTGATACGTTGTAGGTAACAACATTTTAATTTCGTATCCGTTAACAATTTTTGTTCAATCCAAGAGTCGAATATGGGATAGCAACAACTTGTCATCCAGCCACGGCCTGGCGGGGAGAAGCATGGGTAGAAACGCCGCGTCGCCGGGCACCGCCGAGTAAGGCATGTCGATGATGCGGGAAGTCGTGTCGTCCAATGCACCCCTCGCTGCGGTTACAGTTGCCCACCAAATACTTAAACTTTATTGTATAGTCTTATCATCTCTCAGTAGTACTTAAATTAATTAAAGTATTTTCGATTTATGTAATTATGTTAGCGACGATGACGTTAATAATTAAATTCTTATCTTATTATAATATATATTGAATAAATAATTAAACCTACTTACACCTGTGTAATTGGTCTTATCCAATGTTGCGCCGGCTGCGCGGATAAGTAATATGTTGTGAATTTTCCCTACCCACCCAGTGTCTCCTCTTCCGATTTTCAGCCAAATTAAAGTAACTGAGTAATAAAGGTTAATTAGATAAAAAAATACATCTTTATAATTTGCTACTTCAAATTGTTTATTATATATAAGTATACATATTTTAGACAATTATGCATTGATATTTGATATGAACATTAAGCAGAAAACATTCTACACATTTCTATAATAAATATTTTTTAACTTGTTGTAATAACAAATAATAATCCATTATATTTTAAGACAACATCACATCTAGAGATCATTATTTGGCACAAATGTTTCTGTCTACATTACTAATGAAGACATAGTTGTATCAAGTAAGAAGTAGGTATAATTTAAAAATCAGATCTCATCATTTCTAATGTCTTTTTCTAAAAATCATTGAATCATTCTTTGTGACTTCCTAAGCTCAGAACTTTCAGTCTCTTAGCCTCTCAGGACATACTTAGGCTGCCTTTGGCTTTTCCTGTGCTCCTAACACATATGCTTGAATCTCTTTAAAAGTCATGGCTACAGAGGCATTGAGAGAAAGATATTATAACTAAAGCTATGCCTAGTTAGAGCCATTGATAGGTAATTTTACAATTTTGCATTCATTCTGTAACTAGATAAGTTTGTTAACTTAGAGAATTTTAAGCATACATCGGACACACATACTTAATGAACTACAATATTATTACACTTACAACATTCATTCACAATAAAATATTTGTGCCCATTAGACATAGAAAGCATAATATTATTGATGGCTTACAAGTTATATAAATATTCAATTGTAAATACAAAGGTATATTCAGAAAAAGTATATTTACAGGACATCTAAATAAGGTTTGACATCCTGTAAGTTCATTCTTTAAAATATTGTACAAAATTATTATCCTACATCATTAAAATTGTAAATAGGATAGGTGTAAACAATACATTCGAAAAATTAATAAGTACAAGAGTTATAAAATAAAATTAAAATCATTTAACAAGAGTAAATATAACTATTAAAATTATTGTTTCATCTCATATAGTATATTATTATCTACTATACACCAAGTGTTGATACAAGATAGCCATTCATTATTTTTCTTAAACTGATAAATATGTTTAAACAGTTATTATAAACGCATATTACGTAAAGCATGCACCATAAAGATATAACAATAACTTATTGTATGTAACAAAACGCACAACAAAAGAATAGTAACAAGTCTATGAACAAACATAAGGCAAGTAAAAATAAGTTGTGCTGATTTTTGCAACATGTTTAACAAAATAACAAAATATCACATACCACTGCCATTTATATAATGCATATACAAAAATATAAATGAATTTTGTTTTGGCAAATTTAATTTTGGATGTCTAACCGTTCCCGCAGACGAATGTATATTTTTAAAATGGGCCTCAATGTTGTTGTTATCATACTAATAAGCACCAAAACAAAGCAGAGAATTGTCAACCACTGTGGATTATCCTTCTTCCACCAATTCGAGAAGAAGCCCAGTAAAATAGTGGTTACCCCTAAACAGAATGTCAGTAGACCAGCTGATGTATGGATCAATTTTGTGTATATTGGGGGCAGGTAATGTTTTAATTTCAAACTATTAAGAGCACCTAAACCTCCCAACATGGTCATCAAGAGGAAAATGAATGATGTCAATCCAAATTTACCATGGTAACTGGTAAAGTGATAAGCACTGTTAATAAATTTGTTAGTTACAATTACAATGAATCCAGTTAATATTATAGTACCAGCTATGACTTGAAGAATCCAATGACGAGCACTCTTTAGTCGTATAGGCATCCAGCCTGTCGCAAGATCACCAGGAGTAAGAGCATGCATTGCCGATGTCATGAATAACATCCACTGAAACATTACATCATTATTCAGATATTTATCAAGCGCGTAAATATTGTAACATCACTATCACAGTTAACTTACCCCAAGTGTCATTAAAGTTGGATGGAACGAAAACAGCGTCACATCGTCTTTAAAACAACAGTATAAAATGATGCCCAGGAATACCAGACCGCATATATTTGACAAAATATTCAAATAACTTGGCGAGGTTTCAGTATTTGGAGCCACCAGACGTGATGTTTCAGATTTTCTGTCCGACGGTCCCATTTCTGCCACACCAGTATCTTCTCCACCCAAATCCATAAATATTGTCCAACCTCGAAGTGTTTTAAGAAACAATTGCTTTTATATCAAGGGAACTGGTGGAGTTCACTTAATTTGTATGCAAATAAAGTACGACGTGTATATTATTGTGTACCTACGCAATGTACTTTATTGATTATTTTACTTTCAGATAACTTCACTATGATGTGACACCGTAGGGTTGTCTGTTTATTGTGTTTCTCTGTTTCTCATTGATCAATAAAAATTGATTTGATTATGCATCATTCAAAATGAACTGTGTTATGAATTTAATTAACTTCGTACCGTTATGTTAAACAATAAAATAATATTGCATACTTTGGCTCTGGCTATAAATTTACATAAATTAGCGTGACATCATACATTATTTTTAGGTAACGTAGGTCATGGTAGGATACAAGATCCTACAACTAATGTATTACAGGTATAATTCTGAAATGATTGAGATCTAAATTTAGCAAATTTTAATTCTCCGAGTCCACGAGTAGTGTGCAAATTGTATCCATTTACATAAATACTACTTATTTATAAGGTGTTCTTGTGTAGCTCATAAGTTATTATAGTAGGTATGAATATTAGAAAAAGTATAGAAAACCACTAACATCATGACCATCGAACAAATTAATGTTATCCTACCAATCCTATACATAATTACATACTTACTTCTTTAGTATCCGTCTTATTCGTGAACCTATATTTTTTATATGTACTAACCATGATGTACTATCCACTATCCAACACAAAAATAGTTTTCAAATTCATACCAGTAGTTTTGGACATAACTGCGTTCAAACAAAAAACTCTTCAGCTTTATAATGTTCAGTACAATATATTATGATTACTGAATTATTTTTGTTCTGTAATTTTTGTGAGAGAGAGATAATTTCACGCCAATGATGAGAGAGTCTCGCTTTAGGGGAATATATTTGTGTAAGTATGTTTCACCGTGAAATATATATTCCTCTTGAGTAAGTCAGTCCTGTGGAAATATCTGAATGAAAAGTATCATATATTACTTAAAAATCAAACATTTATTTAAATTGGTTGGAAGACAGAATATCTCGGTCACGTACTCAGACATACTTACATGACTGATAAGCAAGTACACATATTGAGCGCGACGTTGCTAACGTCCTTGCATACTGCTTCATCTTAGGAGGGAAGAAAAGCCCTGGACGATGGATAAAGTCGTGGGAACGTTATAATATAAGATTGGACCGGTATTCAATTCAAGTCGAAACGTACCGTTCACGAATAAAGTGGCACCACAACAATGAGATCGATCTATTAGTCTCGAATAATACATTTTTCCCTCTTTATGTTTTAGAACTATTAGATATGATTAGTACACCAATATTATTATTTTATCGTATATAAAAACTATATTTTTTTAAATCATCCAGTGCCATCCCTAAACAAAGATAAGTTGAATGAACTGAAGGTGTTTCAGGTCACTGAATAAAGTTTGTCAGACTGAAATATTTACCGTTTACCATTTCTATTGGTCAGGTTTTTCTTCAAAATGATGGGTAAAATCACTAAGTTAATAAACCGGTACAATTATATTATATAACAAGTTTATTTTTCAATATATTAATAACTGATTACCTAATTTGAAGGCAAGGGTTTTCTTATGTAGTAGAATTTTTGTTATGGCAACATCGACAACTTGTGTCAAAAAATGCAGTGTTTTGATTGGCTGTTTCCAATACCAACACAGTGGTTGTTTGTTATTTCGTTCTGTTTCTTACAGATAAACAAAGACAGAGACTCTGGTACAAGTCGTAACTTGTTCGCTCTGTAAATAATAGAGGTAATGTCATTTTATATTAGTTTGAAGTTTTCGGTTTTCTACATCGGTTGTCTCAGTATCAATGCAATTAATAATAAAGCGAACGAGGCGCTTTTATTTTCATCTTAGCGAATGTTTATAATGAAGACCATCAGTTAGTTCAGTGCTGTGAAAAGACAATGTTTAACTACGTTTTTAGAAATTGCATCTTATTGTAAACATTGATGTTTAGAGAAATATTTAGGTGCTTGAATTTCATCTAAAACATTTTGTTGTTGCTCAAATTAATGTGCTTAGCTATAAATGTATGTTGGAGACAGTTGTGACTTGACCAGACAGGACCAGGGATAAAGTGCGGCAATATGTTCAGGTGAGTTACAAAGAAATATTAATGATTCTTTTAAAAATCTTTGTTTGTTTTGCTGATTAAATTACTCACTTAAAATTAATATGTAGTTTTAGACTTTATTGATTATGTTTAAACCAAAGAGCATTAATTTAAAGCCTAATCTAAACTAATTGAAGTTTCATGTCTAAACAAGTTTTGTAAACAACACTTATTTTTAATTTTAAACTACCCTAAGCACTAATATGGCAGGTAGAAGAAGAAAGAATATATTATGACCAACACAAATTTTACTTTAGTTATATTTTAGCTGTAGTGATATTGCTTCATGATATTTTGAAAGATTCTCCCTTATTGTTAGCTGTGCATCAGGTACCTTATTGTAGATAATACAACTATGTTAGACATACATTGATTTGTGTTGTGGGAGCTTATTATAATACTCACTGAACCAATATTTGATTTAAAACACTGTGGAAATATAAATATAATAGTAATAATAGTTTTTAATCATATTTTTTCCAACTAATCTGAATTGCAAATTTTGGTCAGTGAGTTTATCCTGTATTTATTATCTGTAATTTAATTCTACAGATTTGACAGAATTTTGATTTGTTTTTTATCATACTTTATTCACTATTTTAGTTCATTTTAATTTGTATGTATTTATTTATAACTATGTTATTTATTTAAGTGTATTATTTGTAAATAGATATATTAAAATATCAAATCAATAAAAGATAAATAGGTACCTACAATAAAACAAAATTCTACAAATTATTATTTATGCTTATTAGTTACTATTCATGTGCAAACAACTGACCTGTGTGACTTACAACCTTGGTTGTGAGTTATCTAATATTAGTCATAGCCATATAACCTTCTCATGTTTACCATCATGGCACCTAGTTGTGTGATAATCATTTAAATTCTGTACAATGCTAAACAATCAGTTCTTAAAAAAACATGTTTGGATGAGATATATTTTTTATTATTCTATGAAATGTATGTAACCATTAGGTACATATTAATCAGCAAGTGATAAAAAAATATGCTGTAATTATTATGAGTTATGATTTAACCTGGAGCTTTCTGCCAGTGTTAAATGATTAATAACTGCTGTACCTACTTAATTATTAAGAAAATTAAGTAAACCACTTACTTTTATTTAAATTTAGAACAACTTTAGATTAAAACCATTGGTAACAAACTGTTTTGGTTTTCAGTCTAAGCTTTAGAGATGTGATATTTTGTCATTTTCCCTCAACTGGTGTGGTGGTGACATATAACTATTATTATAATAATTATGTTTTGTTATGAAAACTGTTGGCAGTGAAATTGAAGTATTCTTAGTTGCTATTTGGTATATCAAGATAACTACATTTTGATCATCAATCTTATCAGCCATTAATGAGGCACATACTCTAAAATTCGTATTTTAACAAAAATTGTATGAATACACAGCCCAATATAAAATTGTCAGCATGTGATATTTTATTTTGATTATTTTTTAACTTTTCCCCACATTACTTACTTAGGTACTATTTTCTTTTGTCATTGAAAATATAACTATAAATTCCCAGACCTGGAAAAACACGTTGTTAATTACATAAACAAATTGTCCCGTGCGGGAATTAAATCGAACCTAGGACACATTGATCCATGCACTACAATTTTATTTAAAATGCTAAAATAAACCTAATCCCGACAATGAAGTCCCATATCGCGTAGCGTCGAATCACTGTTAACAAACCCGTCGTACCTATACGTATTATTATTTTTATTCTTACTGATGATCGAAAGTAAAATCGATGTGGAATATAGATTGATTAGACTATTACACCAACGCAAAATGATACTATACTCCGTCTGTTTAGGTAGTTAACTATTTGTAAACAAACCATAAAAAGAGTTCTTTATAGTTGACATTTCCATGATTCAAAATACTTCATAACAAAATTAAATTATTTCCCTTTTTACGACAGTTTTCTCTATTAAATGTTATGTTTCTGTTCCTTTTCACTTATTTCTTAATAAATATTAAATATATCTGCTTGAGGATATTAATTTAATAACATTTATTAAATAATATAATATTTCATTACAATAGACACCATAAAGAGCCTAAAATCCCAGGTATCCAAAACGTTTCTTTAAGAACGAAGCAAAATAATGTTGTCAAATTAAAGAGTACAACGAAGATGTAGCGCGACAATGAAAGTAGCGTGTATTATGTTTAGTCGGTTAATCAGGCGCCATTGACAGCTCTCTCGTCGTTTGCGCTCGCGTTCCTATTTTGTTGAATTTAACTTGTTTCTTTGTTTTGTTTTTGTTATTAAGTTATTTAAGTTTAGGTTAATCATCGTTTGTAATTAATGTGTTCAAATATATTGAAGAAACTTGGCCCAAAGACAGATATCCGTACAAGAAAGAAATCCGTACATCAGATTCAGAATAGTTTCTATTTAAACATGATAATGAAATAGACCCATAGGCTAGGCTCTTGTACGATTTAGGCATTTGTACTTGTATGTGTGTGTATGCCAAATGAACGATTTTAAAGTGAATTTAGTTAAAATTAAAACACGAGAAATATTTGAAGTAATAGTAGGTTAAGTATCTCTGTGTCACGTGGTTTTCTTTGTTTACCTTTAGTTAATTACCTAAACAGATGGACTATAGATAATTTTTAGACTAGTACGAGTTTTTTTACTCGATCGAAACATTGCGTTTAGCTACAGAATAATAGTCTAGCCCTCTAATTGGGTTGCCGGGGCTCCGGCTCGCAGTGCAGGAGTAGGAACGGGGTAGTTTTTGTCAGTAAGAATCTGACACCCCCTTTGCCTTACCCGGGCGGGAGAAGCCAACGGATGATTTTCCCCCTCAAAAAAAATCCCTCTAATTGATTGGTTAATTGGGGCAGGCCAATCAAAGCGCCGAATGTCATTAACGTGTCGATCGCGAACAGCTGATTAATATCACTAAGTATATCACTGTCCTCTATAATCTCTTGTAATACATATTTATTTATTTCGACAACCTAATTTCCAGTAGACTTTAGTTGTCTGAAAAACCAATTTAGTCGTCATTCTTAAAATAATATTTCGATCTGACGACGTCCCGGTCCATTAGATAGGTTTAAATGTCTGAATGTAAATTGATGACTGACCTAAATAAATTACATGTTTTGATGACGTTGGTATTCTCTATTCAGTTACTTCTACTGGTGAATACAATAAATATCGCCATTGAACTTGACAACAAAAATGAGAAGCTCTTTGCGTCTTGTGAGTCTTCTTACAATAATTTGTGGTCACAGCGTAAATGTTCGATTGATTTAAGTTAATACTTATTACAAATTTTCCGCCTGTGTTATCTGTACGTACACAAATACATAATTTATTAATTATGCTACTATGAATTTTCATACTAGGTGCATTTTCAGGCTCTATGTCTTTAATGTGCTAAAAGGTGAAGGAGATTCGAACCTTTGGGCTTATTATTCTTACAACAACCAACCCATAAGAACAAAAGTCTAGTATGTATTAATATCTAATAAATTACTTATTTATTGTTGTTTTTAACTGATTTTCTCTGATCTCATCTGAACTTAGAACTGTTTGCTTGATTTTTGCAATAACATCGAATGATTTTAATACCGGTTTTAGAAACTAGGCTTGAATAAAAAATCTTTCAACCGATCTTTCGAATCAAAACCTGTCTAAAAATATTTTTTTAATTCTAGTAAATAACTAAGTATTGCACAGTGTTGCGTCATCCACAATTATATTCACCTTCTGCGGCTTGTCACAAGAGTCATTATCCTTCGTCCTAGCAACATAATACGTTTTATCGCCGTGCCCCATGTGCATGTATCGGCAGCCAACTCCATCCTGCTCTCGCACTTGTTTTATTTTTAATTTCGTTCGTTTTGCTTTTCAATCGTATCACACCGCGCTTGGCACTCGCAAACCGGACCGTGACTCATTCTCTATTTCACAAAACTGGTGGCAAAAGGCTAGCGCATCCAAACAATTAAAAAAATAACACGTTGTTGTTAGGCTGTTTGCTATGTGACATGGTTTATTCTTATTCTTTGTTGAGCATCTTATTTTTTTAAGATTCTTAGCTGTGATGCAATGTAAAAGTTTTGTCCTCGTTATAGTTAGTTAATGATTCTATCTACTTATATCAAATTATGGATTCTGTTGATGGAAATGCAAACTGAAACCTTAATCGTTATCTATATTAAAATATTAGTAATTCTAATTAAGTGTTTTATTGATAAGCGGATGATTGATAAATTACAGTAAATTAAGTTTTTTATTTTGTCATATTTATTAACGACCTACTTACTAGGACGATAAAATGTGAAAAAGTTACAGTTTTATTACAAGTGATAGCTACTTATACATATTTTTAGTTAATTAGGGCCGATTTTTCCTACGTCAGTAAAATTTTATCAGAATATTTGACAATTCTCCTATACTATAAAATATCAATTTTAATCTACAGTTAAGATTAAGAATTAACTATCTGTTGATTGAAAAATCGGTCCCTAGTTAATTTGTAAGCAAAATATTACGTTGAAAGTAATAAATTGTGGTCCTCTAGCAGCAGCACAGACAAACATAATATTTTCTCGTTCTATTTACAGGCACGCAGGAAAGTTCAAAGTTCGATGAGCTGTTTCTGTTGTTCTTTTGCCTTCAGCCTCCAGTTTAGCTTTTAGATAGCTCACAGCTATATTCAGTCAGTACAATCATGCTTATTCATTTATTTTTTATTTACGTATAGTTGAACCCACCTTATGGGCGTGTTAAATTAAGCCAGTCGCCCTCCCACAGAGGGACTAGTACCTATTCGTATCAACCTGCTTGTTTAATCCGTCAAGGTCGCTCGGTCGGTACAAAATTGCCAAACGGATTTATATTTTTTCTTCTACCTACTTATAATTCAACAAGACGGAATACACCACATCCGTCTAACGGTGCTTTCACTTTCAAGGTCGTATTCCAAGATACGGTTATCTCATTTCACAAAGGACTTAGTTTATCCTTGTGACAATGTGTTTTGATGACTCATACATACATAACACCTTTTGAACGATCCTACTTGAAGCTTGTTTGTGCATTGCATTTTATTACAGACTTGTACGAGCATCAGTCTGCTTTCATAATAATATGCTCTACTTATAATAATGTTACCTAGGTATTATGTTTATCAAAAAGCTATAGATGTTTCGACAAAAGCTTTACTACGTACCTATTTATTTAGGTCATTAAAATGTCTTGTTTCATCTGAACTCGACCTCCACAATAAAAATATAATGTTGTGTACAAGCGGCCGAATGCACGTGTTATAATAATTATTATTGCGTCGCAGCACTATCCTTGTAAAGGATTTAATATGTTGTCATTGTAATGTTATTTATATGTTACATTACTAGACACACACAACTACTATCGATTAATTGCGTAGTAGTATTCTTTATCGGTCAGATGAACCTATTCTTGTCGCAATTGACTACATAATACATATTATTATAGGATGATAGAGATTCTGATACATGGATCTCTAGATAGAAGTTATAGTAGGTACCAAAATTAAAAATTAAAATAACATAAGTTATATTTAATATGTCTAATTAGATTACCTGTTCGTAAGAAGTCAATGAACCCAAAAGAAGTTCCTTATTCAATAGATAAGTAAGTATTAAATTATCGCCACGTTTTAGATTATGATTGCATCATCTCCATTTCGGGAGTTTGAGGCAGGTCCAGTTTGCTGTGGCTGGTAAGCTTTGTATTTAGAATAAATTAAAATAGTCCAGTGAATAAGCGGCTGGTGCTGCGTTGGTGTGTCTGACTGAACTATTCAGACGTAAGGATAATCGTAGAAACCACATCTCACGTTCTTTGAACGTTATAAATAATGATCAATTGATTTAAGTTTAGTTTCTGTAGTTTTCTAGCTAATTCAAAATAAAAAGATGAGTCGGTATGTTAGTTGGCGCAAGTAATTAGAACGTCACAATTGAGTAATCCCATACAAAATTCATAGAAATGTATCGTTATTGACATTTATAAAAACGTATAGTTTATCATTCGACATTCCAATTTTAAAATAACTCGTGATGTACCTACAAAAATGCCAATTTGTATTCAGTATTCAATCCTCAATTCCACATAATTATCTCTATCCTAATTTTTAACGCTACTGGGTTCAGAATTAGAAAAAAATCTGTGAAAAATCTTCAATATCCTAGATTTTTAGATTCCTGGTCGATATGATGTAACTACTAACTCGCGTCCTATTACAATTACCGTTAGAACCGTTAATATAACAACAATACCACTCTATTGGAGTCGTGGAGAACCTAAAGGGTTACCGGGGCTCCGGCTTGAAGTGCAGGAGAAGGAACGGGGTGGTTTTTAGTCAGTAAGAGTCTGACACCTTCCGCCTCACCCTGGCGGGAGAAGACAAACGATGATTTTCCCCATTTAAAAAAAAGAATACCACTCTATTCGCCTATTATAGTGATACGATAGTGAGACTACACCTACTGAACTAGTGATTTGTTCTGGGAATCGGGTCTCACGGTAGTCGAGCTAAATTTATGTTGAATTTGAATCATCGACAACTATGAATGGACTACATTACAATAAATGTTTGATACTAACTAAATAAATGGATGGTTAAAGTAGTACTTCAGTCATGCGGTTTAGTAATACTGACTCAACTTAGTTATTAAATAAACGATACCTAAGTAACTAATTAAAGGAAGCTGTAAACAGGAAACGAAGGCATGTAAAAGGTTAAAGATAGTGTTTTGTTGAAAAGATGTTTTAAAAAATTGGTTCTCAGCTTTTACCTATTTGGTAATTACATAGGTATTTAGTATCACAATGAGTGATAAGATTACATCGTATATAAACAATTGCCATGTTCTAGAGTTTCTGGCTACCTGTAACGGTCGTCATAAATGTTATTTATGATGAACTGGACTTTTGTTGCCTTTACACACTGACTCTATTTAGAATATAGTGAGAAGTCCGTTTCCAAAGTAGCCATAGCCATCTAATGGTTTTACAATAACGAATATCCTTTATTGTTTCAGGGTACTGGTCTTGTGTGTAGCGGTGGTGTTGATTCCGGTGCGCGCTCAGCCATCGTTTTGCTCAGAAGACGTCCATTGCTTCGAAGGGTACTATTGCGAAAAAGAAAACAAAATAAATGAATGTCGAGAATGCCTGTCCTGTGAGGATCTCATGAGGAAGCCCCCGGCGGCTTATAAACAGTGTATTAAGTCTGTCGCTGATTGCGGGGACTGCATCAATAAGTAAGTATAAGGACCTACTTAATAATGTGCAATCTAAGTATCTAATTAGAACATTGCTTAATATTTGAATTACTTGTATCAAAGCCTAACACAGTTATTCGATGTCTGGTCAGTTCCTCAAAAAACTGAAATATAAGGGATATTTAAATACCTGCCAGTATTATGTGGCATGGACAACTTATTTCGAGTGATCATAATTAATGTTTATAGATACCAACACATGTAAGTCGGTACCCAGTAACCGTCGATGTGATAATTTGTATGTAACCAGTTAGAAACCGGCCGCTAATTTGTTAACGAATCTACAACTCAATCGATGCTATGAATAGGTATTCGTTTTCTTTACGCAAATTCGGGATCATATGTATAATTTAAACTTTAGCTGATATTAAATGATCTACAGAATGAAACACGCAATACACGTAAAAATATTGTGCAATACTGTAACATCCTTTGTGTAGAATAAAAATGTTGCACCACGTGTGATGCGGAATTTAAGATATCGTACGTATTTTTGACATCCTGATATTTAGAACGTGTATATAAATAAAGAACAAGTGAAAAAGGGATGTTGCCACTGCTTTTCATGTTCTAAAAACTCAAATAATTCTCAAAATACATGAATTTTAAGTCGATTGTTCCCTGTATCCTCATTACAAATGATTGACGCATTAGGTCTTTTGATAAATGTTGCTGATTATACGTAAAGATAGAATTAGGTATGTATTTGTAACCTAAAGAGTGTGACTCAAATAAAGGGAATTTATTGTGATAACGAGATGTACAGGATCTTCTGGCATAGACCCGTTTGGTGCGTAGAATGAGGAAAACCTCATAACATCTTTTAACGGATTACCTATAACGTCATTCTTAATGACATAATTAAAATTTTAAATAAGAATATTTAGTTTACTTCATTGATTCTAGTTCTAACCTTGAAATAAAAAGATTATCTAGTTTTTAATTATTCTACGAAATGTCGTAAATGTGTACGCTGATGACCGGCCTCAAGGTCTTTCTAATCAAGAAAGTGGATCGTCAGCTGTTTTAAAATCGTCGTTTGCATACTCCCATAATAGCTTGGTCATCGACCAGTATTGACATTGACACCGATTTTTGTAATACATAACACCCAACTCAGCATTAGATACTTTATAGAAGCTGGTGTCAGTTACGTCAATAGATTTTGAATTGTATTGCGTTTAGAATAAGATAAGTAGCAGCTGCAGGATATAGTTTGCAGATATTGCAAGTAATTTATATTTGCTTGTACTGCAATCTTTGTGTCTTGAGAAATAAGACTCTAATTTCTACTGCACTTGATGATGATACCTAATGTATTTCCTCTTTCAGCTTGGTGGTGGACCGGCGAGCTGATGTGAATTCAAAGTGCGTGCCTCCTGACACCTCAGACCTGCAATCTACACCGTCCTACGTGTGGATATTCATTGGAATCGGGGTCCTGCTGCTCATTGCACTCTTCGTCGGCATCATCGCCTACCTTGTAATCTTCAAGACGCCTGGTAAATGTTTATTCAATATTTAAACAAAGAAAAATATTCATATTATCCTTCTAGTCATTTAAATGTTTGTGAAAAGGAAGGATGCATTAATTACAGTCTCCTTTCTCTTTCTTACTCATATGACGCTATTCCTTAGGTATTTTCCGTTAGGAAGTGCATAAACTCACTGGTAGAAACCAGTTTATTAATAAATCTAGATTTTAAGGAAATTTATTTTGTAAACTGTAGTAGTTATTATAATTATTTTATGACGCGTTAATCCGCGTGTTCTTTTCATTAAGAGGCCATTAAGAGGCCCTCATTCAGAGGGTGTAAAAATATTGCGATCATTGGCGGCTTGATAAGATAAGTATTCCTAAGTATTACTTACATGCACTTGCATGTAGATAAATATCAACGTTAGACACGACTTGTCTGTGTGTATGCAGATTCATGAAAACTACTTTAAAATGTAGCACCGATTTATTCCGCATATTGGTATTCCCAATCCATTCGTAATTGGTTAAATTCAATCTAGAAGGGAAAATTGCTGTGCAATACAGCGTTTTCAGAATTACCAATATTCATTTGCATTTCATTGTTCTGAAACAAAGCAATTTATTCAATCTCAGAAACTGTACAGTTCGGAATAGTAGTCTACTTAAAACATGGCACTCATAAAGCAATTTGGCGGAAAATGCAGATTGCATTGATATATTTAGGTATTGATGACATAATCGTTTATTTCAGACTATGACAACCAGTCGAGTACGGTGACAGCGCGGATCACGGCCACCGCTCCCGAAGCGCCGCCGCCCTACAACCCTTTACCACAGTCACCGTACCACTCACCAGTGTACACTGATGTGGAAACCACTGCTTATAATGAAGGTAAAACCTTTGTTTAACATTATTCTTTGTCTAATGCCACTGTTGATAAGGTTTTTTGTTTTTCAATACAAAACCAGTAAATACTAATTAGTTGTTCGCTTTAATGCAGATTGTAGAATATTTGGGTAGGTTGGTGTTTTTAAAATAGTTCTTTGAGATATTAATATAAATACATAGTACGTATTTTTTATTTCATAGAAACGGTTTTAGGATTAATAATTAGTACGAAATTAAATTCTGCGAACGAATCATTTTTGTAGAGCTAAACTCTCTTTATCTGTGCTCCCATCACAACTAAACTCATAACTGTCGATTTATCATTTCCATCATATTGTATTTTCTTTGTTCCAAATTGTGTAATGCTTGATTGCCTAAGACGAATGTTTCCTGCATGATTAAATCTACATATTTGCAAATGGATTTATCAATAGTATAATCATAATCACTTAAACTACAGCGAGGATATTTGAGCGAGCGAGTTTAAATATGTTGAATGTGGGACGATGATTACGTGTTTAGTGACGCGTTCCAATCGGAAGATCTTGACTTTGGCCTTCATTACAAAGGCATGCTAATTCACGATATCGTTCTGTATATTTAAGCAAATTTTCAATTCTATTAAATAAAGAAGGGCCTCTTAATATAATATATATGATATACCTACATAACTCCACGCCTTTTATCCCCTAAGGGGTAAACAGAGGTGCACATACGGCACTTAAGGCCACTGTACAAAGTAACACCCACTTTTCACTATTTTATTTTTTGGGTCCTATGCCATCTAAAGGGAGTGTGCCTATTGCCATATACCAGGCACAATTCTAGACTTCCGTGCTACTACTGAGATTTTTTAAAAACCCAGTAATACTTGCCCGAACCTGGTATCGAACCCGAGACCCCTTGCCCGGCAGTCGTACTTGCGACCACTCAGCCAATGAGGCAGTCTCTATGATATCTAACATTTTATTGTAAACGTGATAAAAGGAGGGAGTCTCCATTAAACCGGTAATGCATGTCATAATTAAATGAATCATTACGGAAACTCCTAAGTTCGGAACATTCAATATTCGGTAGCGTGATGACGTATGACATCCTACGCTTCACTAAACCATTACATTAGGCATCGTTTTGGCACTCTGAATGTGCACAAAGAATGCTCACAACACTTCATTGATACTGTATTGCATCGATGGATTTGTATTTGATTGTGAGTGATAATATTTTTTGTTGACACGGTAGTACAGTATCCGCGTTTCATCAAATCACTGCATGGTTGATTGCTATAATATAATATAGGTCAAAGCTTTAGTCAATGTAAATTTTTAGAATTTCTTGGAAAACCAGTCAAAATGCTCTCTTTAGTATGACTCAAACAAAAAAAGAATTAATTGTTCAATTTGGTGCAATCCTTTGAAAGCGTTCGTATTAATTTTTCACGATTCATTTTTATTTATATCATTCGCATTCACATTTTTTTCTTTGATCGTTTATTGTAATTCTCAGTAACGGGCATTCTTTGAAAATTGTAATGCTCGCTCTATATTTGAAATTAGGTTTGGTTGAAACCAAATACATGTAGTGACTTATAACCGTGTATCTGTCCAATTACAACCAGTCTGATTGAACAACCTATCTGCTGATAGATTCTGACAGTATTAGGACACCATTTTATGAAACTTGGTATGTTAAAAATCTACCTTTCCTTCTAACACCAATATGCCTATGATACTTACACTTTAATTTATTTTTCAGTATACTCAATGTGTTTATATTTTGTTGGCAGACGAACAATTCATCAAGCGTCCCCTACCTCGACCGCAAGACACGCGGGAGTCGGCTGGGAATCAAGCCGCCAGAGTTTATAACAAACCGATATATGAACAAGAAATCCCACCGCCCAGGTACGTTGTCATGTCTTTAACATACTATAAAATCTTCATCATCAGTTAAAAGATGTCCACTACTGGACAAAGGCCACCTTGATGACTTGACTGGTATGTCATAATCTCCTCGTTTGGCAGGCGATTTGGGATCACAATTTAGTTAGGTCACTGAAAGTTTATCAAAATTTGTCAGTTTGACTTACCAACCAAGCTATAATATAATATTGTGCAATTGAAACAATAGTGTGAAGATCTCGTTATCAAAAACTAAATTATTAAGTAGTATTATTAAAATAAGATTTATAACACATTCAAACAGACTAAGCTTTTGTATTTAAATTATGGATTAGCTTATTGTTTTCAATAAGTTTAGTGTTAAATTAATGTCAACCATCCTCGATAAATGCACTATCCGACACAAAAATAATTATTCAAATCTAACTAGTAGTTCTTGAGATCAGCGAGTTCAAACAAACACAAATAATCTCTTTGGTATAAGATTATTAGGTATATTGATTTTTTAGAAATTGCATTAAACAATGATTTACTTCGCATTAAGCAATCAATCACCTCGTCGTTATCAAAATTAATCCCACAAGGAGTAATTATTTACGGGCAATAAATGAGTGTACTTATTTGCTTACTTTTGGGGACCTCTAAAACTGTTATCTTCGACCCGCCTGCCGAGCGTGAAAAATATAACAAGTATCTCATCTAAAGCCATATAAAGTAAGTGTCTAGTCAACCAGTGAACGGTCAGGAACTGTTGATGTTAATTGTACAATGTATGTACGTACATAATATATATTGATTATAATTTACACATCAGGTCTTACAAGGAGTCATTTTGGAAAGGTCAGTTGTTCATAATTATTTTTATTGCGGGATTAATTATTAATATTAACATAACATAACATAACACAACACCACGCCATTTATCTCCGAAGGGGTTGGCAGAGGTACACATTACGGCACTTAATGCCACTGCACAATGTAACACCCACTTTTCACTATTTATGTTATGAGTTCCATGTAATAGGGGGTAGGCCTATTGCCATATACCGGGGACATTTCCAGACTCAGTGCTACTACTGAAAAACCCAGTAACGACTCGGGAATCGAATCCGAGACTCCTTGCCTGGCAGTGGCACTTGCGTTGCGGCCAATGAGGTAGTAATTAACATTAACCGAACTTAATTCATAATTTCTGGATTGATCTTTTTGACAGAAATTCCATAGAACTGGTGTCAAAAATCGTTCTTAATCTAAATATTTTGGATTGAAATCAGTTATTAATTTAGGCCGTTAATCCTTCGCTGATTAGGCCTGTTGTTTTATCATTTAAAGCATATCGTGTTACACGTAATTGTGCAAGTTAATACGTAGGTAGGTACTGTAATTTGTATTTTAATCAATTATATTTTTCAAGGGCCATTGTGTCGGTTGCAATCGCGGGTTCTTCTTATAATGTTTCAAATTTCCAAATTAATAGGAAATAATGTACCTATTGATGGTTCAAGAACAATAAAGTATAGTTTCATAGACGAGCTAGCGAAATATCTAGACAATGATTCACATGTGCGAGGCCGACGCAGGAGTGCGACGTTACAGAAATCCTTGTGATAAGGCCTCTCACAAAACTTCTTCTTAAATGTTATATCAATTTTATTGTACTCACACATACAATATAAATATTTCAATACGTGTCCTTGGTGCGACAGATAATGGTGATAATTTAATTATTATCAGGACATTATCAGATATTACTCCTGTCATGATCACTCAACTTTCTTTTAATTTTATTGATATGTTTAGTTGGTATTAGATACGTGTAGGTATGTGTTGAGGAAAATTATAATATTTTATTTTTAATCCTTCGACATAAAAAGTGTCATTGGTGTACGTTTGTGGGTGCTGAAGCTCCTAAACGGCTGTACCGATTTGAATGCGATTTTGTGTGTTAATTGGTTGTTCGTTTGCTACAGTCCTGAATCACCTGTGCCGGAGTATACGGAGCCAATGACGCTACCAGCTCACGAAGACGATGAGACGATGCCCAGCCCGTGGATGCCCGATTCCACGACCAGCAATGGAGACGTGCCCTAGTAAGTATTATTTTTGTATTATCTTCTCGGGTTTTAGTTTTTGTAGATACTAGAGAGAGAACTTCTACGAGTATTTCATTTTATTAGATAATCTGATGGATGTGCAACTATAGAATTTAGAAATACTGTAGCTGTAATTTTGCTCTTCGGTTAACCGCTCTAAAAATTAAACGGGGTATTTTTAAAAGTGATATTTAATTGTAGTATATATATGAGATATTTTACGATTTACGTTTAATTTAAAAGTTTAAAAAAACATCCACGAGAAATTCGCCACTAGGATTTAACGAGTAGATAAGACACGAACATAAAGAATTAAGGAACTGTATAATTTGACGCGGACCCCAGAACTATTACAATAATAGATATATGTACTATAAATTTCCTGTTTTACTTTCAAGTTGCCGGACGCCTTAACAGTCGGCTTTCCTTAGTAATACGAAGCTCCAATGTAAATACCGATTGCCCTTGACTTTGTTACTTCGGCAATGTCTTTGATAGAGTTCGTTACATCACGCGGTAACAGTAATACCTTAATGTTAAATTTAAATGCTCAAGTGTTTGACGCTTTACGCCTGCAATTTAATGGTCAGCAATAAATAAATAAGGACTGCTTCGTTAGCCGTCGCAAGGCCTATTTTCTCTGAGTTCGATGCGGCATTTATCAAAGTAGTCCGATAGGTAATGCCGGCCTCATCTAGTAATTTAAAGATTTACATGTATAAATACTGATGGTACTATTTGGAGCACTAAATATATTTTCTTGGCATTTCGATTTCCGGGTAGAGTAAAGGATTATAAGGCACTTTCAGTTTCTGAATAGGTAACAAGCTTGTACAATCTAATTGATACTAAGTATAATTTTATCGTCTAGTGTACTGATCTATATATTTTGTGAAACAGTGTGGTGACTGAGACCGGAGGTGGTGACGCGGACGGTAGCTCGTCCAACCTTCCCGCTCTACTGGCCGCCGCGAGAGACACCACGCTCGTCGAACATCCTGCAGCTAAGAAACGATGTATCAGACAGGTATGTAAATCTGTTTATGTGTAAGAGGGATTCAAAAATAAAATGTATTATGTGCTAAAAATATTTGTAAGATTTTATGTTCTTTAGGCATTCAGTGCTAATGTTGAATGGAAAAAGTGCTGAAACTTCTTTCCAAAACGCACGCTGTGAAGCATATTTTGAAGAATATCTAACAACTAATTTTAAGTCTTAGGTAATTTTTATTAAAAAATCCTTAAGGGTAATTTTTTTAAGGATAAAGGTGCGAGTTTATTTATGTCTGCATTATGTTCTCAGGACTCCCTAAACAACAGAAACCGGGATAATGGTTCATGTGGGGACAGCAGTCATACCAGTTTCCCGCGATCGCCGTCACCGAGTCAAGGACAAGGCGGGCCGCCATACAGCTTTATCACACAGATTACAAACGTCGTGCAGATCAACACTAGCAAGTGACGTCACGCCGCCAACGACAATACTCCGCTACTTAGTCCATAATAAGGTGAAATGACCATTTTATCTGTAAAGTTTGAAGTTTTACTCCAAGATACGTCATTTTATCTTACAACTTAGTCTTATTGTTATTAGAGTAATTGTGGATATTGTAATTTTTTTACTTTTTCTAGTAAAATTGAAAAAGAAATGTTACGAAAAGTCAAAGAAAATGCAAAAAAAAAAAATGTTTTAGGTAAGCATCAATGTTAGATTGGTGCGTATAATGTGCCTTATGGAGAGAAATTCTTACCTATTGAACTGTGATGTAGATTTATGTGCGTATATACCGGTGCATATACCAGTCATGTTCGAGATCTGTGCGATCAATTCATGATCTCAGTAACGTAATGTAATGTCTTAGATACGCCTAGTGAACAGTCGGTAGCTTAAACGATGAGAGAGATGGAAAAGACATTATTTAATACTTGCTTGCTCAAGTTATATTAATTTAGAAGAATATTTGGATCGTTTTATACTTTAGAAGTCGTTTAAGAAACCAGACTTTTAAGTATTCAGTATGGTTCAACGTGCTATCAAATTTAGGCGATAAATTAGTGCCTTGTTACACAATAACTGAATAACTTCAAATGTAATAAGTAATGTATTATTTATTTAGCATAATATCTTAATTCTAAGCTTTCAAGGCTTGAAGATAAGATATAAATAATGTTCTTCCTATATAGTAAATTTGTACATAAAGATGATTATATTATTTTATAAATGTTCCTTGAAATTGCAAAAAATGTAATATAAAATACAATTCGAAGTTTATGAGCCTTTATGATGTTTATAGAATATTTCAAAATGTACTGCAACAATACAATTAACAACTCTAAGTTAATCGTCTGGTGCAATATGAGTTCTCAGCTTTCTATTGATTCAATTTATTTGACACCAATTTATTATAAAATGTAATTGTAAAATGAATGTCTTTGTTCTAATATCTTGGCTTATAAATAAATTAGTTAATGCAATTTATTATCATAAGGGATTGTGATAATTATGTATGTACTATGCCCAATATAATGTTTTACTAATAATATTTCATTCCGACTTACAACCTGATTAGTTTACGGTCCATTTGACCTTCAGTCAAATTAAAAGATAAATTAACAATACATTAAAAAAATATGCAACATGTGCTGTTATATATAATTAATACCAAGTCACAAGACATGTTTTATTTTTAGCAAGGAATGTGCTACATTTTTTAATCAAAGTGGTATTTTACGAATAATATAAAGAAAAGTACATTGTTTTCGAAAAACGTGATCATTACATTGAATAAACAAGGCAAAATGAATATGTTTATTAAATTACATATTTTATTCACTATTTTAACAAAACAAGAAAATGTTCCAATTTTTAATGACTTATTGCATTTAATAGGACATGCACTGTATCTTTACGCTGCGGTACAATTTGATTTGTGTACTTACGATGCTATATTTGATTAGTACAGTTTACCATATTGTAATTAAACGTATTTTAGCATTTATTTAAACACAATACTTAAGTATTGGGATTGATATATTATATGCCAATGTATTCTAGTGTGCTATATTTGCGTAGTTGCTTCCATTATTTTAGTTTATTGTTTTGCATGATTTTTTTTTATTCTAACGCTGTGTTATGTGCGTGTGATCAGACCGGCCATTAGGTGTAAAAAGTTTAATAACAAATCTGTTGCCTAGCAACAGTCTTTAAACTAAGATGCAGTTACACCGGTGCTAATATCTTAGTAAATAAATAGTTTTTATATATTATGTAATTGGGCAACTGATATTTAATGTTCTGTTGATTACTTCGATTTTATTTTAATTTGTATCATTTAATATTGATTGAAAGTTTCCGAATATCAAATAAATACTCGCTTTAATTCACTGCCTGTATTCCTACAGTAAACACGATGCTCATTACTTAAGAGATGTAACTGAAGGCTGTGAAGCACTTATTACAAGTTACACTAACTCTTTTGTTAATTGTTAATGTTAAGTCATTAATGAATTGTCCTCCCTGCCGAGTTTTACTATTCATTAATGAGTTAAATGGGATTTTAGTCTCTTGTGAATAAAGTTGTATGTAAATATTATATGGTCTTTTTATTATTTATCAGTTTAAACAGTTTATTCCTATTTTTATTACCTTCTAATGTCCTGTACACAAAGTTGGACTCTGTACACGTAGAGATAGACGCCGCCAGTACGGTAAAATGGGGTGAATAGGATTTGAGCGGTGAAAAGGGATAGAAGAGGCGTGAATCGATACTATGAAGAATTTCCTTATACCTATTCACCCCTCTTCTGTCCATATTAACCTCTCGATCCCTATTCACCCCATTGTACTAGAATTAAAACTAACAACAACCGGTTTTTGGGGCTACAACCACAACGGTTTCATTCAAGTCCCTGGTGCTAGCAGGAGACGATAGCTCTAGAAGTTACCTATATTCTCATCTCTTTGGCTAGCTAGCTTACCACACACACACCAAGCAAATACGAATCTAGACCCTGCGATATTATTGGCAACTTAAAAGTATTGAATACCTTAACAATTATTTTCCCTAGCAGATAGGTATGCAACTATACTTGCCTAATGGAGCAAAATCAATTAATATTTTTTTAATACTGCCTGCTCAACTTTTGACCATCAAATATTTAATTATTATTTCATTCATTAACAAAAAAAAGGAATTAGGTAGGTAACTAGGTACCTAATCAAACATTGCACAGAATAAAACATTGTGTAAGCTTATGAACAAAATTTACAACATGGTATTATTACCGATCAAGTAACTTAACTCCTAATTCTTGAATGCAAGGTGTCGGTACGTTGTTCACGAAAGCTCTTTTGTTAAAAATGTTCATTGTTTTGAATAGATAGCGAACGAGAATAATAGGGGATGATACCTACCTTTGTGGCGCGCGACATGTTTGAACTTGATTGAAGTGTGCTTGTTGATGTTGTAGTCAAGTTTTTGCACGATTTACGATCCCTAGAGTTGAAAGTAAGCATTATTTTTTCTTCAGTTTTATTGAAGTCGTCACGGGAATTAGGTGACGAGTCCTGAGTCCGCGGAGATCTTTTAAACAAATTCTGGTTTATAAACGAGTTAGCGGTTAATAGTGAGTTAAGTCAGTGATTACTTAACAGCAGAATTTAAGTCATAAAGAAATTATTTTGATTTACAAAATATAAAAGATAAACACCTAATTTAATACGAAGACCCAAGTTATTTGTATCTATCGGATAAGAAAGGACACAACCTGAAAATGTTTCGGTAAGATTTCAATATTTATTTACCTACATTACATATATTTACCTAGTTATTATTAAATTAAAAAAGTTAGGTACCTAAGACCTACCTGTGTACCTGAGAATATCCTGCCTGATTTAGGTAAGGTAGGTAAGTTCCTGTTATTTATTCCTCACATGAATAGATGGACTACAAATAGGCACGGGTGCCGCAAGAATTAGGTAGGTACTCTACCTATCCTATTTTAAAATGGGCGAGATGTGTATGTTTCATATTTTGCAAATGGCCTCTAAATGAATCATAAAAAATTTGTACCTATTGTGTATCTATAGGGGGATCCAAAAATTCCATTTGTGTTTATCTAGGGCGTTTATATTTATTGAGATACCTATTGCAAATTATTTGCGGTCTAGGGCCTTTAAGTCCTACTTATATGAGCTAATTGATGAATGACTGTATGGTTGTTGCGATGGCTGGGCAACCTGCTGCCGCGCAACCTGTCGCGTGTTCGATTCCCGCACGGAACAACTCTTTGTGTAATCGACAAATTGTAGTTCCGGGTCTGAATGTCATGTGTATGTGATTTTGTATGTTTGTAAACGCACCCACGACACAGGTGAAAATGCTAATGTGGGGATATTAAAAAAAAAGAAAATGTTACCTAGTTAGTAAGTAATCCTCGTAAAATCTACTCAATTAAATATAATTATTACATTTTTGCAGGTTCGTCTGTACGTCACTGCTACTCATATTGGTTGTACATGCACATGCGCAACCATTATCATGTGGAGGAGACGAACACTGTGCGGAGGGATATTACTGTGAGACGGAAATAAATATCTGTCGGGAATGTTTGCGATGCGAAGACTTTAATCGACAGCCTCCGAAACTTTTGAGTGAATGCATCAAGTCATTGGATACATGTGGCCTTTGTAACGAAGGGTGAGTTATTTTAAATACTTTCTTAAACATCAACAAATACCCACCTATTTGAGTCAATTTCGATTTTAATGAAATTATCATACTTTCCATAATCGCTTTAATATTATATATTATTATATATATTACAATTTATATATTATAAAACGGTTAAAATACTTTACAGTTATATCTACTATCTTACGTGAAGTTTATGATAATCTAGCGAAGTCTAGCATCGGCTCTAAATCCTTATACTCTACTAACACACTTGTTTATTTCTGTTGGACAGAAGTATAAATTATTGTAATACCTACTTACGATATTGTAATTAAGTAGATACCTATTCGATTTGTTTTTAACTTACGCTTCTGAACATATGATGCAACTAAAGTAGCTGTCCATACGCTTGCTCAGGCAGCAGAGAACGCTAACCACTTTATTCTCTTGACTCTCCTTCTTCACCTGGTTACCTTACCTCTGACTTCCAATATACTTGTGCAAACCACACAAAATTTCTTCATTCTTTTTAGTATCGGCACCTTCACCTATAACCATTAAGTACCATTAAGTACTTAGATATATCTCTCATCGCACTGACTTCTTTCATTGAAGCTGTTCTTCTGTAGAATGCGGTGCCCAAGGAGATCAGAATCAGCAGTGCCATTAAATCCGCGAGCATATATTGAAGCATTGGCAGACTCAAAATAACTATTTTGACAAAGTTTTCTATAATGTATTGTTATAGTTATGTAATAGGTATAAGTATTTGTTTAGCAGTATATATTATATTAAGTACCTATATAGTATGAACTAAGTATGTCTATATATTTTTTAAATTAAATTATTGTATTAGGTAATATATTTATTCTATAGGTATTTATGTGTGTAGATTATTTATGATTTAAAATTATGTTCTAACTTTGCATCAACCGCTTCATTTCTCTGCAGTTCCCTATGATTGACTGTCACAGAATGCCTTAAGGCATTAAGTCCGCCATGGACTGCATTAAGTTTAAAAAAAAAATAAAAAAAATATTGTCACTCACTCAGTCACCATTAAAGCGACTTTTTTTTCAGTTACATATTCATAAACGGAGCTAAAGGAAAATGCGTCTTACCAGAGTACCTAGACTTCGGAAGAGGTTCCCACTATAGATATCTGTGTCTGATCGCTGTGGCAGTCGGCCTGGCCTTCGTAGCCACCTCTATGTATATTATAAAGCAGATCGCGGGGTTTCGCGTCGTCGCCGTCACTTATTGTAAGTCTTATCACAATTTTTTGTAATTTAAGTATATTTTATTAACACGCTTAATGTATGTATATATTTATTTAAAGTTTTTTATTAAATTTATTTGTAAAATGGTTAAATCGAATAAAATTAATTGCAGATGATGATGTCGGGAAACTCACACTGCACTGCACTCCGATACTGTCCCCAAAGAGTCATTGGGAAATACTTGATGCAATAGCATATGTGAGTAAAACAACTGATTGGGGTGCTTACTCTTGAAATCAATCTCAATGTCAATGCAATTTAATATTATTTAATAAAATCTCAATAATTATTCAATGTCAAAACTATATAAGCTTTATCGTAGCTGTTAAAATACCATTCAGGGTACGGAATATAAAGTCAAACTCAATACCGCTTAGTTAATTCAATATCCATGCAATACGGATGCAATGGGCGCTAGTGTTGCAACTCAAAGAGTACGAAAGTTCACAATACCAATGTCGGTCGATCGGAATTGGATTGAAGAGTAAGCCCCTTGATTTACCTTTGTCTGCCTTTACCCTGTGAAGTGTCGGAACGCAAATCTACGCGAGACACAATGTGCTTTCTATTGTGTCTCATATATCTACAGACGAGAGGTGGATTCCGGGAAGGGCATGCAATTGTACCCTTTCCCCAGTAATGTTTCCCATGCCCTAGCTGGTGCTCCTATTGGTAGACCCGTAGACACCGAGCGTAATCCCAGATACCGTGCTAAGAAATTTTTGAAAAACCGATTAACGCTACAAGATTGCTCAACCCAGAATACGAACCCGATACTCCTTGCTCTACAGTCGCACTCGCAACCAATGAGGCAGCGATTACTTTCATTATCAACACAACTTTTATTTATTGTATTGTAATTTAGTAAAATTAACTGAATTTTCTGTTTTAGGATCAAAACAACAACACAAACGAGTAGTGGGAACGTGAACCAGTAAATTAAAAAGTACTTTCGTACTTTTAATTTTCTAAAATATATTGTATTTTTTTCTATGAATAGTGCCAAAGTTTCGTTTTTTATTACTATCATTTTTATCTAGCGTGTAAGCCCATGTTATGGTACAAATCTCACAAAAAATGTGATTTCATCTTTAATGTTAATTAGTAATTATTTGTTTAAGTAGGTACAGTTTCGTATAGTTTCTATTATATTATTTTTTTCAATAAAGTTGCATCCTAATGTGAATAGTGTTTTAATTACCTAGAAGTAAAAATTAGGTTTAAATATTTAAATGAAAAGATTTGAGTAGCTTCCTGTAATCAATTAACGAAGTGTTAAATTTAATCAATATGGGAATAAAAACGACCATGACTTCAAATTGAAACACAATTTATTAAGACATACTTAAAACTAGGACTTAAAAATCAAGAACCTTAATGCAACCGTGTGCGTTACCCAGGCCAGATGTTGTCGAAAATGGTCATTTGAATCTTATAGATAATTAGTTGTGCGGCTTCTGTAATTGTTGCGCACATTTTTAATTTTGTTGCGCTTATAGCTTTTTAATTATTTCACATAAACATTTCCTGCTGGGGTAACGTTACCTCAGCTAGACCTTTTTCTTTCTAATGGGAATATTTAAATAATTACTAGCTATAAAATTTGTTGTCTAGATGAAGTAAATGTTGTGCCCTATTTGTATTTGTTCTTTAATCGGTTGCGGAATTATTCGAGATTTTGCTGGCGTAACGTTTTTGGTTTTGCTAGATCTTTGAAATAGTTAAGCGGATTCTTATCATATTTTGTACATGGCTTCTTAGGAATGAGTTTAAATTTGTTCTAAAATAAAAAAAACCAAAATAATACATAGGTTAAAGATTATTTTATTAAATAGAAAAACACTTCAATTGGTCCCAGCACTCTTAATTAGAGATGTGCCGTTGCCGGAAATATTGCTCGAAGTGGGATTTTTGGTGGCAAGATTGCCAGCAATATCGCCAGGGGTGAAAATATTTTGGAATTTTGCTTAATTATAAGTTAAATTAACTACGGAAAGTATGCGCTATACTTGAAATTAGCATTTAAAGCCCATCATATAAACTACATACATTAAAGTGTTGTTTTTGGTAAAATTGCCAATATTGCCAGCAGTTTAGGCAATAATCCCGGCATTTTATCGGCAATATGGCCAATGTTGCCGCACACTCTGGCTGTATTGCTAATGTTGCCACACACTATAGCGAATAGAAGAAATAACACATAAATATTTAAGTAAAATTAATGTTCGGTTTGTATTGAATAAAAGGCACAAACTCAACTCATTTATTTTAATGTTGTACTTGTTTTTCATGTAAAATTTCATAACAAATACAAAGCGTAAATCTTCACAAATCTCTAGCAAAACTACAAACAATGGTTTAAAATAACGAGGAGGAGACATGGCAGGACATAATATGACAGAACAGGACATGACAGGAAGGACTGTTTGACATAGTGACCCATCAACGCACAGCCCAAGCCACTGGACAGATCGGTCTGAAATTTGGCATGCAGGTAGATGTTATTACTTAGGCATCCGCTAAGAAAGGATTTTAGTCAACTCCACTTCAAAGGGGATAGGGGATGAAAGTTTGTATGAAAACTTTGTCAGTTTCAAACCGATCGGGTTGAAATTTGGCCTGCAGGTAGATGTTATGGTGTAGGTATCCCTTGACGCATTAAACGCCATGGGGGTCACCGGTAACCGACGTTAGCGGTAGATTTGCCTTCAACAGTTTTCTATTGACAGTCAAAGCTTTAAGAAAGGTGTTTGATCAATTCCACCCCCAAGGGGATAAAAAATGAAACTTCACAAACATTTGGAGGCAGTTACAAGCTTTAAAATAACGTTTGAAGTAAGTCTTTAGAGCTCTTATTGAGAGTGCTGGGACAAATGGAAGTGTTTTTCTATTTAATGAAATAACCTTTACGCAATGTATCATTTTGCATTTGTATTATTATTATTGTATTATATTGCAGAACAAATTTAAACTAATTCCTAAGACGCTATGTACAAAATATAAGAATCCGCTTAACCATTTTAAAGATCTAGCAAAACCAAAAACTTTACCCCATCAAAGTCTCGAATAACTCGAATAAAAATAAGGCACAACATTTACTTCATCTAGACAACTAATTTTATAGCTAGTAATTATTTAAATATTCCCATTAAAAAGAAAAAGGTCTGGCTGGGGTAACGTTTCCCTAGCAAAATCTCGAATAACTTCGCAAGCGATAAAAGAACAAATACAAATAGGGCACAATATTTACTTCATCTAGACAACTAATTTTATAACTAGTAACTATTTAAATATTCCCATTAGAAAGAAAAAGGTTTGGCTGGGGTAACGTTTCCCCAGCAGGAAATGATTTTGTGAAATAATTAAAAAACTATAAGCGCAACAAATTAAATGTGCCCAACAATAGGGTAGATGCCTAATTTTTATTTTAATGTCCGTCTAGGATATTATTTTAAATCATTAGACACGTATTTTTTATTTTATTACAGAAATGAAGAGTTTTGGCGATATATTGATTTGAAATGTCGCGTGACGTCACTTCTATGTGCATTTTATACGTAGACTCCTAAACTTTGATTCGTTTTATCTAAGTAATGTTTTAATATACGACAAAATAAAAAAATACGTGTCTTAATTTTTTACTTAACATACAGACTAATTAGATTTTTAATTTTCATACCCTGTCATCATTCTAATTACAGAAGCCGCAAAACTAATTATCTATAAGATTTAAATGACAATTTTCGACAACATCTGGCCTGGGTAACGCACACAATGCAACCTTAGAGATTACTTTTACGAATAAATAAATAAAGGAAGTGGAGAAAACACTGTGCCAACAGACTAGTAAAATTATTTATTTCTGTAACTTCTCCTAGGAAGGTTTAAGGTGCAAAGTGCCTTACTAAGCCTTATACAAGCCCATATTTTCTTTTTTCATGACATGTTCGTTTTGTCTAATATTAAGTGATTCTGCAAAATATTCTAATCATTGGTGGCAATGAACAGTGCGATAGCATGTAGCGTGGCGAGGTCAGGGTCGTAGTGCTGCGTGAGCGGCGCGCGCGTACTGAACACTATCGCCTCGCGCGCCTCGTTGTTGTACACCGGCACTTCTACGCTGCGTTCCCAAACTAACTCGTTGTCCGATTCCTGTAAGCAATATGAAATTTTTTTACAAAAAAAAAACAAAAGACCTCTATTATAGAATTCATGTTATTAATAAACAGATAAACAGGGGTAACCAACTGGAGTTTTAACTTTTATATTCAAATAGGAGAGTTGAACAAGTGATTTGGTTCCAAGGACCATATAGGAGTTGTACCTTTAATCTTATCTGATAATAATTTAATCAGAGTGTCGGAATTTTTTCGAATCCAGTCGTTGAGGAAGTGAATCGAACTCAAGAATGTAATAAACGAAACTGTGAATCGAACAGAATCTACATCCTCGGTAGTCAATGTTGCGACCAGACAACCAATTAAACTGAAGGAAACCTTAGATTGAATTGGATTGTTTTTTATGATTAAGTATTATCATATTTTTTTATGATTAAGTATGACCTGCAGCACGTATCGCAGCAGTAGCGGCGGTGCGACGTCGTGCGGCGGCGCAGCGGGCGCGCTCGGCACCAGCGCGCCGCACGACCACTGCGCGCCGGACAGCCTCACGCCGCGGACTACTATACCACCTTGAGTGCTTTCACCTATAAAGAATAACATCTTTAAATTATTCTTTTATAAACTACGTTTAAAAAATCCGCCTACAACCCCCTTTTTGAAGTTTCGGAGGTTGAATATTATTGTTAAAGTAAGTTGGTGCAACCCAGCCTAAGTGTAACAAACACTTTTCTAAAAACCGCATCAAAATGTGTCCGTTACCCAAGCCAGATGTTTTTGGAAAATGGTCATTTAAATCTTATAGATATTTAGATTTGCGGCTTTTGTAATTGTTGCGCAAATTTTTAAATTTATTGCGCTTATAGTTTTTTCATTATTTTACAAAAACATTTCCTGCTGGGGAAACGTTACCCCGGTCAGACTTTTTTTTTAAACGTTGCCCACATTAGGATTTTCTCCTGTGGGTCCGTTTACAAACATACAAGTTCACATACACAATGACACCCAGACCTGAAACAACAATTTGTGGATCACACAAAGTGTTGTTCCGTGCGGGAATCGAACCCGCGACACGTTGCACGGCAGCCGGTTGCCCAGCCACCGCACCAATTGTGCAGTCAACCTTCTTCTCTCTAATGGGAATATTTAAATAATTACTAGCTTAAAAATTAGTTGTCTAGATGAAGTAAATGTTGTGCCTTATTTTGGATTTGTTCTTCAATCGGTTGCGAAGTTATTCGAGATTTTGCTGGGGTAGTTTTTGGTTTTGCTAGATCTTTGAAATGGTTAAGCGGATTCTTATCATATTTTGTACATGGCTTCTTAGGAATGAGTTTAAATTTGTTCTGAAATAAAAAAAAACCTAAATAATACATAGCTTAAAGATTATTGCATTAAATAGAAAAACACTTCCATTTGTCCCAGAACTCTCAATAAGAGCTCTAAAGACTTACTTTAAACGTTATTTTAAAGCTTGTAACTGCCTCCAAATGTTTGTGAAGTTTTTAAGAGGAGTACATTTGGAGGCAGTTACAAGCATTCAGTGGCCAAATAACACCGCGCGTTTCAAGGTGTGCTCGTGAAGAACTCGATATCATCATAACTTGTTAAATACTTATAGGATACTAATGAAACTTCACAAACATTTGGAGGCAGTTACAAGCTTTAAAATAACGTTTAAAGTAAGTCTTTAGAGGTCTTATTGAGGGTGCTAGGACAAAGTGTTTTTTTATTTAATGAATATCCTTTGAGCTATGTATTATTTTGGGGTTTTTATTGCAGAACAAGTTTAAACTAATTCCTAAGAATCCGCTTAACTATTATTTCAAAGATCTAGCAAAACCAAAAACGTTACCCCAGCAAAATCTCGAATAACTTCGTAACCGATTAAAGAACAAATACAAAATAAGGCAAAACATTTACTTTATCTAGACAATTACTTTTATAGCTAGTAATTATTTAAATATTGAAATTAGAAAGAAAAAGGTCTGGCTGGGGTAACGTTACCCCAGCAGGAAATGTTTTTGTGCAAGAATTAAAACACTATAAGCGCAACCAATTTAAAAATGTGCGCAACAATTACAGAAGCCGCACAACTAATTATCTATAAGATTCAAATGACCATTTTCGACAACATCTGGTTTGGGTAACGCACACCATCAAAATCGATTCAGTCAATCGCGAGATAATTGCGCACAAATTATATATACATACAGGTCAAACTGAGACCCTCCTTTACTGAGTGAGACTGTCGAGTAAATAAAATTTTCTTGCACAATACACAGTTTTATTGCACTTTCAGGGACGAGAGAGGGTATCATGCATCAATCAATCATGTCCCCTGTGATCCCCTTTGGACTGTATCCTCTTTACAATTTTACTCAATGACAAAGACAATTATCCTCTCTCTCTTCTCAATTTAATTACAAATTCATCAAGTCTTCGCTTTAAAATCTGACCACGTGCAGTGGGGATATCCCTCGACGATATGCTAATGGTTTATCGGTTATTATGACTTATAGAATGGCTTTACCGGATTTCAGTGTTTTACTATTCGTTATTATAGGTTTTAATAGGCATTGAAACTCCTTTGGTAGCAGAATCACCATTATTTTCGATTAGCATAGTTACCTTCATTCCAGTTCCATTTGACGCAGAGAGTGAGTGCGTGCAGGTGACAGTGGAGCCGCGCGGCCGCGTGCGCCCGCAGCGCCCACACGACGCGCGCCGGCCGCAGGAACGAGCGCAGGTCCACTTCTGAACAATGCAGGTTTATTTACATTAAAAGGGTCTCACATTAATCGTCATTATACACACAACTAAAGAACAATAGGTTGCGGTCACCGGTGACCGCTTGGTGTTTGACAGTTTAAATCACTACTATTATTTTCTAACTCGCAAGTGCGACTGTCGGGTAAGGAGAATCAGGTTCGATACTCGGGTGGGGCAAAGTACTACCGAGTTTTAAAAAAATGTCAATGGCAGCACAGACCCTGGAATTGTGCCCGGTATATGGCAATAGGCTCACCGTCACCCCCTATTACATGGAACTCATAACATAAATAGTGAAAAGTGGGTGTTACGTTGTACAGTGGCGTAATATGTATCTCTGCCGACCCCTTCGGGATAACAGGCGTGATGTTATGTTATTATTTTCTAAAACAGATAGTTACATTATCATACATATTATAGCCAAAAACACACTATCGCAAATTGATTATTATTATTATAGCGTAGGTATATATCTTTTTAGCTCGAGGCAATTTTTGTCAGTCATACGTCCCGTATTACAGGATCTCCTCTATTGTTTGCTACGTGATTAACGAGACCAAGAAATTAATGAAAGATTGAAACTATATTAGTATTTGAAGTAATTTACCTGTAGGCATATAATCTGCAGGTTGTACAGTGTCAAGCCCCGCGAGTGCGGCGCGGGCTCTGATACCGAATTCTTTAATGTACGAGTCCATGGCCGTCGGCCCGCTCCATAACATCTGCCATTCTTCACTTACCTACAACATCAAAACGTTTTATTTGAAAGTAATAAAAGTCCTATTTTGCCTCAATTATGTTCCAATTCCGCTAACTTTGTAATCTGGCTTTTTATACGTTTTTTTTTTAATTTTGTCCCACACTATGATTTTCTCCTGTATCGTGGGTGGGTTTACAAACATACAAGTTCACATACACATGACACTCAGACCAGAAACAACAATTTGTGGATCACACAAAGTGTAGTTCCGTCTGGGAATTGTCCCGTGCCTCGCATTTATACTATACATAGTAGGAAGTAGGATGCTACAGTACCGTGAGTGAGACCGTCCGTGCAGTCCGCGCGGCGCGCGCCAGCTGCGAGTGTATCGCGGCGGCGGCGCGCGCGGCGTCCCGCGCCTCGCATTATAATATAGTAGGAAGTAGGATGCTACAGTACCGTGAGTGAGACCGTCCGTGCAGTCCGCGCGGCGCGCGCCAGCTGCGAGTGTATCGCGGCGGCGGCGCGCGCGGCGTCCCGCGCCTCGCATTATAATATAGTAGGAAGTAGGATGCTACAGTACCGTGAGTGAGACCGTCCGTGCAGTCCGCGCGGCGCGCGCCAGCTGCGAGTGTATCGCGGCGGCGGCGCGCGCGGCGTCCCGCGCCTCGCATTATAATATAGTAGGAAGTAGGATGCTACAGTACCGTGAGTGAGACCGTCCGTGCAGTCCGCGCGGCGCGCGCCAGCTGCGAGTGTATCGCGGCGGCGGCGCGCGCGGCGTCCCGCGCCTCGCATTATAATATAGTAGGAAGTAGGATGCTACAGTACCGTGAGTGAGACCGTCCGTGCAGTCCGCGCGGCGCGCGCCAGCTGCGAGTGTATCGCGGCGGCGGCGCGCGCGGCGTCCCGCGCCTCGCATTATAATATAGTAGGAAGTAGGATGCTACAGTACCGTGAGTGAGACCGTCCGTGCAGTCCGCGCGGCGCGCGCCAGCTGCGAGTGTATCGCGGCGGCGGCGCGCGCGGCGTCCCGCGCCTCGCATTATAATATAGTAGGAAGTAGGATGCTACAGTACCGTGAGTGAGACCGTCCGTGCAGTCCGCGCGGCGCGCCAGCTGCGAGTGTATCGCGGCGGCGGCGCGCGCGGCGTCCCGCGCCTCGCATTATAATATAGTAGGAAGTAGGATGCTACAGTACCGTGAGTGAGACCGTCCGTGCAGTCCGCGCGGCGCGCGCCAGCTGCGAGTGTATCGCGGCGGCGGCGCGCGCGGCGTCCCGCGCCTCGCATTATAATATAGTAGGAAGTAGGATGCTACAGTACCGTGAGTGAGACCGTCCGTGCAGTCCGCGCGGCGCGCGCCAGCTGCGAGTGTATCGCGGCGGCGGCGCGCGCGGCGTCCCGCGCCTCGCATTATAATAGTAGGAAGTAGGATGCTACAGTACCGTGAGTGAGACCGTCCGTGCAGTCCGCGCGGCGCGCGCCAGCTGCGAGTGTATCGCGGCGGCGGCGCGCGCGGCGTCCCGCGCCTCGCATTATAATATAGTAGGAAGTAGGATGCTACAGTACCGTGAGTGAGACCGTCCGTGCAGTCCGCGCGGCGCGCGCCAGCTGCGAGTGTATCGCGGCGGCGGCGCGCGCGGCGTCCCGCGCCTCGCATTATAATATAGTAGGAAGTAGGATGCTACAGTACCGTGAGTGAGACCGTCCGTGCAGTCCGCGCGGCGCGCGCCAGCTGCGAGTGTATCGCGGCGGCGGCGCGCGCGGCGTCCCGCGCCTCGCATTATAATATAGTAGGAAGTAGGATGCTACAGTACCGTGAGTGAGACCGTCCGTGCAGTCCGCGCGGCGCGCGCCAGCTGCGAGTGTATCGCGGCGGCGCGCGCGCGGCGTCCCGCGCCTCGCATTATAATATAGTAGGAAGTAGGATGCTACAGTACCGTGAGTGAGACCGTCCGTGCAGTCCGCGCGGCGCGCGCCAGCTGCGAGTGTATCGCGGCGGCGGCGCGCGCGGCGTCCGCGCCTCGCATTATAATATAGTAGGAAGTAGGATGCTACAGTACCGTGAGTGAGACCGTCCGTGCAGTCCGCGCGGCGCGCGCCAGCTGCGAGTGTATCGCGGCGGCGGCGCGCGCGGCGTCCCGCGCCTCGCATTATAATATAGTAGGAAGTAGGATGCTACAGTACCGTGAGTGAGACCGTCCGTGCAGTCCGCGCGGCGCGCGCCAGCTGCGAGTGTATCGCGGCGGCGGCGCGCGCGGCGTCCCGCGCCTCGCATTATAATATAGTAGGAAGTAGGATGCTACAGTACCGTGAGTGAGACCGTCCGTGCAGTCCGCGCGGCGCGCGCCAGCTGCGAGTGTATCGCGGCGGCGGCGCGCGCGGCGTCCCGCGCCTCGCATTATAATATAGTAGGAAGTAGGATGCTACAGTACCGTGAGTGAGACCGTCCGTGCAGTCCGCGCGGCGCGCGCCAGCTGCGAGTGTATCGCGGCGGCGGCGCGCGCGGCGTCCCGCGCCTCGCATTATAATATAGTAGGAAGTAGGATGCTACAGTACCGTGAGTGAGACCGTCCGTGCAGTCCGCGCGGCGCGCGCCAGCTGCGAGTGTATCGCGGCGGCGGCGCGCGCGGCGTCCCGCGCCTCGCATTATAATATAGTAGGAAGTAGGATGCTACAGTACCGTGAGTGAGACCGTCCGTGCAGTCCGCGCGGCGCGCGCCAGCTGCGAGTGTATCGCGGCGGCGGCGCGCGCGGCGTCCCGCGCCTCGCATTATAATATAGTAGGAAGTAGGATGCTACAGTACCGTGAGTGAGACCGTCCGTGCAGTCCGCGCGGCGCGCGCCAGCTGCGAGTGTATCGCGGCGGCGGCGCGCGCGGCGTCCCGCGCCTCGCATTATAATATAGTAGGAAGTAGGATGCTACAGTACCGTGAGTGAGACCGTCCGTGCAGTCCGCGCGGCGCGCGCCAGCTGCGAGTGTATCGCGGCGGCGGCGCGCGCGGCGTCCCGCGCCTCGCATTATAATATAGTAGGAAGTAGGATGCTACAGTACCGTGAGTGAGACCGTCCGTGCAGTCCGCGCGGCGCGCGCCAGCTGCGAGTGTATCGCGGCGGCGGCGCGCGCGGCGTCCCGCGCCTCGCATTATAATATAGTAGGAAGTAGGATGCTACAGTACCGTGAGTGAGACCGTCCGTGCAGTCCGCGCGGCGCGCGCCAGCTGCGAGTGTATCGCGGCGGCGGCGCGCGCGGCGTCCCGCGCCTCGCATTATAATATAGTAGGAAGTAGGATGCTACAGTACCGTGAGTGAGACCGTCCGTGCAGTCCGCGCGGCGCGCGCCAGCTGCGAGTGTATCGCGGCGGCGGCGCGCGCGGCGTCCCGCGCCTCGCATTATAATATAGTAGGAAGTAGGATGCTACAGTACCGTGAGTGAGACCGTCCGTGCAGTCCGCGCGGCGCGCGCCAGCTGCGAGTGTATCGCGGCGGCGGCGCGCGCGGCGTCCCGCGCCTCGCATTATAATATAGTAGGAAGTAGGATGCTACAGTACCGTGAGTGAGACCGTCCGTGCAGTCCGCGCGGCGCGCGCCAGCTGCGAGTGTATCGCGGCGGCGGCGCGCGCGGCGTCCCGCGCCTCGCATTATAATATAGTAGGAAGTAGGATGCTACAGTACCGTGAGTGAGACCGTCCGTGCAGTCCGCGCGGCGCGCGCCAGCTGCGAGTGTATCGCGGCGGCGGCGCGCGCGGCGTCCCGCGCCTCGCACTCGCGCACGCACGCCCACCATCCGCCCCGACACTGCGGACGTATAAGAATAAGAATAAGAATAAGAATTTTATTTGCTCAAACATGTGTGTGCATACAGAATTAAAATAATACAGCATGCAAGATCTTAGAGAAAAGTGGCTTACGACATGTCTGCCATTTATCATGGCGTGCAAATATCTATTATATAAAAAAAATTTTAATGACTGTGAATTATTACATTAATTTTAAAATTTACACTTATACCTTCATTAAATATCTGCAGTATCATTATACATTATTAATTAATTTGTTCATATTCAATTAATATTTACTAAAAATGATTTAATTATTATTATACAAATTATATATTTTACTTATTATTTAATAACATTCAATTGTAATAATATTAACAATATGTTTCTTTGTGTCCTACACTGTGACACAACCTTAATTAGGGCAATGTTAGTTTTTATTGTTTTATTATATAACAATCACTGACTCACTTAAAAATTCCGTTATACTATAATAAGCTTTCTGTGCCAAAAACAATTTCATTGTTTGTTTTAGTTTAGGTATAGTTAGTTCTTTCCAACTTTTGGGTAATTTATTATAGATAATTGGTGCCATGCAAAATACACTCTTGCGCATAAGTGCAGTTTTTGATGTATGTAAACATAGTTGGCTATCGTCACGTCTATTCCTTGGAAATCTGTCTGCCATACGAGGAAACAAATGTGGATTTGTCTTCACGAACATTGTTATTTCTAATACATAAAGTGAAGGCAATGTTAATACACGATATTTAATAAAGTAATTTTTACAGCTGTCAGTAGATTTGAGATTAAACATAGATCGCAAGCAGTATTTTTGTCTCTTAAAAATGACATCCCTATCGGTTGAGTTACCCCAAAAGATTACACCGTATCTAATGACCGATTCAACCAAACCATAGTAGGCCGTCAATAACGCTTCTATATTTACAGTACGCGATAATTTATATAACGCGTATGCCGCACTGCTTATTCGTTTAGCTAGAGATTCAACATGCGCTTTCCAATTTAAATTTTTGTCGATTGTCAGTCCTAAAAATTTTGTGGTTTCAGCAATTTGTATTCTATTATTATTATATTCGATGTCAAGATTAGAAAATAAGGATAATCGATGACTAAAATGCATAATCATAGTTTTATTTATATTAATTTTTAAATTATTATTATCAAGCCACTTTACCGCTTCAATTAAAGTACTTTTTATGTCCATTTCATAATTAGTTTTTTCATGGCATGGTATAGTAATCGTACTGTCATCGGCAAACAGAGTCATCGGATGTACATACGTAGGTACATACTCTAACATTGCTCCACACTAGGATTTCTCATGTGTCGTGGGTGCGTTTACAAACATACAAGTTCACATACACATGACACCCAGACCCGAAACAACAATTTCTTGTCAGTCATACTCAAACTCAAATCGGTTACTACTGTTCCCTATTGGAGTCTTCGCTTCTTCGTTCTAAAGTGTACATTTGAACATCTCGAACGATACCCTAAAGCATTTTAGGTCCCGAAGCAATGTGATTACTTAAGAAGGGTGTGGATATAAAAACCGTTGGGGTTTAGTTAAAAAGATTTTTTTATGGAATAGGAAGCAAACGAGCAGACGGATCACTTGATAGTAAGCGATCAGCACCGCCCATGGACACCCGCAACACCAGAGGTGTCACAGGTGCGTTGCCGGCCGATAATGCAAAAACTTCATTGCGTTTTTAAAGGACTTTGCGCCCTTAGATTTATGTCATAGAAAATTAGCAACTAACCTCTTTAATTTGATAATCTCCTTTTATAAATGGACTTCCCGACATTAGTTTCTTCCACAGTGACAGAAGGGATTTCAATGGCGTTATGTTATCGATGTTGTTGGTCACACTGACAGTCGAGTTTAACTCTGAAATAAAAAGCAATTGAAATATAATATGTATATCCTATTGTTGATTGCGGGCATTTTATCGAGTTTATTGTATCGCTGACTAGATTCATTTAGTAATTTCTTGTAGGCCTATAATGACAATTGTGACCGTGTTTATGATTTTCATGTACAAATAAACTCAACACTGAACTTCCATGAGCTGATTATGATAATATTAAACCAACAAATGGGATTGTTACCTTTGAGTCTAGCGACAATATCGTTGGCGGTATTTTTCTCCCAAGCAACGCGACAGTTTGCAGGTAGGGCCAAAAGTTGTGGCGAGTCGATGTCCGGTAGCGCGTCGAAGGCTACAGTATATTCCTGCACGAAACAAATGCTTGTTAAAATTAGAATAATAAATAAAAATATCATATAAATCTGGATTATCTTAGCAAATACGTTTTAAAATTAGAAGCTTGTGACAAAGTGGTGGTTAAGTGAAATTATAGTTCTGTAAATTAGCCGCTTTTAAGATTGTTGCACTTAAATTTATGGCAATATTGTTATGAGTAGGTCATTGGGTTCAATTGTGAAGAGTAAGCATACTTATTTCTTCAAAATTTGCTAAAAATAGACTAAAATTAAGGTGGTCATAAAATCAAATCATTAGAAACGAGAGTTATTGTGCGAAGTTAGTAGACCAGAGAAGTAATAGAAGAGTGTACCGTGAGCGACGTGGAGTGCGGCAGGGGGTGTGTGAGCGGCGGCGGCGCCCAGCGCGGCACGGCGGCGGCCGGGCAGCGCGCGGCGCCGCAGCGCGCCCAGCACGCGCGCGTCGGCCGCGCTGCACACGCGCGCGCCGTACAGCGCGCACACGCCGCGCGCGCCCGCCCCGCCGCGCAGCGCGCGCGCGCCCGCCACCGCCTCGCCCCACTCCCACGCGTACCACTGCGACCAGCCTGCACGCACGCTATATTGCTTAACAACCGTCACTTCAAAAGTACATTACTTAACATACATCACTTCAAAAGTTTAGGAGGAAAACAAAAATGTTACACTGTTTATTACAAACAAGATCAAACTTTTTTGCGTATACCCAGCGTCTTTGCTTTGTAATGTATGTTTATTCTCAACTCGTCTCCAAGTCTTGAATGTGATAAGAGAAAGAGAACAGAAGAAAATCAGACAGACGGGATCTGTTTAAAATAAACAACCTTTATTAGCATTTCACGATACAGTTACCTATATACAACAATAACTTTAGGTCATCCGATTGTCTTTTAGGCGATTCACGATATTTTAGAACAGAAAAAAGTTAAATAAACGTCGAATAATAATACATATAAAACTTACCCTGTGGTATATAAGCACGTCTCTCCTGCACCAGTGCGTGGAAGAACGCGAGTGCGGCGTGTAGTCGTACGGTGTTCGCGTCCGCCGTGTACGCGCCCCACGCGTACAGTGTGCCCATTATGTTGTTCTTTACACCCTCCGGTGCCTGAAAAAAACGAATATTTAACTTTGAAAAGTTACTTTCACTTTGGGAATGATACCACATCCTTACAGAAAACCGGCATGAATCATCGCTTGCATCTTGTGCCGCCGTATAAGTGAGGTTACTGGGGGCTCAGAGCCTATTATTTTTCAGTAACGGATTACCAATGTTGTTGATGATATGCATTGTGTACGCATTGAGTTGAGGTGGAGTAAATAGGTGTATTTTTAACGAAATATTTTTTTTACAATTGAACTATTGTTATAGTGATGATGAAATCCATTGCAGTTCCGGTTACGGCCATTAGACTTCTACTCAAATGTTATTTTATATTCTTACCTCGAGTATAACATTAACGCAGGCATTAGATATGAGCGGTGGGATTTCACGGTCCTCTGACAAAATCCACAATCTGAAGTCTTCATGGAATTGGTCGGCCTGAAAGTATTCAATTTGAACATAAGTTGATTTCCTAAACATAGATGTAGTAAAATAATAAGGTGTTAGAGATATATTGCCAATAATATTTGTGCATTTTTACCGGTGTTTCGAGGTATGCAGTGATGAAGGCCTGCAAGTCGTTTGTGAACGGCGATGCTCCAACAACTATGGCTAGCCAGTTACCACTGCGACAACTCTCCAGGGCTGCTTCCCAAGCTGATCTACCTTGTTCTATTCCCACCTGAAGAAAATAATGTCAATAGAGTTCAAAATATTCATTTTAAATAAGGGAGGGCATTTGTTCAGCAGTTGATGTCAGTAAGAATCTGATCAATATGATGAGTTTTATGAATGTGAAAAATCGTAAAACAATAATGAGTGGTGTCTAGAAATTAATACAAAAATTACTTGTAAAACATCTATTTCAATAAAATTGGTACTGGATGGGTTATGATATCGATCGAAATATATAAATTTCATCCTAATGATCTTTGTAAGCTTGTGTCTTGAAAGCAAAGTGTATAACATTACATGTGTGAGCTGCCTATTGGTGGCTGCGGCGACCAAAGCATCCTGCGCGTGCGCAGACAGAAGTAGCGCGGGGCGAGGGCCGCGGCGCATGCGGCGGGCTGCCATAGCGCCGCGTCGGACTGGCTGCCCACCTGATATTACTCCTGCGCCTATATAGTCATTTTAGTCGATAAATATTATGTAATATACAACTATACTATACTAACTTCTTAAATAATGAGTGTTAAAAAATGTTATAAGTGGGTCTCGAATATGAATGAAGGACCGAAATCATAGTTCGCGGTTCTGGTCCCGCTAGCCGTTAGTTTTTATTATAGTCTAACGTTAGACACAGAATGACCATTATTATGACTGCAACGATCTGTTACCTACTAATTTATATCTTAATAAATACTAAGACGGCATACCCAACAATTGATCAACGAACGCTACAATAGCTCGGTAAGAGCTGTCAGGTCGAGTGACTGACACAGCCACAACAGTTTCAAAAGCGCTTAGTTTCAGCTTGCTAATTATGTTTATATCGCCTGATTTCATAAACTCCTTCCATAGTTCCTCATTTTGGAGTGATAGCCGGTTGTATAAATCTTCATTGACAACCTGGAATAAAATAAATCATCGTGGTGATTTTGACAAGCTTACCCCATTGGTCAATTGGCTGCGGATCTGATTCCTGGGTCTGAAGTATTATTGGGGATATTTCGACTATTCTAGATTTTTTTAGTAATAGCCCGTAGTTTGGATTTGTGTCAGTATGGTAATAAAAATCTCTTTAAGTGATAGGGACTTATAATGAAGTTATGTTGCTTATGGTTACCTTGAGTTTAGCAACTTTCTTGATACAATCCTGTGATATCCATGCATATTTATTTTTAATTTCGTTAACATTACCAACATCTTCCAGCAAATCCTGGTTGCCTATAAATATTTGCCAGAGCTGAAAAGTAAAAATAAATGAAGTGAATTAGTAAATGAGTTTAAATTAAGAAGAATGTCAATGAAGTAATCAAGTCTAGTGCCGGAATACTGAAACGTTACTTAATTTTAAGTCGTGCTCAAATATCGTGTATCATCTCTGTCACTTTACAAAGAATTTGTAGAGATAGGAACTATACTTAAGCATGACTTAAAATTGAGTAGCGTTTCAGTATTCCGACATAGGAAACCTGGTTCTTCCAGTAGCGGGGTGCACATCATAATATTTTATTCATAGAAACCAACATTTGTATTACATTTGTGGCGACACATGTCACACGTCAAATATCGATGAAAACAAATCAACGGACAACGTCACAAAATCCTATATCGCACATATGAAGTTTACATGCGAAATAACACGGCTAGAAAATCCCAATGAACAACTGTTGGGCGGAATGCCCGCCAGGCACGATCACGTCGCCTGGAGGATCGCATCACCTCGCCTCCAATGTGTTCCCTAAAAATGTTCCTTTTTCAAAAGCACCACGCTAGGATTTTCCTTTCTCGTGGTTGCATATATAAACATATAAACTCACATACACATTGTTTCCTAAGGTGGTGTCACTTACCTCATTTGGTATGGAATCCTCATAAACTTGTTTCAGCAAGTACATGACAACAACGTACTTGTCCTTCTTGTGTAAACTCAAAAGGATTCTCTCCACAATTTTTCTTGTCACATATTTGATCACTTCCTCGTTATTTATGTTGGTTTGATCCTAAAACATTATACCTATTGAGAATATATTAAAAATAATTGTGTATGGGCGTTTTGAAGACTAAATGACCAAAAATATTTGCTAATGTCATGGCATTAGTCGGTCACCTTGTAACAGCTAAGCTGATTGAACTTATAGGCTCTTATATCTCACTAGCGCCATCACGTGGGTGCAAAATTAATATTCAAGTTCTCAAAGCGTCAATTCTAAAATGTACTTTGACCACATATTTAAAAGAATAGTTTACTTACAGATTGTCTCCTCACAGCATCAACGAAGACGTCAAGTATCGCATCTACAGGTAGAGCAATAAGTGGCCATCGAGTCGCCAGTCCATTGGTCGCCAGCGCCAGTAGGGCTGCCCTCTGCGCGGCCGCCTCATACATCTTACAGGCACTTTGGCTCGCTTGCTCCACTTCCTTAGCAGCCGCTAAAGCTTCTACTATAGTGTCGTTGGTAGCCCTAGTCTTACTTAGTGAGGCTAGTACACCCGCGTCTTGTAAAATGTTGCTTTTGTTTGATAGTTCGCGGAGCAGGTTTTCCTAAATGAGTGATTATAGTATTTTTATGCATCAAATTAATAAGTTACCTAAAATTATAAGTAAAAAATGGTCAATTAGACCACAGAGACATTGTCTGTTAGTCGGTCCATGAATATTTTGCTATAAAGTTCTGATATGGTACCTGTAACTCATGCTGCTGTTTCTGTAGAGTAGCCTTTTTCAGTTTGATCTCTCTAGATTTTTCATGAAGTTCTGGATTTTGCTGTTGCAAAGCGTAGTTGACGAGTTGATCTGGAACAGTCGAGCAAGAGGCAAATATTATATGAACTTAGGGTTTCTTAAGTCGGCTTAGTAGGGCGGAGACTGTCTAAATAATTAAGTGGCCGCAAACCACTGCTGAGCAAGGGTTTTCGAGTAAGTTTGCCATTTAGAACATTTTTGATACCTTAATATCGTCACAGATCCTGTATCTATTCATAACTGGTGAAAATTGCTTTATATTACGTTGCAATCATGAGAAAGAAAATAGGATTTAGATACAAGATTTTGAAGTAATATTAAGACATAGTTACCAGTAAGCGCATGTAGTGTAGGAGTGAAGTATAGTGGGCTGAGCGTGGCGGCTACATGCGGGGGCAGTGTCGCCACCGCGCGACTCTGTAGGAGCAGACGAGCGGCCGGGGCCGGGGCTTGGGAGCTTCCCGTCATACTCTGTGAGTATTGTAAGCTGTCCACGTCGCTTACTACCAACGTGCGGCCCAGTCTGATATACAAATACGCACATATTACTCACATGCCTAATCATCATCATGAACAGCCTATAAATGCCCACTGCTGAGCAAAGCCTCTTCGCACACGGAGACGGTTTGAGCATTAATCACCACGCTTGCTCGATGCGGATTGGCGATTACAAACTTATATTATATGTAATTAGAAATTATAAGTTCAGGTTTCCTCACGATACTTTCTTTCACCGTTTGTCAGTGGTGTCTCGATAATCTTAGAAAGTACATACATATAACTCGGAAAACGTCACATTGGTACTTGCCGTTGGTAGATTTCGAATCCAACGCCCGCTCCTTATACATGAGGGTGCATGCATAAGAAGTGGGCGTCTTAAATCTCCGGGCATAACAGTCTTAACTCACATGCCCAACAGTTTAAAAAAATCTTAAGACACTACCTATACTGTCAAAAAAGTTTACATGATCTAATCTGGAAAGCGTATACTTACATTCGACGATTATGATTTTTTATCAGTCTAACTTACACATACACACACACACACACACACACACACACACACACACACACACACACACACACACACACACACAAAAACAGCATCGTTATTTTTATATACTAACATTTTTGTTTTGCCTAAGTTTACATAGCAATAAAATAAATTGAGTTTGAATCTGTGTTAAGTGTGAATGGATATGTACCTGAAGGCATATTGCATGGTAGTCATCAACTTCTCACTTCGTTGTGACACAAAGTCGCACTGGGAGTCAGCCAGTGTGTTCTTGAGCCAAGTCAAACCTTCGCCGTCTGGATCTACTAGTAGTGGAGTGAACCCACACTTTTGGCTCTCTAGAAACTATCATAAAAAGAGTTTATCAGACTCATACATATAGTTCAAATATTCTTTTTCTTGACTACACGAAAAGAGAGACACAACCATTTACATATCAAAAGTGTGACTAGATTTTCTTTACCGGCTTCGTGTTACCTGATCTATCAAAACTCCGTTTTTAACAGCAGTAGTATCAGATGGTAACCCATCGGCTTCCCACTTCAACTGCTTCTCGGTAGACGATAGGAAGTTTATTACAGAAAACAATGCATCTTCGAAACCGATGAGCGCACTCCATTTTGAAACGTAATCCCTGTAAAAATAATTAACAGGCATGTAACAAATTTAAAAACCTCCATGCATTGGAGCGAAAATAAACCATTGATTTCAGTTATCGTGCAAATTTCAAAATTATAGGTTGTCAGAAAATCCGAAAGTGTAACAATAGTAGGTACAGTGAAGCACAAGTCGTTTGTCCTGAATCTCGATTATCAAGCGTTGTAGAGGAGGGCAAATAGATTTCATAGGTGAGTTAGTGTTCTCAATATTCAGAGAAAAAAGGGCAATAAAAATTAACCAATTTCATCTTACCTGGCTTGTGGTTCAGTGACATCTGGTAAGTACACTATGTAGGCGGCCGATAGTAGGGATCTCTGACTGAGTTGTGATATTTCTTTTGATATGTTCTCCAGCTGGAAGAGATAAAATACTTTCTTAATTTGGAGAAATTATAATATAAGTAGTAGTAATAGTAGCATAAGGTATAGTAGTAGTAAGTATACATATAAGTAACCTAATTTAATTTGCCGAATCCAACCAAATTGGAACAAGGGTTGCAAAAAGTACCAATTCTAAAATCAAGGCTCGATTCCATGACAAATATGAAAGAAAATGTAAACAGTGCTTACATCATTTTCCCAAGCTGTGTATTCATGTGCCAGCTGGTCGATGAGTTCGGTAGCGGTGGTGATGGTAGCGTTGGCCTGTGCTAGTTTCAGTTCTAGCGCCGCGGCCTCGCGTGTGTTCTGCCCTAATTGTTCTTGTAGCGCTGCCACTCGTTCCTCTACTGTGTTTAGGTCTGTAGACAGGGCTGCCATTTGCTGCTCTGCGTCGGTTAGGTTCCTAATAAGAAATCGGGGTAGAATACGGTATTTATTTTATTTGGTTAACAATTGATTGTTACCTTGATTTGTTACGTGTAAACACGTACACACTGTAACTAGTAATAAAACTAATTTGTATATTTTAAGGTGTTGCCACAGGTACCGCAACATAACACGACACTTTGTTTCAAGCCTTACAGGTAAAGGTCTCTGGATAGGTCTTAGATTTAAACGAGAACAATATTTTTGGTTAACTCTCGATATTAGAGATCTATAACTTAATGGCGGCTTAATTAAACAAAACAAGTATAGTGACGGTAACGACACTCGAAACTACAATTAAACGTATGTATTTAAGTACGATGTAGGGAACATGCAATATTTTTAGTTTTGGTTTTATTTTAAAAATTTTTAATATAAAATAGCTCATAAACATATAAAAAAATTAAAACAATCTAATTTATCGTAAAAAATGCGGTTTGGACGAACCGTTTAAATTTTCGCGCTAAAGCGGCCCTATAGTTCCGATAACGTCCTGTATGTCTATCACTGGTCGTGCATGCGGTCGTTGGCTGTTTTCAAAGGGCATATGACAAAGGAGACCGGCAAACTTCTATAGTTAATCCAGCCCTCACACACACGAATGAAATACTGTGGGTTCTCAAGGACTAATATTAGTATTCACCCCTACGTAATACGTTTTTTAATAGAACTCCGGATATTCCAAATATTTCAGTTAGTTGTCAAGAAATCTGTCAACCTCTTTGGATACCTTAAAGAAAATATCATGTCAATAAAAAATATAATTTTCTTCGTAAACTCACAATTGTCAAAAAAAAAAACGTCAGATGGCGTATAAATCTATATACTAATATGATAAACATGAAAGTGTGTGTGTATGTTAGTTTGTCCATCTTTTACAGTTAAACGAAGCAAGGAATTGATGTGTTTTTTTAAAGTGGAGATAGGAGTTGAAAGAATGGACGGATGAAAAAGTAACGTAAAAAGTTTGTGTGGAGCATTTCGTAATTTTCAAGGTAGAAAGCTAAAAATTGATAGCGGACTATTTAATAATTGTGCATATATTTTTTTTGTAAACTTGCCCCCAACCCCTTAAAAGAGTGCGAGCTAAGTAGTGGGCAGAAGCTAGTTCATGAATAAAATGATGTTTCATGCATACTGTAGTAATTTAGTCCCTTTCATTTTTACACTAGAAAACTATGGACTCTCGACAAAAAAGTTACTAGCATGTCGGCACTAACTCTTGATAAATTTTTATTAGAAACGTAAATAATTTTACACAAAAAAGTTGACATGACGAAAGTCATGTCACTAAACGCTGATGGTGTTTTTGAAATGTATTTAATTTTAATTCGTAATTATTCTTAAAAATCAACATAATCTATACATATTATAACTAGCGGCCCGTCCCGGCTTCGCACGGGAAGAAAGATTTTTTACATAGTTTTACGTTTTATTTAGAGGTATATTTATTCTCAGTTTTTTTTTAGCGACCTGCCCTCCGTTATCGATGTCGCGTCTTAAGGTAACCGATTGAACAATTCAAAAGTTATCTAGAGCAAACTTTTATAAGGATTGAACCATTCATTAAAACGATTGTTATGGGTAAACTATAAAAGGTAGACATATGCTCTCGCGGACTTTTTAAAAAATAATGTTAAGATAAACAATTCATCTATAGAACATTTTTGTATAACTTTAACTATCTGCTCAGCGCACGCCATGGAAGGCCTCAGAAACGATACTTTTCCCCCGTTTTTAAAACATTTTTGGTTACTGCTCCACAACTATAGGACCTAGCGTGATATTATATAGCCTATGTTACTTCTGAATAATGCAGCTTTCGAATGGTGAAAAATTTATTGCAATCGGTTCAGTAGTTTTTGAGTTTATTCATTACAAACATACAAAAATACAAATCTTTCCTCTTTATAATATTAGTATAGATATAGATAAATCCGTAAAAAGTAATTTTTGTACATTGAAGAAATTGTCAAAAAAATAGCCAGCGTGTTAAAGGATAACTAACATTTTTGACATTTTTGTCTGTTTATATGTTTGTTTGTGCGCGCATCACCTAAAACCTACGATTTCAATGCAAACAATGCTTATATACAAAAATTCTACGCAACTTGAGGTATAACTTAGTTTTTGTTTCATCGATTTCGATCAGTGAACCGATTTCGATGAAACAAAAATTCACGGTTCACTCTATCAGAAGATATGATTAATTTAGTGCGTTCAAGAAGTAAAATATTACAACACGTATAGTACTTGCAACGACACCTTAAGACTAAAAATAGAACTAATGTTGATAGTTGAAATATTTATCCGATAGATGGCGTTGTACAGTTTCTTCAGTTTTTGAATGGCGGAAAAAAAATACTATACCACCTTCTTGAGTGGAGTTTATATGTATATAGCCTACTGTTATGTAATCGATGTTGTTTTGTTTTCGACAACCACGCGAACGAAGTCGCGGCCACAGCTAGCATAAAATAAAAACGTTAAAGTAGCCCTTCTTTTATATTTTTTTACCATTTTAATCATAAAATTTTCATAATTACCGTATTTGCATCTTCCCTATTATGGGCTGGCTATCTTACTTGGCGAGCTTGGCCTGATGTGCCTGCAGCGGCAGCACGCGCTGTAAGGCGGCGGCGTAGTGTATGTTGGCGCGCACCCACGCCGCGAGCGGGGCACATGCTGCCGACGCACGCTTCGCTGTGGCCGGCTCGAACGATCCACCGCGGGACTCTAGCAACTTTTGCACGCTCGCTAACGCTGCGGGACTGATTTGACTTGCATCTAAACATCTGTAAATAAAGAAATGCGTTATTTAATCAAGTTGGTGATTTAAAATACAGGTACGAAAAGTTAGAATTACTCCACTTTGTATCAGTAAATATTTTTGCAATTGATTTCCTTTATTTATTGTTTTGAAATAAAGTCCAAAATGTATTAAATACAGGAAGATATATATATTTAATGTTTGTTTTCACGCACACAACAATGTTACATCTGCGAATTTAAGTTTAATTGCTAGTGTTAGTATGTAGTAAACACTTTTATTAATTTTATCTGTCTCGCAGGCCCGCCGTATCTGTCTCGCACGGGTGACTCGTCGCCCGAGCGTACGGCGCGTCGCGTTCCGCGCGCGCCTCAAGGAGATATCAGACCACAACAGATGGGGCCCAACAGGACTGATGCCGATACGATATCGAGTGTCCTTGATCATTTTCGAGAGTTATTCGAAATTTATCAAGCATCTTTGATCACTTTCGAGAGGTTTTCAAAATCTATCGAGCGCCCTCGATCACATTCGAGAGTCCTCGCAAACCATCCAGCATCCTCGATCATTTTCGCGAGCATCCCCGAAATCCATCGAGCATCCTCAATCACTTTCGAGCGTTCTCGAAATGTATCGAGCGTCCTCGAAATCTATCGAGCGTCCTCGATCACTTTCGAGCGTTCTCGAAATGTATCGAGCGTCCTCGAAATCTATCGAGCGTCCTCGATCACTTTCGAGCGTCCTCGAAATCAATCGAGCATACTCGAACACTTTCGAGCATCCTCGAAAACCATCGAGCGTCTTCGATCATTTTCGAGTGTGCTCGAAATCTATCGATCGTCCTCGATCACTTTCGAGCGTCCTCGAAAACCATTGAGCGTCCTCGATCATTTTCGAGCGTGCTCGAAATCTATCGAGTGTCCTCGAAATCTATCGAGCGTCCTCGAAAACCATCGAGCGTCCTCGATCATTTTCGAGCGTGCTCGAAATCTATCGAGCGTCCTCGATCACTTTCGAGTGTGCTCTAAATCTATCGAGCGTCCTCGATCACTTTCGAGTGTGCTCGAAATCTATCGAGCGTGCTCGAAATCTATCGAGCGTCCTCGATCACTTTCGAGCGTCCTCGAAAACCATCGAGCGTCCTCGAAATCTATCGAGCGTCCTCGATCACTTTCGAGTGTGCTCGAAATCTATCGAGCGTGCTCGAAATCTATCGAGCGTGCTCGAAATCTATCGAGCGTCCTCGATCACTTTCGAGCGTCCTCGAAAACCATCGAGCGTGCTCGAAATCTATCGAGCGTCCTCGATCACTTTCGAGCGTTCTCGAAATGTATCGAGCGTCCTCGAAATCTATCAAGCGTCCTCGATCATTTTCGAGCGTCCTCGATCATTTTCGAGCGTGCTCGAAATCTATCGAGCGTCCTCGATCACTTTCGAGCGTCCTCGATCACATTCGAGTGTGCTCGAAAACCATCGAGCGTCCTCGATCATTTTCGAGCGTGCTCGAAATCTATCGAGCGTCCTCGAAAACCATCGAGCGTCCTCGAAAACCATCGAGCGTCCTCGATCATTTTCGAGCGTCCTCGATCATTTTCGAGCGTGCTCGAAATCTATCGAGCGTCCTCGATCACTTTCGAGCGTTCTCGAAATGTATCGAGCGTCCTCGAAATCTATCGAGCGTCCTCGATCATTTTCGAGCGTCCTCGATCATTTTCGAGCGTGCTCGAAATCTATCGAGCGTCCTCGATCACTTTCGAGCGTCCTCGATCACTTTCGAGTGTGCTCGAAAACCATCGAGCGTCCTCGATCATTTTCGAGCGTGCTCGAAATCTATCGAGCGTCCTCGAAAACCATCGAGCGTCCTCGATCATTTTCGAGCGTCCTCGATCATTTTCGAGCGTGCTCGAAATCTATCGAGCGTCCTCGAAAACCATCGAGCGTCCTCGATCACTTTCGAGTGTGCTCGAAATCTATCGAGCGTCCTCGAAAACCATCGAGTGTGCTCGAAATCTATCGAGCGTCCTCGATCACTTTCGAGCGTCCTCGAAAACCATCGAGCGTCCTCGATCACTTTCGAGTGTGCTCGAAAACCATCGAGCGTCCTCGATCATTTTCGAGCGTGCTCGAAATCTATCGAGCGTCCTCGAAAACCATCGAGCGTCCTCGAAAACCATCGAGCGTCCTCGATCATTTTCGAGCGTCCTCGATCACTTTCGAGTGTGCTCGAAATCTATCGAGCGTGCTCGATCACTTTCGAGTGTGCTCGAAATCTATCGAGCGTGCTCGAAAACCATCGAGCGTCCTCGAAAACCATCGAGCATCCTCGATCATTTTCGAGCGTCCTCGATCATTTTCGAGCGTGCTCGAAATCTATCGAGCGTCCTCGATCACTTTCGAGCGTCCTCGAAAACCATCGAGCGTCCTCGATCATTTTCGAGCGTGCTCGAAATCTATCGAGCGTCCTCGATCATTTTCGAGAGTCTCGAAATCTATCGTGCGTCCTCGAAAACCATCGAGCGTCCTCGAAAACCATCGAGCGTCCTTGAAAACCATCGAGCGTCCTCGAAATCTATCGAGTGTCCTCGAAATCTATCGAGCGTCCTCGATCACTTTCGAGCATCCTCAAAAACCGTCGAGTATCCGCGATCATTTTCGAGAGTTACTCGAAATCTATCAAGCGACCTCGATCACTTTCTAGAGTTATCCTCTACCATTTTCAGGGTAGCAGGAGACGCTTTGGGTGTAATATCGCGTCGCGGTGTTGGGATATCCGGCCACCGTCAGCACGAGTCTTTCTTTGGACGGCAAACAAGGATAGCTCACCACCTGACAAGTACCAGACGCGAGCGTACGGTGCGTCGCGTCGTAAAATGCATGGAAGGAATGAGATGGTTTTTAGTTAGTAAGAGTTGTAAGAGCCCCTTCCTCAAGAGTCATTTGAAGACTTTTTACCCATCTAAAAAAAAGGGGCATAATCGGTATTTGCACGCGGTGCTTGAATAGCTAGCGGCGGGCCTGCTCGCATGAGTACTATTAAATTAAAGAAGAAGATCTAAATTAGAATATTTTTACATTTATGCTTAGTGTTACCTGATATCTTCTTTGACTCCACGTTTGGACAGGAAATTCTTCATGGAATGCCACGAAGTGTCAGCGATACCCATGAGACGTAAGACGCCTTCCAATACGTCTCGCACGACCTCTGGTGGAGCACGTAATGAACGTACCTGTTTTACAGGGATAACAATATGGCATATTTTTATATTTACCAACTTAGCTCTAGTATCTATCTGGTGCATAGCCATGTATGTATGATAGATAATTTAAACAGATGATTTGTGAGCTGTAACAGTTGGAACATTATGGTCTTACCTCGCTCAAAGACTCTGGTCTAATATCGCCGACTGCAGATCGAGCTGCCGCTATAATGGGCTCAACCGCGGCTAGCTCCGCTTCTATTTCTTTTTTTCTGTAATAAAATGTATAATTAACTTTCTTTAAATAATCTATATGAAAATGTTAATTAGGTAGTTTTCATTTCAAAGAATACATCTTAGTGACATGGCGAGGATAGATGGCACATCATATATTTTAACTTTTTAGTTAAAACTAAGTATTGTTTATTCTTATATTTTTGGTAATGATAGGTAAGTAACATCAAAGAAGTTAAAAATGAGTCAGCGTTGCTATGTGAGGAAAGACATAATGTGCATAGCACTCACTGTGCCTGCAGTTTCTCATTCTCCATCTGTACGTTCCGCTGCAGCGCCTGCATGTCGTCCTTGTGGTGCGTGTGCGCGCGTACAGTGGCGGATATCTGTTGCAGCGCACTCTCTGCGGCCGCTTGCTTACTGCGGAGTTCCGTCTCTTGTGTCGCTGCTTCTGCTTGCAGAGCAGATACCTCGCTACGTCCACGACGTAATGCTTCTACGCCCGCCTAAAAGGTAGAGATAAACATATTTCCTAGTAATCATCAATCAGGTCTTATATTCATACAATGGCAAGGCTGTTAGTCCCGCCTAAAAGGGCAGACGGGACGACTTCGTAATTAGAGTTGGTCATCGTTTTTGTTTACCTTAGACTAAAATTTTGTTCGTCTAATCAAATTAGCTGTGAAGACTTGTGACTCTGATAGGTAATTTATGTTAGTTAGCCTAACTCATTACTATATCTAGTGTTGTTGTTGTCAAATCCCTACAGAACTTAGAAACGTCGAACTAATTAAAAACAGAGTTCGTTAGTTTCTTACCGAAAGCATAGTCTGCCTCTGAAGAAGTGCAGTTTTCTTCCTGTTAATAATGTTGTAGTAAGTCCTAATAAAGTTCACATATCGACAGGGTGCCTTCTTCCATTCCACATCGATACTCTTGTGGATGTTCACAAACCCGTCTACTGGTAATGAGTCTAGTTGTTCCTTCGATGTGTTCACTGCATTTTCTTTTAGCAATCTGAAATGTTATGGTAATTTGTGTCTACATTTTGCTATTATAAATCTAGTTAACGGATAGGATATGGAGATCAAAAATGTGATTACGTATTACGTACGGATAGGTTTTAAAGATTTTCCAACTTATCAAAGACAATATTTAACGAATTATTCAGAGGCTAAAATCACGACACACTATAAAACAAGTTATTTACTAAAAATACAGTGAAGTGCAAAACACGCTACCTACCTTGAACCAAGTGCAGGGTGCTACATATATTCAATTCTAAGTGCATATAGTGTCGGAACTACTACCAACAGATGGCGCTACCTTTGCACCAGTAGGCGTGGCCACTGACGTAATGTATCATCAGTCCAATGCTCCAACCATACTATGGTACCATCGTTGTATAGTAATGGGTAATTTTCCATTAGATCTGATAGGTTTTCTTGGTTCTTGTCTAAACATATCACGATGCCGAGGTTTTCTTTTATGTCTACAGAAAAATAATTGAATGATATTGAAAAATGATGCATGTTAAACTGTTTAATTCTGTATCATGTAATCTTTCTAAGTTTAGTTTTAATCCGAGAAAAGATATGAGGATATAGCCTAATTAAATGTAAGACTTCTTCAAAATTAAGAAAGTGGGACTTATCACTAAAGGACAGGCAGTAGCGTTCTCTTAACTCTTGGTATTAACAGGAGTGGGGGTTTTGTCTATCTAAGAAGTAGGCTAGTTCCTACTAGTGACGATAAAATTATTTTTTAATTAATTATGCAAAAAGTGTTTTAATTGTTTAGTATTGAATTACTTCGAATAGCATTCAGCTCAGCATTGGGCAGCAATAAAGCAGGTAATGCATGTGGAGTGCGCGCGCGCCGCAATGCCTCTACCGCGGCCAGTACGTGCTTACTGGCCGCGCCCTCGCGAATTAATGCAATCGTACGCTTGCCTTCTGCTGCCGACGTTAATGCCTGCAAATTATACAAAGCTTTTATAAATATCTAGTTTACGTCCAATCTTGCTAAGGTTGTTATTTTTTTTAAACAAAGATATATATAATATCTTGACAAAACCTTATATCTGTCAATTTATGTGTTTGTTTGTTTATGTAATATAAAAGCTAGTAGCTCGTTCTTACGTGTACAACTGTACATTATTAGTTGTAGGATTACAAAAATAAAAAATTATTTAATTTTTAGTTTAAAAACCAAAAATATAAATTATATTTCTTCTGAAAGCTTATGTATAATTAAGCTTTTATAAAATTCTTACGTTTTTAAACTGCGTGTTAAACTGTGCGTCATGGTTGATAACGACTAATGAGGCAGGTAGTGCGGCGGCCGTGATGTAGGCGGCGGCCAGGCGACCCACTCCTGCGCACCCCACGCACACTAGTAGTCCGCCGTTACTCTGACAAGTGGACAATACATTTTACACTTATTTTATAAATTACTTTCGTGTACATTTGTACAATGAAGGGATCTACCGAGTGACCACTGACCACCATTGAGTTAATGTTTGATCTGATGAGATCAGCTCTCCAGTCCCGGCGCAGGTAGCCAGACAATATCAAACGCGCTAAGGGATACGGATTGCGTCACTATGCTGTGACGTTATCGCTTTTCTATTAGTTGAGACATTTATGCAAAATATCAACCTGTACGTTTGATATTTTTGTCCGGTTTTTAAAATGATCATGCGGATCTGTCCCCCACTGTACATACTGAAACTATGCTTGTGATGTGTTTTACCAAACGCCCAATCCCCCATTTCTAAAAAGGCTAGCAATATATTTGTAACTCCTCTGATTTTGCGTGTGTCCATGGGTTGTGCCGATTGCTTATTACCAGGTGTTTCATCTGCTCGTCAACGGTTCTATCCCATTTAAATAAGACTGAATGAGAATATTTAAATATAAAAACAAGCTTACTGATCGCGCCATGGCCGGGCACAGTAGCGCCAGTTCGGAACACACTTCGGCACCAGTCTCACCAAATACATTTTGTTCGTTTTCTGACACTGAAAGAAAAAAACACTTTATTAGTAAGGTAATATTTTATTTGGAAGTTTATTTACAGAGTTTTGGGAAATTATTAGATACCAATCTACTTAGTATGTATGCGACACAGTGAGGTTTAAGGACGAAGTAAGTTTCTCTAGGTATCATAAGGAGATGGCTGGTATATTTTGAGGTTCTTAATATCCTCTTAAAGTAGGTGTTCATAATGGTCTCCTGCGTGATTTTAGTGAGAACATAATCCCACATACTCTGGTTTTTCTCCTCAAAATTTAGGCACCTTTTGAAGGTTGTCTCCCATTTAAAAAAAGAAACCAATCTATCAAAAAGAAGAGATAGTACTTACAGCACTGGTTAATCAATAGCTCGGTTCTATGATGCCAATCATTATAATCAGTGTGCTCCAAGTAGATTCCGTCACCACGCAGTTTGCAAGCGAAGTACATCGCCTCGTTGTTTACTTTTAAATGTTTACATGATATAGAACTGAACGCGGATTTTTCTTCATCTGATATTAACCTCTCTCGAAATATGAAGTTGGCTTCTGCGCTGATGGCCTAAGAGTAATAAGGATTATAGAATTAGTCTTGTCTCCTAGCTTTTGGTACAGATTTTAGTGATTTTAGACTTTATATAGAGTATATAGATTCTAAAATCACGAAAACCTGTTCATGCCTACTACTTCTACTACTATCACAAACATAAGAAACACAACAGCAAACACACTTATATTTTTATAACGGGGTATCAATGTGTAAGAGCGTTTCTCAAAGCTCAATTCCTGGGTAAAGTCTTTTGTCAAGTAAAATATTGGGTTCTCGATTTTTCACACTTTTTAGAACCTATGTACAAAGTCAGTCAGTAGCATAGTTTCAGGATATTTTGTATGATAACGAATTTCTATTTTCTTTATTTTAATTATGAAGGGTTTTTTCAAAAATGCCAGTGACGCGAATTTTTTATTCTTATTACCATGCCATGGATTACTAAGCATTAAAACATAAATCTTACCATAATTAATTGTGCAGTGTTCGTTGGTGAGTACCACTTGACATTCTCGCACAGTTTCCTTAAGTGTGATGCATTCCACTTGTAATGACTGTGGTCGTCGAATGTCTCCGTGACCTGTTGTAAAAGAAGTACCATTTATATATAGTTAGATAAACTTTGATAAATAATTTTTATTCATCAAATAAATACGAAACTAAATATTGTACCTCTTTATACATAGCCAGAAGATTATCGGATAGTTTTGTTATATCCTTCGTAGATATCCCTTTATCTACGCTGTTTCTTAAATAGTGAGTGACTATTTCTGATAATTCCTCATCATCTGGTTCACTAAAAAGTAGAGCATAGCAATCATTACTTTTGTAATACCGTCTTAAGACACGCATAAAGGAAAGAAAATCATCAATTTAATTTATAATTAGCCCGTCATGTCTCTCAACATATATCTCAGCATGTCAATGTTTAGATATATTTACGCAAAATACATTCAGATTTGTTCAAGCTTTGGTTTTAAAATAATAAACATCTGACTTTACCTCAAAGCCCTAAGCTCCAAGGCAGCGGCCAGTCTAGGTGAAATAGCAGTCAACGAAGTGGCCGTAGCGAGTACTCTCAGACGTGACACCTGACACCACTGCGTGCCACTACCTCCTTCCTCGTCACTGCCTCGTGTCCAGAATCCATTGTGTTGTATTAACTGTACAATATATTTTAAAAGCTCAGCTCCCCATGAAAAATACTTTTGGGAAAATGCCAGACACAGAAAGGAACTAAGGTTTTTGCATCTTGCTCTTCCTGGGACCTAAACCTGAAACTTTTAAACTGCTAACTCCAACTCCTACCCCTCTGGTCAACCCCTCCACCCTTAGGTAGAGATTATGGACAATAATTTCAATAAAATTTTAAAATATTTCATCATTATAATCTGCATTAAATAATTGACCATAGTTACACGTAGTTGTAAATAACCTGTAGTAGGAAGGAGTGCACGGGACTGGACTTCCATGCGTCAGTGCGCGCGCGGTGCAGGGCGCGCACCACCAGCGTACTGCGCGCGCCCGCGCCCGCGCCGCGCCCGCCCGCGCGGACCATGTTGCTCTACGGGACATATTACGAACATACCTGTACTATTACTTATTGTACAAATTACTTTATTACCATTATACAATATTTATGAATAAAATTTTAATAAAATTCTGTCACATAGGCGGTAAGGTACTCCACTTTTACCCAGAATAACTGTAACTTAACAAATATTTTCTAGATAGGATACAGTCGTAGCAATCAAGCAGTATTGAATAAGAATGTGTACTTACTCTTTTCAGTTCAGCAATGATGTCAGCTGGTTCTAAAATCGGAGTGCAGTCAATAGTAAGGACTGCCGAATTACATTCCTTCACTATGTATTCCGCTAAAAGGCTGAACATATAATAAAAAATATTAAATCTAGCTATAAAGGTAAAGGCTATCTAAAGTTGAAAGACTCAAACGCTACTCAAATTTAAGTCGCGCTTAAATATAGTTCTGTCACTACACATTCTTTGTAAAATGACAGAGAGAGATATCACGATAGTTAAGTACAACATAAAATTGAGTAGCCTTTTAATATTTGGGCGTAAGCTAACTATAAAAGACAAGTTGACCAACTATAATTTGATTTAGCAAATATTCAAGGTCAATAGGCTTTAAGCTACTAGCTTTAAGGTACAAAAATTGACATTATTTTATTTTATCGAATTTCGGCATTAGCGTATTAGACACTTTGAGTTTTTTAAGAAATTGTAAAGGGTTTGTCTGGGGAATGATCAAACTTATAAGGAAATTAAAAACCATTATTGGATAAAACTCAGACAACAATAATGCCCCTCTAAGTAAAGTACTTACTTCTTTGCACAAGCATCGGGTCCTACAATGAGTAGATGTGCGTGGTGTGACGTCACACCCGCTCGTAAAGTGGGCTCGCACGCCAGGAGGCGGCGCGACATGTACAGCGTGTCCGTCACCCACTCGTTCGTACCTAGTGGCGGCACTACTGGAGGACCCATTAGTGTTGATAGCTGAAGTAACAAATTGACAATCATTAGATATTTCGACAAATTATCATCATCTGTCTGTTCACGTTCACTTATGGATAGAGGACATAAACTTTTTCAATAACATGTAACTGCTCGATCTTCAGTTCTTCGTATCCTCCTGGCAATATATCTAGACTATGCCAAAAAATATGTTTACCTAACCTTAGTTTCAATGAAGGAATAAATGTTTAAAATTCGATCAGACCGCCATAAAAAATTGTCAGAAATGAATTGTCTCCAGCTACTTTTTATAAGATACTAGATGCTTAAAGAAGTCAAATGTTATGGTTTATACTAACTTTTATTGTGATACGTTTACTGTTAGTATGCGACTAACCTCATCATGGAAGCTGTCGATAGCACTTTCTTTGATAACGTCAACTACACTTCGCTGTATGGCAAGGTAGACCATTTCTTCGGGACCCATACGAGCAGCGTTAAATCCTGTGTCTTGGGCTAAGTACTCGAACTGTGTTAGTATTTGTTTCACCTGGAATTATGACAATAAGTGGAAACCATGTAATTTTAAAAAGTGTAGGGTTCTTAATTTGTCTGTAAGATTTTTATACTTCACACGATACTTTTTTAGTAATAATTGGAAAATGGATTAAAAGGCGTGATATGCTTTTCATTGAACTCAAACGTAGCTAGTTAAGTTGTAATTGAAGGTCATAATTATTTTACTTAATAAATCAATAACTTATCTTAATAAATAAATACTAAATGAAATTAATCTAAATATATATCAATAAATAAATAACGACTTAAATATGAACTTATTTCATAATATTTATTTATTATTTACTTACCACAGTAATGTTATGAAGTTTAAGAGCCAAATCCCCCTTATGATCAGTAAGCCACTGGATGCATCTCTTAATAACTTGCTGCAATAACGGCAGAGCCACCTTCACGCCTTCATTATCAAAATCAGCTTTACGCATCCACGCTTCCAGCACATCTAGATCACAGCTTACGTCATCACTGTAAAATAGGTAATTTAAAGAGTAAGAGATAAGATAATATGCTTTGCGTACAGAAGAGACAAACATTATAAAAGAAGAGAGAATTGAAGAGATAAAATAGGGAGCGCAAATGAGTTGAACACACTCCCAAACTTCTTGATTAATGCTGAAATCCTTAAAATCAAAAAAGGTTTTTACTGTTATTGCCTAAGTAGTCGCAAAATAGTCTCTCATGACATAGCCATTGCACTATGGAGACAACCTGTCTAAGAAGTTCATATGTACCTCAATGCAAATACTACTCACCTCAATAATATAATACCCATCCTCGATATAGTAGCAGGTGAAGCGTGTTCCAGACTATGAGTTTCAAAGAGGAAGTTCACATTGGAACCAAATTGTATCCTCCAGCCTGAAGGCAATGTTAACAGTCTATTGTCGTCCAACACTGAGTTGAGGGCTTCAATCCATTCTGGGTCGATATCACCGTCACATACTACCCAAGACCACACATCTAAAAGCAGTTACCAATTAAGAATAGGATGTGTAATTTTTATTTTAAGACACGTATTTTTTATTTTCTTACAGAAACGAATACTTTCGACGATATATTGATGTTAAATGTCGAGTGACGTCACTTCTATGTACATTTTATACGTAGAAATGACGTTTTAGCCCCCACTCCTAAATTTTGATTCGTTTTATCTAAGTATTGTTTTATTATATAACAAAATAAAAAAATACGTTTCTAATATTTTTCATTACCTAACTTACGGACTAATTCGATTTTTAATTTTCATACCCTGTTATCATCCCAATTCGCTTGCTCAATGACTCAAAAATTTAAATTCATAAGTCGGTCTAATGAATATTTGGTATCCTGGTCAAGGTCATGCTACGCTCTCATAGCAAACTTTCTTTGAAATTAGCCAAGAGGTAGCTTTCTAGTTCTTTCCTGATTTGATTGCCTACAGTACCCACTACCGAATCATTTTTCCCGCTTTACTACTTTCTACTTATAATTTACCTCTACCATATTAACGAAAGACGCATGTAATTTGTATATTTAAAGTGAATAATACTTACCAGACGGTTGGTTGGATATTTCAAGCGCCGTGTAAGATATGACGCCGTCAGTCCACTGCCTTGTGTCGTGTTCGATATGTCCCAGCAACCAATCGCGACTCATCGCCTTCGGACAGATTATGTACTCCACCACGTTCTTACCTTGGAGTGCTAGGGCCTGTACAAACATACATGAGTTCATTATAATGAATGGATAAGTTTCATTAAAGATGTAGTACATATGGTACACTGGAAAGTGAAGTTAGTAAAATTTTATGTTGTATTAAACTTAATACTTATCACGTTGTCAGAAAAGTAAGTATAAAGGAAAAATATAAACAATAAAACCAAAAATAAAATAGAAACAATGAAACACACGTCCAATTTAAATTGAAGAATAATAAGTAAGACCTTTCTTATATCTAGGACTAGCTTCTGCCCGCGACTTCGTACGCGCAATCCCGATATTTCCCGTTCCCGTTCTTGATTTTCGGTAAAAAGTAAAAAAAAAGAATTGGGTAAAAAGTATCCTATGTCCGTCTCCTGGTTCTAAGCTACCTCCCCACCAATTTTCATCCAAATCGATTTAGCCATTCTTGAGTTATAAATAGTGTAACTAACACGACTTTCTTTTATATATATAGATATAACGTACTGGCTAGTTATACTCTGTTTTAGCCCAATAATTTATAAGTAAAGTAAGGTACTCACAGATTTCAATAGCTGCCTTATTGTAGTTTTACCAGACCCTGGAGGTCCAACTATAACCACGCCCATTCTCTGTTGCATTTGTTCGTACAATTCCACGCACTTTTGTATCTATAAAACAAATCAGTATGTTAAGAGGACAAAATTAAACCTTATTTCGAATGAGCTTAAAGTTGACAATACTAATTGGTTACCTGTTGTTTATTTTGTACAAGCTTGAGGTTGTTTACGCTCATCTCAAGAGCAGAGTTTATCGGGTCGGAGCTGGACTCTTCAGTTGGTACATCAGCGAAAACCAACGATAGTATATTTTCGAATCTGTAGACAAGAATTCACACAATCGTAATTTGGAAACATAACATAACATTACATCATGCCTTTTATCGTCGAAGGCAGAGGTGTATTATGCCACTGTACAATGTAACACCCACTTTTCACTATGTTATGAGTCCCATGTAATAGGGGGTGAGCCTATTGCCATATACCGGGCACAATTCCAGACTCCGTGCTACTATTGTGAATTTTTTGAAAAACCCTGTAATACTTTGCCTGACCCAGAATCGAACCCGAGACTCCTTGCCCGACAGTACCACTTGCGACCACTCGACCAATAAGGCAGTAATTTGGAAACCTTTATTAATGCAATTTTAAGCTTGTTTATTTATTTAATGAAATATGTCTTTACTGAATGTTTAGAACTGGTCCTTTAGACTAGCAAGAAAAACAACCTAAAGCCGACACACGCTCTTTACCTACCTGAAAATTACCGAAAAGTAGATGTAGAATTGGTAAGCTACAGTATGTCTCTTTGTTTTTTGGTTCCTGATTATGTTACGTTAATGATATTGTATGCTTATTTGAGAACATTATTGTGATTAACAAGTTAACCTTTGAGCATCATATCGCGTGAGTTTGGAGAGGTTGTTGAGTGTGAGTACTTGTCTCGCGGCGGCGCGGCGCGCGGCGGCGGCCGGGCGCGGCGCGGCCCGCAACATGGCGGCGCAGCTCCCCACGCCCGCCTTCAGGGCCCGCAGCCCCCAGTCGTAGTGACGCTGCTCGCTTAGTAGGCAGCTGGAACATACACCATATTGACTATTACCAAGGTACAACACAAGCTATGATGTTCTATAATTAGCTAGTGTCACACAATTGGACGTTTATTATTTGATAGCTGCTGTGATTGGACAAAAAACCTCTTTCTATATTTGCACCGTCTGGTGAGAATAGAAAAGGTAGCCCCCATTGCTTGCTAGACAAAATAAGTAATCCATGTACTTACGTGTACAATTTCAGAGAAAGGTAGAGGCTTTTCTACACATTTCTTTTTTTTGTCCAAAAACTATGTTCTAGCAAAACTTCGACAGGTAGCTTATTCCGCAGCCAGATTGTTGGATAAAACACACTGAAGAGTAATTTTATGTGCTTTTTGCGCTATTGGCTTTCTACATTCAGTGACTCTACAATAGAAAATTGTTTACGTACCTATTCCAAAATACGTTAGTAAGTAGTACCCTCTTAATAAACACGCACCTTGCAAGAGTAAACACATTATGCAGATCACGAGCCAGTATGTCAGCATCAGGGATGCAGGCCGCAGCCAGTAGATGTGCAGCGAGTACGTCGGGCCTCGGCTGCAGCATGGCGACCGGACGCAGCACTCGCTGCAAGGCGGACGGCAGTGGACGACGACCGCCGTAGCCACGGCCCGCCGGGTTCATTGTGGCCGCCACTCCACACCATTCCGATACTGTCACCTAATTGTTGAGGCATTTAGTCATTTATTTAATTTTAAATATCATTTGAAATTTACGGGTTGTATTCTATTTACGGGTTGTAATCTTATTTGATAGTGAATTATTTTTAAACAAATAAACTTTAGATTATTAAGATACATTAAATAAAATATTGCAAACAAAACAAGCATTTTAAAATATTTTCTCAAAAATAACTCTAACCGACCTTTTGATGCGTTAAGTTAGTTTTTCCTTTATTTTATTTCTATATTCCTCATGTTAATTTCAGTTTTGATTTAACTTATTCTAATTATTTAATACTCAGTTTATATCTATATATAGATTAGTTTACATAGCTATCGTTAATCTATTACTATTAAATAGATTCTATCTTTATTTTAACTTCAAGTAAATGACAATCTAGATTACATTAACCTAAATTACGATTTTAAGAAAAAAAAATACTTTTTATTATCATTATCTTTTCAATTCCACTATTATTTGTAACATATACAGCTCAATAAAACGTTGCTAAAAATCTTAAAAAATACAAAAAGAATCTCTCCGGCGGGGAATCGAACCCCGGTCTCCCGCGTGACAGGCGGGGATACTGACCACTATACTACCGAAGATGTGATAACAGTGAGCGAAATAGCGGATCTGTTGATGATTTTAGGACGTTTTTGTATTTTTAATCCGTTCAATATTTTGGGTATTATTATTATCATTGTGATAGTATGCTTATTTAATAATCTCGCTGTACATATTGATTCATATGTTACATAGATAATTAAAGTTATTTATACGTTGAATAATTCCATTATTTAGCTGAGTTTTGTTTCGTACGTATAGAGTAAAATATATGTATAGAGCTCTATATTTTTGTGGGTCTCTAATGACACAACTGTTAACAATCGGATATTTGATACATTTTTATCTTGCTGCCTACCTCGTTGGTGGATTGGTCGTAAGTGCAACTGCTGGGTAAGGGGTCTCGGGTTTGATTCCCGAGAGTCTGGAATTGTGCCCGGTATATGGCAATAGGCTCGCCCCTATTACATGGGACTCATAACATAAATACTGAAAAGTAGGTGTTACGTTGTGCAGTGGTATTAAGTGCCGTAATGTGCACCCCTACCTACCACTTCGCGGATAAAAGGCGTGATGATATATGTTATGTCGTTTTTTTAATTATTACCTGTTTTCCATTGAGCATCGCAGTAGGTGTTGATCCATCGGTCCGGTCGGTAGTAGCGGCGAGTAGCGAGGACAGTTGGTGAGCCACGCCGGCCAGTGTGTGCGCCGCCAGACGATTGAACTCGTCGAAACATCCCCACGCACCACACAGAGCTAGGCCACTGAGTAAACGACCCATACACTCTACGTCCATTGCCTGGAATCACAAAATAGATGATAGCTAGGCTTTATCCATGTCTGTAAGGATATTTTTTTAAGGGGGGATAAATCATCGAATGGCTGATCCCGCCTGGGTGAGGCGGGAGGGAGTGTTAGACTCTTACTGACTAAAAACCACCCCGTTCCTTCTCCTGCACGTCGAGCCGGAGCACCGGTAACCCGTTAGGTTCTCCGCGACGTGTATAAGTATAGGGTCTTAGTAATGGAAGAATTACAGGTACTGGGAATAATAATAATAATATAATTAATCTTCAGTTCAGAGTGCTAAGCACGAATACCCGTAGCATTCGTAACGTAATAGTCACTCAGTTATGCTAGTTATCACGAACGAACACGGAAAGATCCGATTTTTTGAAAAGGTAGGAATTGTAAATCACGCTAGTCTGAATAGATTCCAAACTAGCATAGGTAATTTGTAAATCATTATCTTCAAGTCACCTATATTATTACAAATGTACTTATAGTAATATTATATGAATACATAATAATATAAATGCTCACTCTTTGAAATCACGTGGACGATAAATAGTACTTACGTATAGTTTGCTCGGCATATAAGAAAGTGTACATATTTAATCATATTATATATTACACTAAACAATATAATTATGTTTGTCATGTCCTAATTTGTGTAGATCTGTTCATTCACTATTAAAGTGCAAACGACTGTAAGTATGATATTTGACCATTATCAATATTGTAGTGTTTTTTGGAGACGCGAGGTTTTACGATGAATAAAATTACCTACGTAAAATAAATCTTAACATGTTACATTAAATGAGTAATGAGTGAGATTACCTCATCGCAATTAAAGATTAGTACCAAGCGTCCTACGAGACCACCCAGAGCCTTTACAGACTCCGTCTTTCCAGTACCAGCTGGACCGAAGGGATTACCAACTAAGCCCAGATGGAGAGACTGAAACAAAAGAAAAACTATAATTTAACGCACAACTGTAATGACGACACGATTAAATTTCTGATCGTCCATTTTAAGAATCTTATATTTTGGTAGTAAATTATAATTAAAGAAAAATAAGTTTATTAGAAAGTTTAGCGCCATAGTTAAATAATTATTATTAATTTATTATACGTAAATGGGTAAGTGACTTGATTACCTGCGTCAATATAAAGAAACAGTCATCAGCTAGTTCGGTGCGCACAAACTGTCCAGTGTTCACTCCTAGGTATTCGTATGAATATGATATCTGAGCTAGTCCCATTTTAGCTACCACCTCCTTTGTACTCAGCAAATAAAATCTGTAAAAATGCAAGCAAGAATAGTTTTAGCTGTTTTAATGAGTATAGGTTCAGTGTTTTTAGTTCCTATTAAATTTTATTCCTTGCCTACACTTTGTAACTCAGTATAAATATTAAGTTACTTACCTCAACTGTTTTTGCCAAAGCCAGTCGCTAGTTGACACGATATTATTGTCTATCAAAATTCTGATGACGGACAAATAATGAGCACATTGTAATATGAGTGCCTGTCGTTTGCGTCGCTCACTCTCGTCCTCTATTTCGGCTGAAGCGTAGTAGGAATTCTCCTTTTCAATATTGGATTTTAATTTGTGTAATTCCTTAGAAGTTATGGCTTTTTCTGCTTGTTCTGTGAAGCGTATGTTTTGTGCAAGACATAGTATTTGTGTTGGTAGTGAGAAGGGGTCTTGTTCCTGGAGAGAGTTTGTAACTATGCACTTTAGGGTCATGCTCTTTAGAGAGGATCGCATTTCTGCTTCCAAGTTCTTCAACCATACCTTTGGAAATAAAGACGTTATGTATTCACGAGAACATATGTGTGATGAGGATATTCTCATAGATTGTATTTAAGTAAGAAAAGGCATACCTCTACTGGACAATCGATATCCACTGGGTGGTCCAATTGGAATGTTTCTCCGTAATGGCTACACAAAGCGGTAATAGACATATCTCCAGGCCCCAATCGTACTCCTGTGATTCCTGGGAACAATTTCTTGAGATGTGTTTGCATAACAGCTTCCCTCCCTTCAGCACCAGCACGAGCTTGTCCGAGTAGTTCAAGTAAATCATCGTCACTCAGGAAGTAAAGTCTTGGGAACACTGAACGTTTTTCCTAGAAATAAGCATCGCAATCATCGTCTTACTAAATCTATAAATTCAGTCATGTAACTACTGAGATACTTCATGACGGTTTATTAATTAACATTGGGTAATTATAGAATAAACACTTACACAACAGTATAATAGCTATATCAAAAATGCAAAGGATTAACAATGTCGGTAACTTATTGAGTCAGCATTATAGATGACGTCATGTAAACAAAAACTGCTATCCGTACAAGTAACAAAACTTGATTCACGATCATTAACTCTATCAAGTTGTAGTTGCTGTTTAATTAATTGGTTTCAATGGATATTTACTACATATTCAGAAAATACAATTAACTTTATAACTTCACTTTAATTAACTCTTACCAACAATCCTGCTTGCACATACTATTATTTTCCAAGATTCGATTTAAGTATAATTATCTGTCTTTAAATTAAGTAAAATCAGTCTAGTGGCTACATGTGAAAGCTTAACAAACTCTTTCCATTTAATGTCATTCCTACCTGGCTACCTAGGTTTCTAGGTACTTACCTATCAATCCAAATATTTTCATTATACTTACATCAATATAGAGATTTAAGGCTGACTGACAAGCTAAAAGTTGTTCAGATATGGAGTCCAGCATGGGTTGAAGTCTTGAAGACTGCAGTAGAGCTGAGAGCCTAGGATCCGACTCTAATATCCTCGTCACTTGTCGAAATCCTTGGTCTACCTTCCGGAATTTGACTCCTAATTCACCATCATCATTGGAAAGTATGGGTTCTAAGTACAGCCACCTTAAATAGGAAATAATTGAATTAGGTAGGTAAACTACTTTTTGTGACCTCCTTTCTTTAACCTTTTAACACTTATAATCGGACTAATATCATAACAATTTTTTTGAGTCTATCCCTTTGAGAATTACTAAAATTACTAAATGTGACTGCATGTTGTTTTTAGACTTTGTGTAAAAGGATAGATGTAGGTAACTTCAGTTTTTATATAATGAGAAAATCTAATAAACATAATTCGAACTGGTATTTGCAATTTAATTTATTCTAATAATTTAGTCTACCTGCCTTAATCATATAATTGCAGGTAAGAGATATGTACCTAAAGCAAGTCAGCTATTTGAATATCGTAACAAGACAACTAAATCCTTACACATTTCTCCCAGTCAGTAGATATTTACATTAGATACATAGACAGTACAATGTCCATTTAATGACAAAGCCAAAGTATAAGTTTAGAGCTGACCTTTCCTAGCTTTTACCTGCTTCAAACATTCGTAATTTTTTTAACTATTTATAAAGAAATACCTATTCGAAATTGTTGACTTTGTATTCATAAATATGACAACCAATATAAAACTGAAATAATTATTTCTCTATAGCACGTCATTTTATATATGCTCAACAATAAACATATTCAATCAAATTACCAACTTGATGAAATAGAATAAGAAGACATAAGCAGTTTAAATAGATCATAGATTGAAGTAGCCAAAAAAGTTATAATTATCAAGCAACTAATGTTCGGTGTTGACCTGTGACATTATTGTTACTGATAAGAGTGTATAACTCCAACACTAGCGTATTTGTGTAGCAACTAATATGTAGATACTTGGACTCCATTCAACTAATTTATTTGTACGGGTAATTATATAATTAAAACGAATAGCAAGTAATGGCAAAGTTTTATTAACAATTAAGTATTGGTGCCTCGTATATTACAATATCATTATGGCAATACAGAATAGCGTCTCAAATGCAATAGAATGACTAATTATTATATGGAATCAAAGAAAGAATCTCATTATTTAAATGCACGTTATATCAGACAAGTCTGATATTAAAATATTAAAATAAAATTAAGGGAAATGTGTAAACTTAAAAGATATAAATTTTCTAGTCAGAAATTAGAAATTGTTTTCGAAAAAAAGCAATGTCTGAGTGCTTGACGAACACTGCTTAAATCATATTTTTAAGTTTACACGACATCCTACGTATTTATAAAATACTTATGATGGTACAATAACTAGTATTATCTACTCTGGCAGTACTATTAGTTTACAGTAAATAGAAACTATAAAATTAATTATTTCATACAGACACACAGAAAATATACTTTATGGAAAAACAGCACAAAACATAATATAATGCACATAAATTACCTATAATTAACAGTAGTTTGTAGAGAACTTTATTTGTTCCTTTGAATTAAACGTAAGTTTACATTTTTACATCATAGTTATTTCACCGCATAGTAATAATTCTTTGGAATATTTGTATAAATAAAGATACAAAATATATATTTTATATAAACCTAATGTTATAATTATGTATTTCAAGAAATATTGTCTATAAGTGATTAGTGAATGCCACTCACTGGAAAGATACAGAACAAGTTGAAAACATCATAATTGAAAAATAAAAAAAAACAATGTTTAAAAAGCTTTCTTATTGAGGATTTACAGTCTGAACATGTTGTCAATGTTGTTTTATATGTATCCATATTTCATCAGTACAGTACTAATGAAATATGGAGATGAACATAATATTACTCGCATTTACAACCCAAATTTCTTTGCAATATATTACAGACACAATGTAGTCAAACTACACATATTACATCAAAATAACGAACAATGACTAACATTGCAAAATGCACAGCATTATGGCACTTATGGAATCAGTAACAATATTCGAAATATATCAGTTTAAGTTTACATAATTACAATTCCGATGGCAAACGAGTATAGACTATTCCCTACGTCGTGCAAGACCTGTAGTAATCCGATCGTTTTGTGATTTCAGACAGGTAGTAGTTCATTTGTGTATTGAGTTCACCGATTTCTTTTTCTAATGTATTTAACTGTTCATTGTGATCGTTGTATAATACTTCCATGTTAGCTAGAAGTTTAAGCTGCGTTTGAGTGTCACTAGCCAGTTTAGTTGCACGCTTTAGTAGCATCTGTGCTCTTTCTCTTGAGTTTGAAGTTTGACTTGCACGTTCAGCAAGCGACATGTTAGTGCGTTTGAAATCTTGCCTCAATAATCGAGCTGACTGCTCAGCACCTTCTGCACGACTAACGACGTCACTAGCCTCTTGTTTCACTTGTTCTGCGTCACTTTCTATTTTCAATATGTCTTTTTGTAAGTCGGAAAGTCGCAAGCGCAAGCCTTCCACTTCATCTTTAGTCTGGTTAGCTTGTTTCTGTGCTTGTTCAGTTTCCGTAGCTATAGGAACTAAATCATTTTTGACTCCTTCAATGTCACTGTTGGCCTTATCAATTGCATTTTCTGCGGCGTCTTGAGCTGCTTGTGCTTCATCCAGAGCATCTAAAACTTTATTTGCCATTTCTAAAGTCAAATTGGCTGCTTTGTTTACTGTGGTAGCATTCAATTTCAAAGCCTTGGCTCGCTCTAAGTCTGGTTTAGTTTCTGCAATAATATTCTCGATGTCAGTTAACTGCGATACTGAAGAATTGATACGCTGAGACAGTTCTGTTATTTCTTTTGGCTCTATACTGATGGATAAGTTAAGTATATCATTAGCTAGAGTTCTGACATCTGCAGGAGTATTTGAGGTATTAGACAAAAATTCTTTTAATTCAGTCGTTAAGTCTTGGCTTTCATTTGTAACTCTCTCTGCTGATGTCTTAAACTCAAAAGCTCTGCTATACAAATCCTTTGCCCTTGATCTAACATCAACGGTATCTTGTTTCACTTGAGATATTAATTTGAAAAGATCCTCAGCGGTGAGTTCATGTTCTTTAATACGAAATTCGGTCTTATTAGCGAAATCTAAAGCTTGTTCTGCTTTAGTCACAGCTCCTTGGTCACAAGATATACCACCACATTTGCCACATCCAGCCCCGCCACAAATATCACAGCTATCGCTTTCCTGGCCACACATTTTTTCATTTAATTTTGGCATTTGAGATTCAAGCTGTGACAGTTGATCTCGAATATCATTAAGTTTTTTATCATTTTCGTTTTGAGTGTTATTAAAGTTGGTGTATTGCATTTCAATAAGTCTATCAGTGTTTTTAATTTGGCGATCAGTATTTGCAATTATTGTTTGCACATCATCTGCATCATCAGCAGCTTTAACAGCTCTTTGTTTAGCTTCACGAGTCAAATTAAGAGCGCCTTCTAAATTAGCTTCTTGTAATTTTGTTGCGTTATTCCCCAAGTCAGATGTTTTTCCCTTCAAAGTTTCTATACTGGTTCGTAAGCCTTCTAATGTAACATTACCAAGATTGATTTTGGATGTAAGTGCATTTAGATTTTCGTTACTGTTTTTGACTTTCTCATCAGCTTCTGATAATAAGTTTTGTAGACTAGTTACATTAGACAATAAATCTTTAACTGTAGTTTGACCTTGTTTTGCACTCTGCAACATATTTTCTACTTCAGATAGCTTTTTGGTCATTTCATCAAAATCTCTTGTGTAAGCGCCAGTAGCACCAACTACTTTGATTTTACTGGCATTGCCAATAGCGTACTCAGTTTGAATGCGTAAGTCGTTGATTAATCGATCCCAGTTTTCGAAACATTCACCGCAAGCATAACATCTAGGGGCTTCTCCCAAGTATCCTCTAGCGCACATATCGCATTTATATCCTCCGATACCTGGTTTGCATATGCATGAGCCATTTGTCCGCATACATTGGCGAGACACAGAACCGTATAAGTCACAATCGCACTCGTAACATTCAATACTGGGGACTCCCCAATGATTTTCTTGACATTGGTCACATTGTCTGCCTCCGTGGCCTGGTTTACAATCACATTTTCCTATGTAAGGATTACATTGTGGTGATAATGAACCTATGGGATCACAATCACAAGGATCACAACCTGTTCCTAAAGCTATTCTCCAATGGTTTTCTGTACATTGGTCGCAATTAACACCCATGACATTCTTGAAGCAAGGACATTGACCGGTGACACCATCACAATTTCCTATTGTGAAGTTTGTACCCAATTCGGAGCAGTTACATGGGTAACATGTCTTTTCCAGTGCATTACCGTAATACCCTTCAGCGCATTTCTCACAATGTTCACCAGCAGTATTATGTAGACATTGTAGACATTTACCGGTGTATGGGTCACAATTGCCAGGTTTAGTGACATCAGTATTTTCGTTACATTCACACTGCTCACAAGTGCCTTTAATTGGATCTCCATAGTAATTGTCTGCACACACGTCGCAAAGCGGCCCAGCATAGCCTTCTTTACATTCACACACAACATCCTTCGACTCAGGATCTAACTCACAACGGTCTGCGTGACTACTCTTGTTTGGATCTCCTATTGTTCCAGGGCAAGGACATGGCCTACAAGGTATGTCGATACCTAGGCGAGGATCACCGTAATATCCTTCAATACATCTTTCACAACGATGTCCTTCTGTGTAGTCTCTACATTCTTTACAAGCTCCCGTTTTATCATCACATTCAACTGCATGTCCATTGCAGTCACATTGTTGACAGTTGGGGAAGTTGAAATATCCCGGCTGACATAAGTCACATGCTCGCCCATAAGTATTGGCCCTACATTTACATTGTCCACTTGTTGCGTCACAAAAGTTATCAAGCGAACCTATACTGTTACAGTCACACCGTTTGCATCCGAATTTGCTAAAACCATACGTTCCAGGAGCGCAGCGGTCGCATCTGGCGCCAACAATATTTTCTACACATTGACAGTAACCAGTATATTGGTCGCACTGATGACTCTTAGATCCTGTAGGATCACACTGACAAGATTGAGATCCATTTCTTATATAG